GATTATCCTTTTTCATAAACATATTTAATCGCCACTTAAGCGTAATGTGTCATTGCCTTGAAAATGTTCTAGGGAATAAACAAAATGAAAGACATGTAATGTTCAGCAATGAAGCCGTGCGTATGCGTTCGATCTTCGATCATGTAATAAGAGATAAGCTTCATACGAATAAGGGGCTGAAAATAAAATAACCAAGCGATCAAAATCATGGTCACTCCACATGCGGATCAGGCTGGGTTAGGTTCCCATGAATTAACAAATGGTTTGCCGACATGTCAAAGCCTTGATCTCATTTCGCCATGTATTCATGTAGTCAGCTCATCACAAGCGCTCGCCACATAGCACGGCACAATTGGTAGATTTCTGTACACGGTCCCGATTCGGGGCCTGGGATACGTCCCTGATTCGGCAACGCCACCCTCACAGCAGGGTGGGGATGCCGTCTAACCCGCAATCTATCAATCATTCGGTATAGCCATGTCCGACTTCCGAGGTACCAACCACAGCGTAACACATCTGACTTAAAGTCGAGCAGCACAAGTTGAATCAGTTTTGATGCGGATCACACGGACATCTCGCCTCTACAATCCGTTCGACCGTTTGTACGCCGGCTACAGCTGAGCGTTTCATACGGGGTCAGCGACGCAGCACACACTGAGGGGAAGGGACTGGGTCTCGAGCGACATCTGTGTAACACAGCACACGTCCACGGTCGGCACATCACACAACCGGACACTGAGGGACACAGGACGGTAAATGGCTACAGTCTACCTGAATACCAAGCAGCGCCAGTTGTATTCCGGTAAGGAGCCGTCTCATTTGTAGTTTTGAGATAATGTTCAATACAAAAGGAGACACGTTTTTGACAGGTTAGGGTGCAAGTGGGGATCCATGAACGCTACTTCTAAGGTTGCGAATCAATATCGATTACTGAGTTTACTTTTATCCTTACCGAAACTTTCCAGTTTATTGTCTCAAGAGCTCGCGCTTGATGTCCCCTCGTACAAACCTAATCCTTCGGCGATATCAACATCGTGTTTATGGCTATCCCTTCAGCAGGGATAGGGATAAAACTTGAACTAGGTACGAGCAGGGACGAGTAATACATATGCTGACAATGCATACTTTTGCATCGTTGCACATTGCTTATCTTTGAATACCTAGAATTAAGCTCAAACGGTTATGTGCAATTCCTTATTTTACTACCGCAGTTACGCGACATGCATAAAAATGTGTATTAAGTAAATAAGACTATTTTTCATGAACGTTTCAATTATAGTTTGTTGAAAACGGAAATGTTCCGTGTTCCGATTCACCCTAACATACTGTGGCACGTCAATTAACATTCCCATAAAACACATAATTTATTAAACTAACGTGCCCGCAATCACAAAGACCCGGATCGTACCTGTCTACCATAAGCGTTTGGACAGAGCATCTACCAAGTAGACTAGCCAAGCCGTGTTCATTTTCTAGCTCTAGCGTCCACCAGCATCAACTAGCGGCCAGCACCTTGGGCTTTTGACTGCGTATACTCTCCTGACCGTAGCGTCGCTGAGCCTCTCGGAGGAACGCCTTCACCATATGCCGCACCACCTCGTCGAAGAACATGTTGGCCAACTTAGAGTGAAGAGCCGAACGGAACTCGAAGGAGACGGAAAAGTCCAGCGTACAGGTGCGCGGGTTGGAGGACAGGCCGGGCGCGAACTTCCACTCGGTCAGCAGGTGGTTGAACATGCGGCCCTCGGTGCAGACGGCCTTGACGAGGTGCGGCCGGGCCAGAGTGACGCTGGAGACGTACGACTCGCGCACGGGGCCGAACCCGATGGCCATGCGGGCCTTCAGGAAGCTGGGCCGCCGGGACAATACGGTGCACTCGGTGCAGTAGGGCACGAACGTGGTGTAGTCCTCCACCCGCGAGACGATGTCGTACATCTGGTCCATCGAGTACCTGCGCGTAGACGACACACACAGCGGGCATTACTTCGACGGCAGAGCCGGTAGAGGGAATCTGGATCGCATCATACATATTGCAAAACAAACTGGTGCAACAAGAGATTCATACCAACATTGAAACTGATAAATGCATGCAAACATCAAACAAATGACCCACAATTTCACATATTCCGATCATCTCAACATACCCGAGAAGGCGTCTCTCCGAGTACTCTCGCTTCTTGTTGTCGGCGCCGGGCAGAGTGAAGACTGAGCGGGTCTGACACGGCCTGAAGGCGTACTCGGCTGCTGAGCAGTGGGACCCTCTCATACGGCCCGCAAACAGTTGTGGTGTTCGTCTGGTAAGCACATTTTATGTTAAGGTCACGACACTTAGAATGCAATAGAAAAGCGAATTCAATAGAATGCGTGCATTTTACGTACACTCATGGTATGAATGTAGTGAGATTTCACCTAACCAATTCACCTGGGCCCAGTTTCACCGGTGATAGCAGCACGCTGCTATTACACGTGTCAAATTGGGTTTCCATGGAGACGTCAACAAGCCTATTCCTCCAACACTACCAGAAGTGTGATGTCAGCTCGCGAAATGGAATAGCAGCGTGATGCTATCAACGGTGAAACAGGGCCCTGGTTGGTTTGCCATTTTCGTTCTGAGCCCAAAACATGGTAGGTAAGGAAATCGAGAAGGATATTTAGGAACCCTGATCAAAAGATGCACCAGCCCAGTTAGAAACCCAGCTCACAAGGTAATAACAATGCATATTATGACTGGACTTTGGCATCTTCAATGAGCATGACCATACCAATACTATGATCTTATCGACAGCACCACATATCATTATTATTTATCATTGGTAGCTCCGCAATGAGGCATGACTGGCATGAGCGTATGTCTAGAAAACTATACAACCACCAGTCAAATGTATGACAGAAGTTTCTGATATATTGAATTGACATCCTTACTTGAATACTTGAAAAGATAAATATACACCTACCTCCATTTATCCGCAAGTGTATTGCAACAGACACGGACATCCTCCCTTGATAATAAGCCGATATTCCTCACTGTTGAATGCCGAAACAACGAAAATCGATGCATCCAGACGATTAGGAAGATGTGAAAAATGAAGTAGCAATTCAAATATTAATCAAAATTCTCACAGACGTCTCCAATTCACGAATGCACAAAGATGACCCACTAAGGCAAGGCCAGGCAAGGCTATATAAACCAGGTAGAACGCTCCCGAAGAAAAAGTGGTGACAAGCAGTATTTAGTTGCCGCGACCCTCACTTGTTCAAGACTATATCCGCAAGCAGCATTTACAAGCTAGCGGAAATCGACCAATTGGCGTTCGGCAATACTCAACGCTGATTGGCCCGATGCTCGTGACGAAATTGCGGGGGACTGCAGCTATTCCCCTATGGCGTTTCATTGGCTTATGACTTTTGAAGGGGATTTGTATCAGTTTTTGTTGGGTTTGAGGCCATTTTTGAGCTTGGGTATTCTTTTCGTGACCTTTGACTATATAATAACGACATTTAATCATGGATTTCTATATACTACCGGTGTCACATCGGCCAAAAAGACCGTAAGTACATGGGATAGACGGACCACTGCTGATGGGGCCACACATGCCGGCGTGTGGTCATCGGAGGCCCATGAGGGCTCGACATGGGCCCTTTATGGGCCGGTATTGGCCCAGTGGGTCCAGTGCAGGCCTACCAGGGGCCGGTGGCATATAATGTAAGGCTGTCTAGGGACGTTGAGGGCTCATGGGGGCCATATAGGACCATTAGGGACCACATAAGCTAATCAGGGGTCCATTTAGGCCAATAAAGGCGCTTCAGGGACTTGAAGAGGCCATTCAAGAGCCGTGGTGGGCCCATGAGGGGACGGCATTGGTCCATCAGGTGCAGTCAGGGGATGTTGTACCGTGTACGGGTTTCTCAGTGGCCCATTTGGGCATATCAATGATCAATTTAGACCCAGCAGGGGGCTTGTAGACCTATCAGGGCCGCTGGTGATGGTTTATCAGGGGCCAGCATTAGTCCATCGGGGCACGGCATATGCCCATCAGAGGTAATTGCGGGCCCACGCTGAACAATGATGGCCCTTCAACGGCCCCTAATGGATCTAGATTGATCCCCATGTTCCATGATGTGTCATGTATGCCCCTATGGCAGGCCTACTCAGACCCTTGATGGACGTTCCCGGCCTCTGATGACCCTATACTGAATCCTGGTGGGGCTCTTAAGAGTCTCCAATAATCCTTCGTCAGCCCATTATTACCATACGCTGGCACTAGAGGCCCCACATCAGCCGCAGGGCAGTCCGTGCCAAGACGGCATGTCTTTTCGGCCGATATTACATCGGTAATATTAATTAAAATCATGATTTTATGGTGCCATTATATAGCTAACAGTCATAAGAAATATATTTCAACTCGAAAACAGCTCGAAACAGCATATAATCTTAAAGAAACCCTTCCGAAATCCAAAAGCCTATTCGGGTCCATAGAGAATAACTGCGGTCCCCCGCAATTACGTCACGAGCGTCGGGCCAATCAGCGTCGAGCTTTGCCGAGCGCTGATTGGTGGATTTTCCGCTAGCGCGTGAGTGCTGCTCGCGGAACAAGAGTTCGTCGACAATCCTCCACAAACGTCTGTCACCACTTTTCGTAATGCTAAACAGCCGGAGCGTACCCCCCTGCACTAAGGACAGAATATGCGCCTACAAATAAACAAACCAGTCAGCTGGTTTGTTCCCGTCGACATTTTTATAAATGTCGACATGAACTTGTAGCTCACTAGTGATATTCTAATAGCTCTCTAGATTTTTGCTTTCGTGGCTCATCCTGAAAATATTTACATTTTTTAGATAAGAGCTAACGATTGAAAATAGATTATTCACTTTCGCTCTCTATTTCAAATCAAACATAACATGCCTATTTTGTAGAAACAGCCATTTAAAATCTAAAATTTCAAGAAAACGCAAAACAGGAAAATCGGAAATAGAGATGTTATAGGAAATGTCTCTAGGTTGATGCCATTTTCTGACATTTTCAGTTGACATTTAAAAATCCCGCTCCAATTAGCTCTATATTGGCTCGCTGTTACAGATACTGCTTACAGATATTAGATATACGCGCCCGTGCGGTCACTCAATATACCCTGCCCGTGCGCGCCTGTTCGCCCGTTTAGCTCATGGTTTGGTTAAAAATATACACTGTGTTAAAAACTATATAAGAACACTTGTTCATCGAGGAACAGGCGCAGAACACACAGTGATCATTGTAATATGCTTCTTTGAATGACTCATGATTCATGAATGACTGGCACCTATGAATTCTTTGGGTCAGGGCAGTGGGTCAGGGTAGATCATAGATGAGGTGTAAGATGAAGATATTTGGAGTGGTATTGTTATTATTTGATCATATTTTGTCGGGCACAAGTCAAGAATCCTTTGAAGTTCAGCATATCGAGGACTGTCATTTGACACAGTTTTTCAGCACCACTACATACCAATGTACGGAATGTGGCAAGTTTCAAGTTCATTCAAAAGATGGTGAGATGCTTATATTTTTTTTTTTGATAAGATTGTGTCCTGCATCACTCATTTGGAATATGATATGTATGCATATTAGGTTATTTGAAAGTGATTTATAGATATATTTTCCTATTCTTACAAAGATCCTGCATTATTTCCAAGTCACATTTTTACCCTGAGCCTTGAGTATAAAATAGATCAATCAAGCATGGCTAAGACATATTTATGACTAGGCATGACTGTGTCCCTCAGGACTTGAGTGTGTCTGTGAGCCTGGCTACTGGCAGACATACGAGTCAGTCTCTGGCCAACTGTCATGTGTTGGTTGCCCTCCTGAGCATGTCACCTCCAAAGATGGCCTGGACTGCATTCGTTGTGAGTCCCCGCTGGCCTATGATGCCACCACCAAGACCTGCACACCATGCCCAAATGGCACAGTGCAAGGTGAGTAACTACTAGTGAAATGGTCATGTTATTTGCTTTAATTGGTGCCATTTGGTTGTAGGCAGCCCAATCTTGTATGACTTTGATTTTCTATTGGTACATCATGTAGAAGTTGCCAGTTGCAGACAGGCTTGCTGTATCAGCTTCTGTGGCCATGTCAGGGCACCTCAATCTGCCTCATTAATCTCTGTAGCTAAGCAGGAGTACAAATGGCAGGGAACTTCCCTTCATCTATTCACACAGATATGGATCTTTAAGACCAGCTGATCATCCCAATGAATAGTAGCTGTCTCTGGTCCAATTGGGTAATGGTCACTGGATTTTACTAGTATTTTAAGCTCAGGAGATGGGTCCAGGCTCCAGTGACTCATAGTGTTGGCAGTGATCCTACTCCTGACAAAATTTTCTTACATATTTATTTCCTGTCATGATATTGCATTATCCTGGTGCTGATCGGACCAGTGCGGTGCCTGGCCGCCGACCTGACGGCGTGTGTCGCTTGTCCCCAGTGGAGCTGACGCCCAACGGGACGCGGCGCACGCGCGGCTGCCTGCGCTGCGGCGCCGAGGCGGAGCCGGCCGCCGACGGTTCCGCGCAGTGCCACCGGTGCGACCGCTCGCTGCTGGCGGCGTCCGGCTCGTGCCGCTGTCCGGACTCACACCTGCTGCTGTCGGGCGTGTGCCTGAGCTCCTCCCAGCTCAACCAGGTAATACACGGGCACAGAGCCCTCGGGAACGGGTACGAGTGTCGTGTGAGTGCGATATGAGCGATATACAGCCGCGTTACCGGTAACCTGAGGACGACCAGCACTGGCATCTCATACCAGTGTGGTGTGACCGACGATTCGATATAAGTTGGGTGGTTGCATGATATCAGCTGTCCATCATGTGTCTTGACATTGCTCTGAATGTATCCATGTACTCGGTAGTTCCGTGAGCCTGTCTTATCAACATGTCTTACAGGATTCCGCCGAGACCTCTCTGTACGCTATCGGTCAGCGTTTATGTCTGTGTGTACCGACTGTACTGTGTTGCTGCAGGTCATCATGTCTGTATCCTCGGTTTCAGGTGCCCGCTGAGGCCTCCATGTACACCATCGACTTCGAGGACGGCACGACCATCGACTCTGCGTTTTTCCGCCGCCACAGTCGCGCCGCCGCCTTCCTATGTCGGGTGAGCCTCCGCCAGTGTAGCTCCCGACCTTTTCTGTCAGCAGAGCATCGCAGTTTACCGCAATTCTTATCGTACGTCATTTCTACATACCCTAGAAATTTTAACCTCGGGTCTTTCAGGAAAACAGTAAGTGCTGTAATTGGAAACACCAACTTAACATTTGTTTTAAATTTTTAATTATATTTTATGAGAATGTTGGAAGTTTACTTATAATGTTAAATCGTTTTTCACACGTGACCTGGGGTCTGCACTTCCCGCAGTTTCGTCACAACATATCGGCGTGCCACCTGCTGGCCAACCTGTGCGCGATCACCATGTACTCGGAGCGGTCGGCGGCGGCGCCGTGTGGTCAGCTGCGCCAGCTGGCCTCGGGCCGCCAGCGGCCGCCGGCTCCACACCTGCCCTGGCTGTTCTACGAGGAGGACGAGGCGCCGACGGTGCTGAGCCGCAGCCGTATCTCCCAGGAGTACACCGTGCAGCGGGACCGACAGGTGGGAACCCAGGAGTATACTGTGCAGCGGGACCGACAGGTGGGACCCCAGGAGTACACTGTGCAGAGAGACTGTCCCAGGAGTACACCGTGCAGCGGGACCGACAGGTGGGACCCCAGGAGTACACTGTGCAGAGAGACTGTCCCAGGAGTATACTGTGCAGCGGGACCGACAGGTGGGACCCCAGGAGTACACTGTGCAGAGAGACTGTCCCAGGAGTACACCGTGCAGCGGGACCGACAGGTGGGACCCCAGGAGTACACTGTGCAGAGAGACTGTCCCAGGAGTACACCGTGCAGCGGGACCGACAGGTGGGACCCCAGGAGTACACTGTGCAGAGAGACTGTCCCAGGAGTACACCGTGCAGCGGGACCGACAGGTGGGACCCACAGCAGCTCCCTTACCTGTGAGCCTCCCAGGAGTATATACACGGTGCAGTGAGATCGCCAGGTAACTGGGACCCGCAGCTGCCGCGGAGACGACGAACGAGGCTATGGGTTTTCGCCCGGGCGATGGTTCATCTCTGCATGTGTGTAGCACGGGAGGTGCCGTCTGTGCTGCCGGGTGATAAAAGTAGGAATATGGCATCTGTAGGAGAGAGCGGTGTGTGTTCTAGGCAGGGCAAGGCGGAAGCTGGGAGGGTGATTTTCAAACGGTCGAAAAGGCATCCACTCGTATGCCTGTGGGGCACCGAGTCTAACCGTCCCCACCCGTTCCCAGAGCTCGTACCTGAACCTGACGGTGGCCCGGTTCAGCGCGGACGGCCGACTGCTATAATGGTTTTAACTTTTAAATTTCCCCCTGTTTACAGGGCTCTTACTTCAACTTGACGTTAGCCCGGTTCAACACCGAATATAGCTGGGGTTTAAACGTCTCCAACCCGTCCCCAGAGCTCTTACTTCAACTTGACATTAGCCCGGTTCAGCACCGATAGCTGTGTTTTTGACTTCCCCCACCTGTTTCACAGAGCTCGTACCTGAACCTGACGGTGGCCTGGCTCAGCTCTGACGGCCGACTGCTATTGTTCTAACTGTCCCCCTGTTTCGCAGAGCTCGTACCTGAACCTGACGGTGGCGCGGTTCAGCGCCGACGGCCGACTGCTGGGCCGGACACCGCTGGACTCTGTACGCTCCAGCGTCTGTCCGCAGCTGTCGGCGGCTCTGCGCAGCGCCACCAGGTATGGGGATGCCACCAGTCGTGGTCTGCCGTCCGAGCGGGACTGATTACCGTACATCGGCAATGGTGTGAACTGTGACATTCTTCCGTCTGTTACGAGCTCAGCTGGTCGTCAGCAATGTTTTGTGTTATACGACCAAAAGTACTGATGGTGCAGTGCTAACCGTGTTATTCCTTTGTGCTGTGTAGTCAGCGATACTGACTGTGCTGCCTGCTGGTTGGCCTGGTGACTGCTGTTTATGTCTGACCTCTGTCAGCTGTGCGTTTGTGCCGTTTGCCGCGTATCTGTCCCGTGCGCTGTAGTTTAACTCAGCCGTGTGCTCTTTGGCCAGGTTCGGCTCCCGGTTCGAGCACACCTGTACACTGACCGGCCGTGACCTGCTGGAAGCCGGTCCGCCCGAGTTCTTCGAGCTCTACCTGCAGTACCAAGCCGACGAGGCGGAATGGCTGTACGCCATCCCTGTACGCGTGCTCAACTACCGCAGAAACGGACGGTATGTCAACCAGGTGAGTGTCGCTGTTGTTCGTAATTTTATGATGGACCTGGTCATGCGACTTAAAGGGAGATAATGACCTTTTTCCACAAAATCCAGGGGCGTCGCCGACGGGGGGGTCGGGGGGGTCACGACCCCCCCACTTCTCAAGACCGGGGGGGTCGACCCCCCCACTTTTTGCGACGTGAAATAGTTTTTTTTGTTCAATAGCAAAAAAAAAACATTTACCACTTACGGCTACCACTAAAGCCAAGACTGTACATACTCAATCTTTGCTTGCCCTCTCGTTCGAAGGTAAAAATCTACCATATCCATGAATTTTATGTAATTTGGCAGCATTAGAAATGCGACAATAACAGAGCTCCCGTCACATTTGAAACGCACTTCTGCTCGGGGTTAGGATTTAGGAAAGTGTTTATGAGTTGGCCATTACAGTCAGAGGGGTAGACTTGAGCAGTGTTTAGTTTTACATTATTTTTTATTCATATTTTGACTCAAGACTCGGGACTGCAGAGGAACCCGAGCGACATGGACATCAGGTCTTTTTTTAAGAAAAAGGTAAAGTTGATAAATGGCCATTTCGAGTGGCACTGGTATCATCAATTTAAAATTTTGCACTGTCCTTGGCACTGTCTCTCCTCTAAGACTGGTGGAATGATACTGACTGGTGAAAAGATCGAGCATTAAACAAACTGGGAAGTCATGTACTCCCCACAATTACCTATTATTTATAATTGAAGTAGATGGCAGAAACTTTTTTTTTGCTTGGGTAGTGGGTACTTATTTCAATTTTGGCTCTCACTCTCACAAGAACTACCTATTTTTACCTATAGAAATATTGGTTTTTACCATGTTTGATTTGAGGTGGTGTCCAAAGGATAGGTTTAGTTTATTCTTTGAAATCGAATGAATATGTGACTTTTGCATTTCAATTCATATTTGTATTTTATTTTCAGGGTCCTGGTCCTGATCCAAAGCCCAGCAGCGAACCTGGCACCACAACTGTCCAGCTCCATGATCCTCCTGCACCAGCCTCCTCTAGTGGGCCATCAGCTCCCACTCAACATGTGCCAGCATCAAGAGGTAAGTTAATACCATGTCCTAGGAGGAATAGAAGTCACATTTTGTGGTAAAGAAGGTTGTATGGTGTTTTGTTGAGTTTGGTTTGCAACCATGAACCAAATTGAAATAACATTTCATCTTTTTAGTTTTCTGAACCTAGGCTTAAATATTTGTGAATGGCTCATTTGATTCCATTCGATGTTTTTGTATAGCCTGAGCCCAAAAATGATACTCATCAACAACTATCATGATAATCCATTGAGGTGAGGTTTCCTTGACCTGACCCAACTTGATATGACCCAACCTAGCCTCACATTCTGCCAGAGGTAGGTGTATGGTGTTAATTAGATTGTAGGTTAATAATAAAGCTTGGTCAGTTAATTTCCCCTCAATCATCATTGGATTATCATGATGTTTGCTGCACCAGTGAGCATCATTTTTAGATTCAGAAAATGGAAAAACAAAGAATGAAACTTACCATTGAAATCCATTTAGATCTCAGCTCGAGTTTTACTTTTAACAGTTTGACTTTTAAAGTTTTTTATCATTTTTCTTGCATGAAACGCGGATAACTCAAAGTCTAATCGCTTTTAAGTGCATCAGCCCATCAAGTTTACAGCCCGACAAAGAAAATGAATTGGCTAGGCCCGTGTAATACAGTACACTTTGACGGCGAGACCCCTATCAGCAGCTGTCACCTATCATCGAACGCCTCAAAATGTGAATTATAGATGTCGCCACAAGTGCCAACGAGTCTAGAGGTCGCACACTTAGCGCATTATGTAGCTTTCGTGGTGCTTGTCTTGAGTCGAAGAAACGCTCCACTTGACCTCTTCGCCTAGGCTTGTATATTCATGCTGATTGTTTCATTCCTGTATCCTGCACTCAGCTGTCCCATTCAATTGGCTGTTCCATTGCATGTTTGGTCTGTAGCTTAAAGCAACACTATGGATTGTTTTTCTTCGTTGCGAATAGCAGTTTTTCATGCATGAGCAGATGCATTTTCCTACAGTGAAGTGATGATGTGATAGCACAGGCTAGAGAATTGCAACGGTACCTATTGCGATACGTCGTACATTATGTTTTGTCGTGCAGCATTTTGATCGCCTGGCTATGAAATATTCGATCTGAAAAACGAACTGAGACACAACGGGTAGGAACGGGACTTTTAATGTTAAAAAGACATTAGCAAACCAAAAGAATGAAAGGACAGCCAACCCCTAAAAAATGTGGAGACTAGGAGATAATGTATTGCTATGTATGTATGGTATATAGGTACCGCACTGGCACTGGAGTAACGGATGGCTTGTGTTTAATTGCCGAAAACGCTATCAAGTACCTATTTTTTTCTGTTAAAAAAACCTGCATCGTGCGGATAAGGAACAGTTTAACAAAAGCTGCCTGTCTAGTGCCTGAGATCATCATGTGTTGTTATCCTGAAAGTTCCTGCATCTTTTACGCTGCCTTAAGCCATTACTTCCTATAATTGTCCTCATTCCGTCTTTTTCCAGATCCTTCTCCTGGCTCCTCTTCCTCCGACGCTTCGATCAGCTACCCGTGGAACATTACGGAGCTAGATGCCCCGAACCAGCCGCCCGCAAACACCATTCCAAAGCTGGACTCTAACGGCAAACGCCTGAGCTTCATGGACTCCTGGTACGCAAAATTCCCATGGATCCACTACTGTCCCGAACGCCAAGGCGTTCTGTGTTTCCACTGCGCCAAGGCGCACGAGCTGGGAAAGGGGCCGAGAGACCACCAGGAGGCCGCCTTCACCTCTGCGGGCATGAAGAATTGGAAGAAGGCTCTTCAGAAGTTTCATAAACATGCCCGCTCCAAACACCACCAGGACCATCTCACGGCCGCGGACCTCGGCTGCAGTCCCATCAGCACGGTGGTTAAGTCGGCAGAGAAATCTTCTCAAGAAGTTGCCAGGAAAAACCTGCGGAGGCTCATCACCTCGGTCAAATTCCTGGCACAGGAAGGTCTGGCGTTCCGGGGCCATGCATCCTCCGAAGGCCACTACAAGGAGCTACTTCGTCTCCGTGCTGAGGACAGCCCCGAGCTCCTTGAGTGGCTCAAGAGAAAAGAAAACTTCACCCACCATGACGTGCAGAATGAAATGATGAAACTCATCAGTCATGAGGTGATCCGCGAACTGGTGGAAGAGCTTCGCTCCGATGGGCAGCCGAGGTACTATTCAGTCATTGTGGACGGCACCCAAGACGTGAATGGACTGGAGCAGGAGTCGGTGTGCGTGCGGTATGTGGGTGATGATTTTCAGGTTCGCGAGGAATTTCTCGGATTTTTCCAGTGTGCCTCTACTACAGGATCTGACCTAGCTGCAATGGTGGAGGACGCTCTCCGGCGACTTAACATCCCCATTAGTAGCTTGCGTGGTTTGGCGTTTGATGGCGCCGCGAACATGCGTGGACGGGAAAGAGGTGCGCAGGCTATCCTACGGAAAACTCAACCGGCTGCGCTCTTCGTGCACTGTGGTGCCCACTGCACAAATCTCGTGGCCAAGGACAGCTGCGATGCGTCCCCAGTGATTAAGAGTGCGCTAGCGTGCGTCAACGAGCTGGGATGCTTGTTCAATGAGTCTGGGAGCCTCCGTCAGAAGTTTAAAGGCGTCTGCGCGGACGCTGATGTGGCGTTCCAAAAGCTACGCCCACTCTGTCCCACTCGCTGGACTGTCCGTCATGCTGCAGTGGAGGCCGTCCTCAGCAGATACGAGGAGATTTCCTCTACTCTGGAGGAACTCGCAGCTGGAAACAGCCACCTGGCCGCTCGTGCTGCTGGACTTCACGCCCAGCTCTCCAAAGGCGTAACACTGGTGGCTCTACACATGGTTCGCTCGGTGCTGGCCCCTCTGGACCGCCTCAGCAAAGTGTCCCAAGGCGCGACCTGTACGGTGTCCGCTCTGCTGGAGAGCGTGCGCTTGACGGTAGATCTCCTCCAGCAGCAGCGTGAATCTGCCGAGCAGATGGTGGACGACTTTCTGACGGTCGCGCAGAAATCCAGCTGTGAAGACGTGACGCTACCCAGGAAAAGACGCCGGCCAGCACGCTATGACGGACCTGCGTCGAGTCACCACCACGAGTCAATCAACGAGTACCTGCGCGCGGAGTACCTGATGGTCCTGGATACAGCATGTAAGCAGCTACAGGAGCGTTTTAACCAGGAGGGTGTCCGCGAACATGCGAAGATAGAACAGCTTTTGCTGACAGCCCCGGATGCCACCAACATGAGACAGCTGCTGACTGACTCGCCATGGGCCGGGGATCTATCGCCGGCCGACCTTGCCCCGCAGCTGCAGGTTCTGTTTAAGAACAGAAAACCGCAGACCCTCGCTGACGCCGTGAAAATAGTATCTGCCATGGAGAAGGCCGCCCAGCAACTGGTGCCGGACGCCGTGCGGCTAGTGCGCCTGCTGCTCACTCTGCCGGCGAGCTCTGCTACTGCCGAGCGGAGCTTCAGCGCCCTGAGACGCCTGAAGACATGGCTACGCGCCACCATGACGCAGACGCGGCTAAACTCCGTGGCGATCTGCCATGTGCACCGCCAGCGGGTGGCTACAGTCGACCCTGACCGGGTGGCGGCTGCCTTCGTCAGTCTTAACTCTCGCCGAGAGAGAATTTTCGGTGCCGTGTGAAGGGTGTGGTGTACACGAGCCTGATGCTTACGTGCCGCGTCGCTAAAAGTGCACTGAACACTTAAAGCATTAGAAGTTAGCTAGTTCATGTGATGTGAAAACACATGTTTTGCTGTAGCGCAGATTTGCTGTGCTGTTAGGAATTAAGGAGGGGCTTCGCTGAAATAGGATAGGCACGTGTCCCACGTCCCCTATCGTTGTCCCACTGTCCACCTGTCTTCCATGGTCTGGATCTTGGACGACGAAGCCTGCACAATAAATGTCCTAGCACGATAACATATCATGTTTACCGGGAAAGAAAAATATTCACGGCTGGAAAGTTGAGAAAATAGCAAAACTCGTAAGATCAAAGATATACAAACATCGATGATGCAATTTACAACTAAACTTTCAGCGAAATGATCAAAGAACACATGTTGACCACATATAACAAATACCTGACGTTGGCAAAAGATTGGCATTGTTGGTAATGTCGGAACGTACCTACTTCCACACTGCTTTCATGTGTTTGATTTACGAGTTCCGAGCTCGACTTTTTTGCGTACGTATGATGTGTCGTATTTCCTGACTGCGCACACAGGACAATTTATTGTGCTGGCCCTGAGCAAAGGATCGGAGTCGGACTGTCTAATTTTCTGTCGACTTTACTTCAGAGTCGGAAACCCGACCCCCCCACTCAAAAATCCGTGGCGACGCCCCTGTGAGTTAGGACCATTTTCTGACAAAACACAACAAGTTATAATGTAAATTAAAACCATTTTGCTCAATTCGGTACCTTGCCGCAAATATCTCAACTTGAAGTCACGTTAGCGGGGAGCGCTGAAAATGACCGTTGAATAAGTACTTACATCACTTTTTGGTACTTGCATGTAATTTTGTAAAATGAGCGTATTCCTTACATTTGATCTTCATCACATCTAGTTAGTTAATGGTCGTCTATAGTGCCTTCAAAAGATATTCATGGTTTGGGGGTGGTTTATGTCTAAATTTACGCAACTATTTTTCCTGTTCAGCATCTGACGCCATATGCTGCTATTTTAGTAGCAACGACTCAATTTTGAATCGGTCCCGCCGACTGCACAATAAAAGAAGATAGATACAACACTTTTGCGGCATCACTGAAAAACTTATGCAGTACTGTTATCAAAATTACCATAACACCGTTCGACAAATCTGAAGTCTTTTTGAAATAAATATGCTTGTATTTTTCGCTTCAGGCTCTGACGCCAAAATAATGAATTTCGTAGTCGCAATCGCAAGATTTGGCTGCGTTTCTGGCGCATGCTGTTCATTTGTGCCGCATGCCTTATGCCGAAACAAAGAAGAGTAGGCACTATGTACCCCCGAATTAGAATCTAATTAATTCTAAACCGAATTAACTCTAATTCAAATTAGAATCCTTACAACCAAGCAACGACAAGGCGATAACATAAACAAAAACCCAAGCGTCGCTGTTTGAAACAAAAGCGCCATATACTGCGACTTTTTTATAGAGAAGGACAACGCATTTCGGTGGGTGTTACAAGTAGGTACTGCAAGTACTGCTTCTTTTTTTGCAAAAATAAAAACCTTTTTCACATACGAAAATGTGCTAGGAAATTTTCATATTTTATAGAAACTACAGTAGAAATAGTATAGATGTCAAGTAATTTTTATTTAAGAAAAAAGAAAGCTCATTATCTCCCTTTATGACTCCGAGACTGCCTACCACTACGTGACGGGGTGGCAAATTCTTTGGATGTCTGGATGACCGTCGGATGTCTTTATATCTGTATAACTTTGTAGTCCGCGGCTAACCGCCCCTGGCACTCGACAGGCCGAGGACCGTCACCTGTGGTAGTTAGGACAGACCAGCGGCTGACCTCCCCTCCTACTCGATAGGCCGAGGACCGCCACCGCTGGCAGCTGGTGCACCGGTTCTTCCTAGTGGACGCTGTGTCTTCAGTACCGTCAGCGGGAACTGGCGAGCAGCCCGGGCCGCAGCTGGTCCAGTACGTGCGCGACCTCCATCTACAGTGAGTACCGTAAACATTTACCTTCAGTGGGTACCGCGAACTCTTGCCTTCGCTGTCAAGGAACCGCTCGCCCGGCTGTCCGCCCGCCGTCTGCAGGCCAGTTTACGGAAAGCTGATTCAACATCAGCTCAGCTTTGAGCTTTATCAGGGCTACAATCTCGTAACGCTTAACAAATATGGAAAATTAAACGCATTTTATACGCCCGGACACGAAGGTCAGTATCAGACTCACACGGTCCCGCAGTGCTGACGTCGCTCCCCGGCCCCTCAGGGTGGAGATGCGCTCGGAGGCCGGCCGGCCCGGGCGGATCGCCCCGCCGCTGCTCACCCTCGGCTACGACCTGGTACCGGCGGAGCGGGCGGCCGCCGGCGGCCTCCCCGTCCGGGTGCGCGTCAGCTACAGCGTGGACATGTCGGATGCCCGGGAACAGATCGAGGTGAGACTGGAATGATAGTCATCGGCACTCGGCAAGGCGTCAGATGTTGCTGGCGCACCGCTCTGTCGTGGTAACGTAACCTCGGCTCAATTCATCATAGCCAGTGGAAGTGATATCACCTGTTCGCCTGCGTCATACCGTTCGTTTGTTCACGGTTGTGACATGTTCCATCCGCCCATTGCAACCAGTGACATCTGCACACCACTGACCGGTGCTGCTGCTGTCTGTTGTGATACGTGGCGTCAGTTCTTTCCCTGCGTCGTCTATCCGCTGTGACCAGCGCAGCCCACTGTGACCTCGCCGTCAGTTCTGCTGTACACTCGCTGTGACCGGTGCCGTCTCCCCGCTCTCAGGTTGCGGTCGGTGTGATGAGCGCCTTCGCCGTCGTCTGGGCTATCTTCCGTACCTGGGCCTGGAGCAGCCGGAACGGAAAGACGGAGGTGGACGTCCCCACGCTGGTTAGTAAGCTTTTCATTGGTCAATGGTCACTGCCCAGCAGGGTCGTGTCAGTTCTTTGTCTCAGTCATATTAACATCTGCGACCATAATATCCCCTTGCTACTGATGCTCCCGTTGTTCATTCCGTAGTGTAATTTGTTGGAGTATCTTCTTATAGTTTCGCCACTTTTGGCCCTGTAGTAATTGACTTACCTGCAGCAAAACTATCAAAATACGCATAGCTTTCGTACCGCGTTACTCGTATGTCAACTTGCTATGAATTGTCAGTGCGTCATCGGTGTCTCCATTTTGTTTTCTCTGGCGCACCGATAAAGTTATTTGCATTTACAAAATGCCCTCATCGTTGGTGTTGGATACATCATTTTTGAAGCATACTTCTGGCAGTCATTTTCATTCCGTCCGTGTGCCGACCGCAGATACACCTTCTGGTGTGCTGCTGCGGCAGCCTGGCCAACGTCTTCCTGCTGGTGATGTTCTGCACCTGCTTCTACTGGTTCATATTCTTCAAGCGCCAGGAGGTGGCGTACAGTCTGCTACCGACGCCCGAGCAGGAACGCTTCGTGCGTGACATCGTCATCTCCGCATTCGTCCTGAAGGTATGCAAATATTTATGTGTTTAAATCCACGGGTAGCCGCACTTTGACTTCATTCTGAATGGAGCACGAACACCACTAATTGTTCAGTGTTTCTGGAATTACCGTCATACGGCATAATATTTTGTTTTATGGATGTCGATCGATCGGTATCCCATGAGCCCTTGTTTGACTATTTTCCCGCTTCCTTCTCTTGCTTCTCTTGGTCACGATCTCTCTTTGACGTTGTCTTGGCTTTAATTTTTCCCAAGTGTATTGACTTGTTAGGGTGTTTTGTTGTTCTGTCGCTATGTGCAGCTGCGACCGTATTCTGGTACGCGGGTCTTTTTTTTTCCTCGACAGACGGCGGACGTTATTTGGCTGCTGTGGCGTCAGGTGACAGTCAGTCTATTCCTGCTCGACTGGGAGCGGCCCAAGGCTCGCTCGTCGCTGCCCCACCCGCACCTGCCGGCCGGCGCCGACGGCTCGGGAACGGTTAGTCACACCACCGCCCACTAACGGACCGGCCAGTGTCTGTTTTTAGTGAAATGGTGGTCACTTGGTAATCGCTGCGTGGAGACGCCCTTTTCAGGATCGGCATTAGAACGCACAGATACGATATTGAATGCTTGAATGAATAAGCTATTATAAGTTTGTTTGAAGACCGTTTATGAGAGCATACACCTTGACAGTGTGATAAAATATGTTGGCATTTTTACGCAATATCGACAGACAGTTGGTCAGCTTCCGATTTTGTCGTATGACTGAGGTACGTACTCGGCCAGTTTCAGGGTACCGACTCCTCGATCCTGTCCCAGCCGGTGTCCTGTCCGGAGTACGGCGGCACTCGACTGGTGCAGGTACCTACCGCTGTCTCCGGCCTCTTAGTCCCCCTCTGCCTCCCTTTGTATCATACTTACTACTTAGTATCTGTCGTCCGGATCAGTTGATCACTCATCGCCTACCCCTAGTATTACTAATCTCCGGTACTCACCGCTAGCCTACTTATCCTGCAGTACCTATCCCTTTGATCTCTTCCTCCCCCAAGACCCATCTACACTACCTACAATCAGTGGCGGGCTCACCCAGTACTTACCCCATTGGCAGCCGCAGTGCCACCCAGAGTATATAGAACAACTCACGAGCACCTACCCTCAGTGCCAACCGCAGTTCTGTGTCGAGCATCTATCCCCTGACCGGCTGCCGGGCCTCTAATCACAGGTGAGCATCTGGCGCACCTACTTCATCGCCAACGAGTGGAACGAGCTGCAGACCCAGCGGCGCATAAACCAGACCTGGCAGCTGATGATGGTGCTCTTCGCGCTGGAGGTTCGTTCGGCTGCATTGGCGGGGGCAGGGGGTCGGCTCTATCGCGGTCTAGGTGTACTAAGCGCTGAATATGGTGTTGTGGTCATGCTATGCATCGGGCAGTCGCACAATGCCCTTGGTGCACAATACGCGAATGCCTTGTTACAAAAAAGGCTGAATGACGGGTTGGAATGAGCCGGGGGAAGAGAAGGCTGATCACTGATTGTGAAACTGACCCGAAGCCACATGTATTTTCAGTCATCTTTTTTGTTGAATGAATGAGAAGTCATTTAAATCCAGCCACGTATTTGCATGGGTAACTGACTATCCCTCTGTCTCTCTCCTCAGATAATCGGTTTTATCGATCTGGGCAGCGCGGAGCCGGATAGCGGGATGTCACGGCAGCCGGGCCAGCCGGCGGCGCCGCAGTCGTTCGTCTGCCGCTTCAGCGTCATCGTGCTGACGTACGGCACGGTGACCGCCCTGCAGGTGGGTCGTGTGAGCGGCAGGGCTCGGGTCTGTGACCAAACTCGACCTCATCATTGGCGTCGACTTCTCGAGCTGTGGATGATTACTCGCTAGGACGCTCAGGACTGTTAGTGTTATTGCTGCTATAGCTCAACGCTGTCTCAATGCTCCAGCAACTGGTCTTGAATTGAAAGCCGAGGTTTGCAGCTGTACGCTGTATCCTGTTCTTTTGCACACTGTGCTAACACGTTCCACCTTGTCGCCGTCAGTGGATGTTCAACGGCCTGCTGTACGAGCGGTTCGTGGAGAACAAGATGCAGCAGTTTGTCGACCTGTGCTCCATCTCCAACATCAGCCTGTTCATCCTGTACGAGCGCAACTACGGCTACTACATCCACGGCAGGTACGGAGTCTGGCGCCAGGTCGCTAAGAGTGGCTCAATAAAGCACTGATTCCTCAGTTCCTCACACCATAATCGAGTTTCGGACATTTATAACGTGCTGTCGGTCTTGAAAACTTTCATACAAGTTGCGCAACGTCGAGCTGAATAAACGTTTCAAATGCACGCAAATTGCAAAACGATGATTTTCACATTGTATCTGTACGCGGATTATATTCTACTGTAGGTCGCAAGTAAAGGCCATTTGATTGTTATCGAAATTCGTAAGTAGGCGGTAAGTTGAGTCCGTCCCACTTCTATTCTTCACTTTTTATCTTCACGAGTCCGACCCGACTATCTTCAACAAACATGCCGCTTTCTTCGATCTGATGATTCTTGACGAGCATGCCAAATGTGAGATAAAGATTTCCGAAGCATGTCCGAAAGTCAAACCTTGGCTGACGCATGACCATGCCACCGCCGTGTTCGCTCCAGGTCGGTGCACGGTCACGCGGACGCCGACCTGTCGGGCCTGTACGAGCAGCTGCAGCGCGAGCAGGAGGACCTGTGCTCGCGGCGCGGCCTGGTGCCCGGCGCCGACCAGCAGACCTTCCAGCTGATGCTGCCCAACACGTTCCGGCTGCACTACGACGACCTGCTGGCGCCCATGCAGCGGGTAAGGGCCTGGGGGCGGCGCTGGCTCACCAAGCCCGGCCTGAGCCATCTGGGACACATTTTAAATGCTCTCATCTCCCGGCCTTATCTCTCATCGCTTGTTTACCCCTTAGTGTGACTGGTGGACCCCGTGAAGTGGTTATATCCGCTAACCATGTGTTGTATACCCACTGACCCGTGCCTTTATCTATCCATCAGAAGTCGGGCGGTCACCCGGCTCAGCGTCCGTCGGGCGGCGCCGGAGACTCCTCCAGCGGCCCTCCGGCCGAGCAGCACCCCAGCATCCAGGCTTACAACACCATCAACAGGTTCCTGGCCGCCTTCATCGAGCACGTGAGTGTCGCCTGACTGAAGTAATGTGTCAGGACAGTGAGCAGGACGATACGCGTGTTATCGCTGGTACGTGTGTCACGAGCAACTGGCCCTTTGCTATGTAAATGATCATGTGTTGTTCTGCTCTATTTACAGGCCATCAAGGAACTGGACTACACGGTCAAGGATAAGAAGTTCATTGAATCGATGATGGATATCGAGTTTGCCGACCCGGACGAAAAGGGAGTCTTCTACAACGGTGAGATATCTACAAAACGTTTGACTGCCTCCATTTTCTGCTTGCTGAACTATGCGACGTTATCTTTATTTTAGGCTTAAAATAACCGCTCTGCGTAATCAGATTAGGCATATGTGACTGTACCGACTGCTGGCTGACTTCAACTGACCCCGCCTCGTTACACTTTGTATCGATAAGGAATACCGACCGGCCCCGCTTTACGAGCATACGGAGCACGAACCCCTGACAGACCTCAGCGGGTGACTCCGCCGTGTAGCCGCCCGGACCACTGACCTGTGACACCCTCCCGCCCCCAGACGGCCGGCTGACGTTCGAGCGGGCCCTGCTGTACGGCCACGGCTGGGCGCTAGCGGTGTTCGACGTGCTACTGTTCTGCTTCGTGGACCTCCTGTCCGGCAGCACCCTGCTGGCAGGAATGGTCGTCTTCGTTACCGGAAAGGTGGGAGTCGCCTGGTCGACTGCATGGGCGTAACCACCGCGCTGGAACGCTGGAAATTCCAGCCCATTTTTGGGATGCTGAAATGCCGCCCCCGGTAGAGGAAAACTGCAATTGCGGGACTCGCGGACTTCAAAACCAAGAAAAAAGAAACGGCACTGCTCGGTCCACTATACGCCTGACCTCAACGTGCCGCTCCTCACTAAAATAACTAGGTGCCCTCTACATGCCGCCCCTCCCAGATGTCCTTCCGCCCCTCCGCACCGACTTCCCCTCAAGTTCCTCGGAGCTCACATGTGCCGCCCCTCACAGAATCCCGCCGCACTCAATGTGTCGCCCCTCCGCATATAGCTCTATCGCCGTCTGTGCCGCCCTCCCCAGAGTACCTCGGCGCTCTCTATGTGCTGCCCTCGCCACAACTTCCCGCCGCCCTCAATAAGCCGTCCTATGCTCTATCGCCATATGTGCGCCCCCCCCCCCCCCCCCCGAAGTGCCTTGGCGCCCTCTATGTGGCGCCCCTCACCACAAACCCCGCCGCCCCTCAATGTGCCGCCCCTCCCAACAACGCTTTACCACCGTCTGTGCCGCCCTCCATAAACGCCTTGCCGCCCTCCCCAGAGTATCTTGGCGCCCACTATGTGCCGCCCCTCGCCACAACACCCCGCCGCCCTCAACAAGCCGCCACTCCCCACAATGCTCTATCGCAGTCGGCGCCACCCTCCCAAGGCACCTTGCCGCCGCTACGTGCCGCCCCTCCCCAGACGCCTTTCTGCCCTTACGCGCCTCCCCTTCCCAGAATGCGTCAAAAGGTTTAATGATTCGCCCCTCTCTATAACGCTCCATCGACGTCTGTGCTGCTCTCGTCAGGCGCTGTGCCACCTCTCCCCGGAATGCTAGCCCTCGCTGGCCCGGGGGGGGGGGTGGCGTTTTTCGCCCCTAACCCTGGCGAATATTTGCGATAGCTCAGTCAGGGGTGCTTAAATTGCTGCTGTTTACATATAATAACTACGCATTGACTTGGCGAATTGTGCTGAAACGTCTCCGATAGGTGAACATCGTGCGGACCGGGGGATTCATAATTCCATGCCTAGGTATCACAGTTTGGTTGCTACTCTTAACGTGCGCAAATGAAGGACGTGCGCACGTTTTGGCGGGCTCTGTATGCTGCCCAACACAAAGTGTTACATTTTGGGCTCGATAAGTCTAAGGGATTCGCCTATGCGAATTCAGCCCACGAGAGCGTCAGGTGAGACGCTCTGATCGCAAACAACCATCGAAGTCGCGAAAAGGCCCTGTGTGATTGCTTGATGTAAACATTCCGAGCCAACGAGTAGTGCCCTGAGCGCGCAGCAAGACTCAAGAGTAAAGCTGAGCACTTGAAAGAGTCCTCGGTCTACTGTGGGGCCCTTGAGTGGGTGAGGTCTTTGGCTGGATCCCGTCCTGCAGGCTCACGCCTGGAATGGGTCCTCTTTAGGCAGGCTCGAAAGCTTAGGGGCCATCAGAGGCCGGTGTGGGGCTCTGAGAGTTAAGCGTGGCTGCTTAAAAGTTGCGTACTGCTTTCAGAAGGCCTGTGCTTTGGGCACCGAAAGACCAGCGTGGTGCCTTAAAATGCCAGTGTTACGCCCTCAGAGATGCACTGGTCAAGCCCTTTGAGGTTCTCAGAGGCGTCGGCGTGGTGCTCTCACAGGCGGGTGTGTGAGAGCACCACAGGGGTCAGGGTCATGAAATTTTAAGGGTAGGTGTAAAATTGATAAACGCGAGGGCACTTACAGTTTCGTCGCGATCGGCCGCTTTTTACGCGATTTATTCGCGATTAACCATGGGGGGGGGTCCGTTCGACCCCCCCCCCCCCTATACGGGCGCGGGGCGAGGGTTAAGTGGTGCCTTCGGTAGGACCGGTTCGGAAGCATTATTGTGGGGTCCTCAGAGGTATTATTGCTGACTGAGGCCAAAGAGGTGCCGGTGTGGACCCTCAGAAGTGCTAGTGTGAGGCCCTGAGAGACGCCAGTGAGGTTCCTCACAGGCGCCGTTGTGGGCCCTCAGAGACACTGGTGTGGGGCCGTCACAGACGAATGTGGGGCCCATAGGCATAGAGGCTAGAGCTGCTGGTCTGAACCCCTTACAAGCCGGCAGGGGGCTCTCAGAGACCAGCAAGGGGCCCTCAGGCCAGCAAAGGGCTCCCATAGGCCGGCGATACCTTCAGAAGCTCTGTGGGGTCCTTAGAGACCGGCACAATACTTTCAGACGCCGGTGGGGCCCTCAGAGTCGCCGATGTAGGGCACTCAAAAGTCACCGGTGGGTGGCCGTCAGATGCGTTGGTGTGGGGCCCTCAGAGGCGCCGATGTTGGGTCCTCAGAGCCGCTGATAAAGGTTCTAAAGAGGCACGGTGTGGGGCCCTCAGGAGTGCCAGCGTGGGGCCCTCAGAAGCACTGGTATGAGGCCCTCAGAGGTGGCAGTGTGGGGGCACTCAGAAGCGCCGGTGTAGGACCTGCACAGTCGTCGGTGAAGCCCTTCACAGGCGCCAATGTGGAGTCCCTCAGAGACACAGGGCCATCAGAGGCGCGAGCTGCTGTTGTGGACCCTTCATAAGCCGACAAGGGGATTTCAGAAGTCGGTGGTGCCTTGAGGAGCCCTGTGGAGTCCTTAAACACCGGCATGGTTTTCTCAGATGCTGCTGGTACCCTCCGAGTCACCAGTGTGAGGCCGTCAGAGCCACTGGTGTGGGGCCCTCAGAACCGCCGATACAGGGCCTTTAGAGACACTGGTGTAGGCCGTCAGAGTTGGGGGGTGGGGGGGTGGGGTGGGACCCTCAGATACGCCGGTTTGGGACCTCATAGGCGCCGGTGAGGGCCCTCAGAGTCACCGTTATGGGCCCTCAGAAATTTGTGTGGGGCTATCACAGGCGGGTTCGAGGCCACTAGAGGTGGCCCGTAATAGGCCGGTAAGGGCCCTCAGAAGCCAGCAAGGGACACTCAGAAGGTGGCGTAAGGCCTTTATGGAGAACTTAGTGTGGCTACTCAGGGGCCCATGGGATGTCCTTACGAGCCCTGTGAGGCACTTCTGAGTCGAAATATGACAGAAATATGGTCAGTAAACCCTCAACAGCCAATTGGCGTCACAGGGCCCCTCGTGCCCGTGTGGGGGACCTTCGGGACCTGTTTAGGCCCTCAGAGGCGCCGGTGAGGGCTATCAGTCGCCATTACGGGGCCCTCAAAGAAATTGGTGTGGGACCGTCACAGACGGGTGTGGCCTGGGGCCCCTAGAGCTGGCCCCTAATGGACCGGTAAGGCCCCTCAGGCTGGTTAGGACGCTCTGGTCGGTAAGGACCCTGAGGCCGGTAAGGGCCCTTAGAGACCGCTGAGGCCCCCCCCCCGCTTTCGACGCCCATGGTCAGATCCCATTCCAATTGAACTCACCTGAATGAAGTGAACTATTGAAGAGTGCGCCTATCATTTATCAATCCGGTGCGTAGTAGCAAAGTCAAACTGCCAGCAGCGGGCTGACCACCCATCTTACGCATGCATATCTACCGCATAAAGTACCAGTATCTCGAACACCAGAGCTGTGGCGTGTTCTTTGCGTCTGCCCCTTATAACGTGTAGTCAGTTGACTGCTGATTATTGTTCGTATTTCACAAAGCGTAAGAATTTGACACACAACAGCGACACAGTAAATGCCCTCAAGTACTCACCTCTGGCTCCCGAAACACAAGTGCCGCCCTCCCCTTGGCATTTGATGCCGCCCCCGGAGGGAGTTATTTCCAGCCCATTTTTTGAGGAGTGATTACGCCCCTGGGTCGAGGTGTAACTCCACCATGGTTGACAGAGGAGGGCTAGGTTATTTATTTCAACTGAGCCCTCGCGAACTTGCAGCCAGTCGGGGTAGTCACTAGATGCTCATCTATTACTTGCCATCTGTTGTTAGTTATCTGCTGGTGTCGCCAATATCAATCCGTGAAGGAATTAGAATGAGACGTGATTAGCAACGGTAGCGAGCCCCTCAACCCGTGTCGTATATTTGTGAGAGCCGACGAGTGGTGCGAGGACCAGTGGCCACCACTGACCTCGGCTTTTGTCCGCGACAGATGGTGGATGCCGCGCGCTACTACCTGGGCCGCCGCAACCTGGCCAAGAAGACACTGGTCGACGAGCGCTTCCTCATATGAGGGTCGTGGTGCGCGTAGTCTAGCCCGCCAACGCTTCAGCTTCCTAGCAGGCGGTTAGTACAGCTTTTTAGGCGGCGGCTAGCTCTGTCAAGCTTCGTAGGAGAAAGGTGCAGCAAGGTAGGCGACTCGGTAGAGTGGTGTAGAAGACATGCAGCTGAGCAGCGTGGCGTGGTGCTGCAGTGCCTTTCCGACCCGTTGCCCCACTGCCACTGACAATAGCTCAGGAGGGCACGGTCTGTATCAACTGGCAGGCTTGACCATACTCCATGATCTCGTACGCGGTAGTGATGCGTATTCCGTCCTAGTCAGTTACCTGAATTTAACTTTGCTCTAGTCAGCGATGGATCTAGTCTGTAGTGCGGCCAGGTGTGTCCTCTGGAAGTAGCGCGCCTCTTGCGCAGCGATTAGTGTGTTTGTAACGTGAAGTTTTAGTTTGTGTGTGCGTGGCGAGGGGCTGGCCACCGGGAACGAGCCCGTCCTTCGTCCGTCACGGGCCTCGCACATTCGCCCTGATGAAGTGAGGTGCAAGCCATCGGAAATTGTGCCGTCCACGCGTGTTCTTGACTGTTCACTCCTGTCACATGATTCCATGTCGCAACTGATGCCGTCCACGTATTATCTAGTCAGTTCATTGCATGCCACTTGCACTGGCCCTGTACAAATGGCGAAACCGTCCAATGGTGCACTTATATTTCTCACGTGATTGATTTGAGCGTTAATACACTTGCTCGTTCGTTATGTAATTGTCATATGTATATTCACAGCCGTATCGGTCGCTCATCGGTCGGTAGCTATAGTTTTAATACAAATATATGGCGTGACTAAGACACCACGATTGGAAGCTGGATTGATTATGAGATGACAGAGCTTCCGTGGATATTTGGCCTAGTGAGGACCTTATCATGTACACAAATACCTGATATCGTGACCAGGACGCTGGGGCCGGCACTCAGCGGTGCTGGCCGCTGAACAGCCGCGAGTGCCGCTGCGAGGCGCGCCGCGCCAGCTGGTCGTGACCGACGGGCCGCGGCTGCGGGGCGCTCACGTGCAGCGCGTCCGGCGCCGGCGGCACGGGGAACTCGTGCTGGACGGCCAGGTGCATCAGGTCGCCGACGTGCGGCGCCGGCGGCCGCCGGCCCGGCTCCGGACGGTACGCTTCCACACGGGCCTGCCGGCGGCGCGGGGCGGTCAGATGCCAACGCCACGACACGAGGGGCACAGTGCGACGCTGATGCGTGTCATACACGCTCAACGCTGAGTACGAAAATAACTATTACGAAATACAAAGGGCGTGAGCGTAGCGCCCGACACACGGATAATTGACAGGTCCTCTGTTGTCTAACCCTATCGGAACCGATTTCCAAATGCGTGGCAGGCAACTCCTACATCTATGTTCCCTGAGTTTCCCGACAACAACTGACCGGAGTACCGTACGAGGTCGGCCAACGGTAGCATATTCTCTGGCGGTCGTCTCTCACCTGCGTGCGTGCCTCGATCTGTCTGACCAGTAGCGACTCTTCCAGCTCGACCGGCACCAGGTTACCGTACTGACACTCGCTCGGACCGTAGTTTAGACGCTCGAACGCCTGTCAGACACCGCGGGAGGGTGGGGAACAGAGCTCAGTCGCCTCGTGTCGCACAGTTGGCCGATACGCCGTAATGGCATCACCATCGGCAGCACACCGCACTGTAGCACCACACTCAAGTAACGGCAAATCAGCTCGGACAAATAGCAACAAAACAGTATAGGTAGCGTAGGGTGTCACTTGGGTGTCACAACAGCGAGTACCTCATACCTCAGCCCAGAACCTAACTTGGGTGTAACAACAGCGAGTACATCGTACCTCAGCCCAGAACCTAACGTCAGCCAAGCTTCTTACAGATATCGTCAGTCTGCGTCAGTCTGTGGTCGTTGTCGGTGGTGTGTCCGGGCGGGCGGCACTGACCTTGCTGCGCACCTGCTGGGCGGCGCACGGGCAGCTCTGCAGCCGCTCCTCGGCCAGCCGGTCCAGGTCGGGCTCGTCCAGCTCCAGGCGCCGGATGCGCTGCGCCAGCCGCAGGGTGGTGTTGAACTCGGCAGAGGCCAGCGCCGGCTCCCCGCCGTCCGGAAACAGGTCGGCCGAGTCGCCCGTGGACGGCAGAGAGGTCTGCGCTGGCTGTCGGCGAGGGAGACTCTCAGACACACGGAACTCTATTGGGGTTCTGTCAGGGTGGTCAGTCCATGTCTGGGCTGTTCCTTGCTTGAGGAGCTATTTCTGAGCATTCAAAAATATGCCTGGCAAGAGAGCAAGCACATTGTAAGTGAAAATGGTCTAGAAAAATTGTTATTTAAGGTTAACACCTTTTCCTCCAAATTCTGGCAAACCCCCTTAGCTAATGATGCTCAGAATGCAATAGTCATAGCCTCACAAAAGCTGATATCAATATGGTAGATAGGCTAGAAATCTCCCCTGGTCTTACTCTAAAGTAACCACTGCCAGGGTCGCCCAAGCCACAACCATTAGGTATAACAACAACAATGGGCACTGTATTAGGTAGGTACCTTGTCACTCCACTCTAGATCACCTTTATCTTGTGCAATCTTCACAGGAGGGATATCTCCTTCTCTATGCCTCCCAAACTGCATCTGACCACCCTTTATGTTGACTATTCCACCACTTTGCTGAAGATCCATTGCCCTTTTGTTCAACTGTCTCTGTCTCAAGGGCCTTGTGTCTTGTTCATGTCGACTGGGTGGCTTGAAGAACACATCTGTTCTTCCATGTATCTGTCTCTCACTTCGACTGAATGGCTCCATGGTTGGTTTCTTGGTTTTCACCACACGTTTCCTGCAAAGTGCAATATCAATTATCAATATACGCATAGATCAGACTCACCTGTTCAACTCACCTGTTGGGGGTTCCCTGCCTTCCAGAGTACAGCATAGAGGATGTGCATAGGATACGTGAGGAAGGAACCCGCGAACGTAGGGCTCGCCCGGCGGAGACACCACAAGGGGGTGCTGCCAAGCCGGGAACAAGAGCCTGCATAGTGACAAACACGAATTTTGCTATAGTTTCATGATACATACAATAAAAGATCGTATACAATCATGCAAACACAAATTAGGGGAAACAGGTCAACGCAATAGCCATCACATATGATAAGAGAACAAGGCATCACCCATCGAGTCAGCCAACATGGCCTTGAACCTGCTCAGGTCGGATTCACCTACGACCTGGTCAGGGAGTGCGTTCCAAGCGGTGATACAACGCTTGCTGAAGATGAAATGAGATAGAGATGAAAGATGAAATAAGAGAGAGATGAAAAGATGATATGAGATAGAGATGAAGATGAAATGAAATCTGCAGACTGCAATGGCTGAAAAGTAAACAATTAGCTAGGTACCGTTACCGGTACCTACTGGATACTTATTTTATATTTTGATTTCATGATTTTGATTTCAATTGACGGGTGCCGGGTGGAAATCATGAAATGCGGCAGTAATTAGATGAAGGCGATCTCCACCCTCCACCACTCCCTAATTTTACTGCCAATTAATTTTCCAATATCACTCATCAAAAATCTTATATTTTATTGCCTTAGTCCAATCAATCCCAATAGTAATTAGTAAATTGAATCGACCGCGCTTTATACACGTTCAAGGCTGGTAGTTTTTAGCTGGAGCCTTGAGTCAATATTTTATCAGATACATGACGTCACATTTAAAACAAGAATAAAAGTTGACAATTTAAGATCGATATTCAATCAGTTATACAATAATTTGGTACAAAAAAAATATTATTGTGTTCTCTCATGATGTTAACGATGAATGAACCCATTATTTTATCGAAGCTAACATTAAATCTTTTAGAAACGTCACGTACAGAGGCTAGTCTTTCGGGGTCCATCTACGCTGCTTCGAATTCGACGCAGCTGTTTCAAAACCGCTTCGTATGTTGGACGCAGGTGAAAACAGGGCGCCGGAGGGCATATAAGTCACGTGATATTTGGAATTTCTCCCCCTCTGTGGGCCTTCTACTTGCCTTCTATATGCCAAACGTCACGTGATAATTTCCTGAACCTTGATCAAATCGCCCCAGGCGCCCTGTTTTCACCGTCGTCCCGTATGTTTTGCTTATTTATTTTTTTTGCCTTTAACTTCTTTGAAGGCCTATTACATTCAGGGTATTATTTACATTATAACTACCTACTGATCTGCGATCAGCGCTTGCTGCACTGAAGTCTTTTTGTCCTTAGATCTTGATCTATTGCTTAGGTCGTTTCTGAGCATAATCATTGTAGGTTGGTAGGTTGTAGGTTTTAGGTTGGTAGGTGGTAGGTTGTAGGTTTGTAGCTTGTTGGTTGGTAGTTTCAAGGTTCAAGGTTGCAAGGTTTGTGATGATGATGGTTTAGTTAGAGGATTTGCCTTTGCAACGGCTCCTCCTATTCTTTTAAACTGTACTTAAGCTATCGCGCTATGAGTTGGTATGGGGTGCATGATTAGTATTGAGCTCTTTTTCTTTTTGCCTTCTATATCTTAACTTCCACATGCTGTATAGAATTTGTTTCTTATCTTCCATATGTTTCCTATTATCATCAAATAGAAATTTCATAATGACTTCTTCTTTATCTTCCCAGTATTGTGCCATAGACGCATATTAGTCACGTGACATTTGGAACTTCTCCCCCTCCATGGGCCTTCTGCATGCTAAACGTCACGTGTGAATTTCACGAACCTTGATCAAATCGCCCCAGGCGCCCTGTTATCACCGTCGTCCCCATAGACAGTATTTTTCACTCCAGTTGGCAGTTCCTTGTAGTTTTGCCACAGTGCAGTTGCCACACTGCATTTGCGCTACTTTGCTGATTGCTTGACGCGTATACAAACTATTTCAGGGCTCACTTATTTCTTATTTTACGTCAGAAAATGTCAGACGATGTTGAAACTGAAGGCAGCAGTGTGTCCTGGACGGACTTCCGATACAGTACTGCTCCTCGCTTCTCCACCATTCGAGTCAATATGGGCGATAAGGAAAGTGAGAGCATGGAGGATGACCTCAAAGATTACCTCAGAAAGGTGAGATCATGTAATTATTTGCTGTCATATGGTCCATGGATCCATGTGTTCAGCATCGACAGATCAGCACCACCAAGTACATATACTGTAAATCGGTGGTGTTGGTCGTTGCAAGGCCAAGGGAATACCAAAAGTTTCATTACAGTAGATGGTTAAATGGGTCGTTGTTTCTACCAGGCGATTCTCTTTGTAGCGATACGTTGGAATTTTAATGCATGTATATTTGTGCCCCTGCTGACGCGTCTGTGTGTGCCCTGCAGTTGTACCCGGACGTGGCGTACCGGGTGTTCCGGCACGGCTCGCTGCCGGAGCTGCTGGTGGTGCGGGCGGACGACCGGCCGCCCCCGACACCGGGCCACTGCCAGCTGATCGTGGACGCGCTCTGCGGGGCGGCCGTGCTGCGCGGAGCGGACGTCTACGCCCCGGGCGTGCTGGGCTGTCCGGCCGGTCAGTACCACGGACAGACGGGCCGAGTCGGATGACAGGAGAGCTCTGGTGGCGGCTGGTATGGCGCCGGTACAATTCTGGTGACGAGTTAGCAGCGATTGTTGATACAAACGGGGTAGAGCAACAAACTGCGAACAGTCGACACTCGACAGTCATCGAGACAAATGACAAAACTGTTCCATCCATCGACTGTTTGCAGTTTGTTAGCAGATAAACGCTCATTGGTGTGTAAGATACACGGACGCGTTTGGTAGATGCATGTGCATATTCTGTAAACTGTATCCTGTTGCTGAACGCGCCTGTGTTGCACCGACCGCAGAGCTGCAGGCCGGGGACGCGGTGGCCGTGTACGCGGACCGGGACGGCCGCTGTCTGAGGGACCGTTATGCTCTGTATGTTGACTGCGCCTCTGTTGCACTGCCCGCAGAGCTGCTGGCCGGGGACGCAGTGGCGGTGTACGCTGACCGGGACGGCCGCTGTCTTAGGGGCCGCACCCAGCCTTACGCCGGAGCCACCACCTTCGTCGGTAACGGCGTGATGCAGCTGTCCCGACGGGAGCTGTTCACCACCGACCGGCCCAGGTGAGGGCGACAGCGACGCGGTCGAAACCCGTCTGAGCTTTTGGACTATGCTATTAGTACATAGGTAAGTACCTATTGTTAAGTAAGTTCCTATTGTCCCATTCACCCCGCCTGTCCCATTTCTTTCGACAATCTGTCAGTTAGCTGGCACGTTGTGAGTCAGTGCTTGGCCGGTCAAAGTTCTGAGTTGACGGTCCCTTTCTATGTTCAGTCAACTTCAAAGACGCATAGACAAGACCATTATGTATGTCTGTCTTAAATGTGTTGGTTTGACACTCCCTGTCTGTCCTTACGTCCGTCCAGTCTGACACTCGCCCCACCTCTGCGTCTCTCAGCGGCGTGGCGGTCCGTGTGACGCAGCCCGTGTTCGGCGCGCCCAGTCTGGGCCCTCTGTGCGGCCGGCGCGCCATGCTGCAGAACATTCCGTCCGCCCTCACCTCCCGGGTGCTGGCGCCGCGGCCCGGCGAGCTAGTGCTCGACATGTGCGCCGCGCCCGGCGGCAAGACCACCCACCTGGCGCAGCTGATGCAGAACCAGGTGAGTGTCCAGGGCGGATGGCCACAGTGCCTGCCGCCACCCGCTCAATGCACGGTCGAAATTGATGCGTTTTCGTGACACAGTGCTGACCCTTTTCAGACACTCGTAGGCTACAGATATTGGATACATGGAAAATTGTGACCTACGCGAGATACTTTGTAGTTAGTTTGTCCAGATTACAGAAAGTCATTTCTCCAGACATTTAGATCATAGGTGGAAGCGTCATGGTGAGATGGTTTGAGCCTGTGGGCTGTCTGGGTTCCCGGGTTTGACAGGTGGGATTGGCCTGTCAGTTTCCCGGCTGGGCGGTTGCCGTTGGGCGGCAGTTTCCTGTTGGGCCTGTGGCACTGTGCGGGTCGACTGACGGCTGGCTGTCCTGACAGGGTCTGCTGTACGCGTTCGACCGGACGGCGGCCAAGGTGGCCCGTATCGCGGCGCTGGCCGAGGAGCAGCTGCTGAGCTGTGTGCACGCCCTGCGCGCCGACTCCACGCGTCTGCTGTCGGCCGACTCGGCCTGCCGGCTGCGGCGGCGGCACCTGACCGGCGAGCCGTGCCCGCTGCACGCCGACGGACCGTGCGCGCCGCCGTTCGCGCCCGACACCTTCGACCGTGTGCTGGTGGACGCGCCGTGCAGCGGTCTGGGCCAGCGGCCGCGGCTGACGCCGCCCGCCGCCGGCGCCCAGCTGCGCTCGTACGGGCCGCTGCAGCGCCGGCTGCTGGCCGTCGGCGCCGACCTGGTGCGGCCCGGCGGCCGGCTCGTCTACAGCACGTGCACCGTGCCGCCGGCCGAGAACGAGGCCCAGGTGGCCGCTGCTCTGGTGGCACGGCCGCGGCTGCGGCTGGAGCCGGCCGAGCCGCGGCTGGGCGGGCCGGGTCTGCCCGGCCACGGTCTGGACGCCGACCAGTGCGGCCGGGTGCAGCGGTTCGTACCGCAGCCCGAGTCAGACTGCTGCGACCGGGACACCATCGGCTTCTTCATCGCCTGCTTCAGCAAGGCAGAGAGCTGACGAACGGCCCGGTGCGTACAATAAATTACTATATACTGTAAGCATTCTGTCGCTCTTTTTTCAAAAGGTCAGGCAAACATTTGGGGTGCTACCGTATGCTTTAAGCCACCTAACACTCATTTGTTAAACGCTGGTTGAAGTGACATTTTCAAACCAGTACGCAAAGACATGGATGCTAGTACGACAAAGGCGTTGATAGCTTTGCTACGGTTGTATGCTGATTGAAAGCGTTTTCCTCATTAAGTCGTCATAGAGGGCGTCGAGTTACCACTGCATGGCGATAGTAGAATCTGACTTTATTGGCGACACGTTTAAAATACAAATAGACATAGAGCAAGTGTACGGCGGCGTCACTGCTACATCAACACCACTCCACTGACGCGCTGGGGACCAAGCTGAGAGAGCGCGGGCCGCGGGCCGCTAGTGACGGGCGGCGAGAGGCGGCCACGGCGGGCGGGGGCGGCCAGTGAGGCCGTACCAGGGGCGGAGCGGCCCGAGACGGCTGCCTCGGAGACGGGGGCGGCCAGAGAAGCAGCCGCCGAACTGTGAACTGACACTGATATGTGGAAGCGAAGCCAAATTAATCCTGACTGACGAGCGGCGCCCCTGCAGCGGGGGGTGGGGGATGTCGGCGGGCGCGGCGCACACTGACTAGTGGGGACTGACTGGGAGCGGCCCGCCGGACCGGTGACCGGCCAGGGGAAGCGATGGCAGTGACTGGGCGCGGCGCTGCAGCGCGCCGATGGCGGTCCGCCCCGCGCCGAGGCCCCACCACTCGCCACCTACGTACAGCAAGCTAGTTGGCCGGCGGCGCGGCGCACACGCACTCCATATACATAGTGAACCGGGCGGCGCGCGGGCCGCCGGCTTGGCACGAGTTTCAGACGAGATTCGGTAGTCGCCGCCGCCGGCCGGGAGGGCCTGTGTACCTCCGGCGGCGGCCGGCGCGGCCGGCAAGGCACCGCGGCCGCTCACTGCAGCAGGTCGTTCCATACGCCCTGCAGGTAATCATTGTTCTGATCATAGTCGTACGAGTAGTTGTCATAGTCGTTGTTGTAGTTGTTATCGAAGTCGTAGTACGGTGTGCGCTCGCTGGCGTTGGCCAGTTGCGCCTGTCCGCCGTTGTAATCGTAGTCGTACTCTGGGACATAGTCGAGCGGCGGGTACTCGGGCGGCGGGATGGGGTCCGTGCCACCTCCCAGGTCCGGCAGTGACAGCGGCGCGCCCTCGTCCCTGCGGAGGGCGGAAGGCAGCGGTCATAGGGGCAGCACCACCGCGCGGCCCGACCGAGCTGGGCTGGACTGGGCTGAAGGACAACTCCGACAGACACTCAATTTCTGTCGAGAAGCTCAGATACGTTCATGCCAAGGAGCCCCGGCCTCACCTACACCAGTGGTGGCCCAGTGTCCGCTACAATGATAACACTCGAGAAACTTGGCTAACCCTATGCCAATGTCAAATCGTTGGACTCCACTCAGCGGATGACACCCAGCCCGCAGTCGTTTGAGGCCGGGCGGCCGGTCACACCCGGCACCACGGCCGCCCAGAAGCCGACTTACCCGGTACAGGGGCTGACATTGGCGCCTCCCTGCAGATCAGTGGTAAAGTCCACCGGGTCTCCCTGGATGGAGAGCTGGTGTACGCAGCCGACCAGACCCATCGCGAACCGGCCGTCCGTCATCAGCTCAAAGTCGGGCAGACCGCCTGTCGGATGGTAAAGGAATCACTGACTGATGTGGCAGTCACAGTCATCAGCTCAAAGTCGGGCAGACCGCCTGTTAGGAAGTTTTTGGGTCACCGACATGGCAGCCACAGGGTGACAGGGTCACAGTTATCAGCTCAAAGTAGGGCAAACCGCTTGTCGGATAGTTAGGGAGTCGCTGACTGATGAGCCAGTCACAGGATGACAGTCTCTTGCATAATCACATGGTCACAGCCATTGACAGTCACAGGGCCAGAGTCAGCGCTGCCGACCTAAATGGGAGTCCTAAAGTGATCGGAACACCCGACACTTTGCAGCGTTTTGCGAAGAGTAGCATTACGCTCAAGGCAGGCTATAGGCACAGAAAAGGTGAGTTCGAGGCTCTGAGAGGCACTATTCGGGGTCCAGTAAGGCATGCCTCTGCTTGAGTGTGACTCGCTCACGGGCGCTACAGAGGGCCGCCGGCGGCGCCACTGACCGATGTAGATGTTGCCGTTGGTGTTCATCATGGTCAGGTAGCCGGGCGTCTCGCCGCTCTCCGAGTAGGTGTCGTCGAGCAGCAGCTCGCCCTGGCGGCCGGTGCGGCGCGCCACCAGCGTGTGCTGGCGGCCGTCCGCCACCCGCTGCGGCAGCGTGATCCGCAGCGGGCCCGAGCCGAGCTCGAAACTCAGCTCCGGCCGGCCCGCCCGCACTGCGGCATACGGAACACCCAGGGCGTCAGTCGGCAGTCAGAACCGGTCAGTGCTGCATGGAACTACTGCTGTTTACCACTAGTTCTCATACTGATTGTACTGATTACTGATTATTTGTAAAGCGCACCAAGTTTTTCTCTAGCTCTCACAATCATGGCATTCACGATCCTCGGCGTCTGAAAAAAACATATTTGCTGGGAAAGAACTCGGGAGCGAGCCGAACCAATATACACAGGTGATGGACGACGGTCCGTATCCCCGCTACCGGCAAATTGCACGCCGGCAAACATCGGCACCTTTGCCTCACTCAACGCCTGGACAGGTGTGCTACTCAACCTTCCCTGGGTGCTAGCAGGACATGTGCTACCTTATAGCTACCCTTCCCCGGGTAGCCCACTTGTCCTATAGCTACCGACGGATCTGCTTTTTGCGCCCCTGACGCTCACCGCCCGGGCATCCCTGCTCCTCCCAGCCCTGTAACTGACCGGCGATGGCGATGTAGTCCTGTCCGGCGCCGCGCTCGCGCGCAGTCTGTCCGTGGAAGAAGAGCAGGCCGTCCTCCTCCAGCGTCGAGAAGGTGATGTTGACCGTCTCGGGCTGCGAGTTGGACTGGTGCGGCAGCAGCTTCAGCGGCAGCTCGGCGTACGAGTGCATGTCGAACCACAGGTGAGAGCTGAGCTCCACCTCTGCAGAGAGAGACACGGACGTCAGGACAGTCGAGAACAAACGCAAAAGCCCTGCAGAACGGTAACGGTCGTAAGAACACTTCAACTGGGACGTTCTACAGAGCCGGGTTATCCGCATAGTTCTATAAAAAACGCATATAGACATCTACATGGCCATTCGGCACTCACCTCGCTCGCAGTAGATGCCGCCGAAGCCGAGCGGACAGTTGCAGGCGGTCATGCCGGCCCTCTGGACACACTCGCCACCGTTCTGACACGGGTTGTTCCGGGCGCAGTCGTCCTGTGAGACCTGCGTGTCGGCAGCGGTCAGTCAGCTCGGCCACCAGGAAAAAAAAACGGCGCGATATAATTGGACACGGTTTACGTTGCATTCTGGCCTCCCTCTTCGCGAAAGAAAGCACCGATGTCCCTACAAGCTACGGCATCGCACTCCACATAATGCGACATCCCTCCTTAACATCCCACTCCAGAGACGTCTCTATCTCACCTCGCAGCGTTTTCCGGAGAAGCCGCCGACGCAGTCACACTGGAACTGGTCGGGCTGGTAGCCGGTGTCCCGGCAGGAGGCGCCGTTCAGGCACGGCCGCCGCTCGCAGGGCCGCGACGGCGCGCATTGGTCCACGTTGGCCGCGTCCTGGCGGCCGTCGAGCAGCTCCAGCTCGCGGTCGTCGACGCGCAGCGAGCCGACGCAGCCGATGAGGCCGCGCTGCACGCCCACGCCGTCGCTGACACGCACCCGCTGCCGGTCCACGCCGCCCAGATACAGCGGCGTCTGCAGGTTCAGGCCGCGCGTGCTGCCCGGGGACTTACCCAGCACCTCCTCACCTGGTGAACACCGCCGGATGGACGGCCCGATACGTCAGTGGGAATGTAACGCACTTATCGGGGAACACGCTCACAGGGCCGAGGAAAGAACCCCAATTAATGTTCTATTAATGACATCGAAGCTCAGGCGCTCCTTTAATTTCGTTGTTGAAAAGGAGGGACCCAGTCACCCGGTCAGTTCGACCTACGTAATTCGTTACAGTAGCAGGGAACTTTTCATACACTATTTTCCCTTTGAAGATACGGCGAGTTTTCTGAGGGATGGGCAGACCCCCGCCGTCCACCTACCGTCGTTGACCCGGAGCGTGCCGTCCCTCATCTGGCGTGTGCCGGCGATTTTGATCCACTCTCCCTGTTTGACCTCCTCGGGACTGCGCAGCACGGCGGCGCCGGTGCCCGTGTCGTACCTGGGGACACGGGAGAAGTTGGAGGCGGCGCCGGCGCTCCTGTCGAACTCGGGAGCACGGAGACGGGCCAGGGACGGCAACCAACACACAGGAGACAAGAAACGATGACACGGAGAGGCGACGACAAAGACAGCGCAAGTCAGACGTGCAGCGCACACGATCAGACTGCCGGAGGGTCCCCTCTGAGGAGCCCCAGCAGCTGTCGCCTGGCCACCCACCGGAATTCGACGTGTTTGTCCTTGATGGCGAGCGCCACGAAGTCGCCCTGGCCCTGTTCGTTCTGTGCGGCGTACAGCAGCAGGCCGTCCTCGACCTTCTCAGGCTTCAGCAGCAGGTCAAACTTCAGTCTGACGGTGGAGAAGGTTTGACAATAAGTAGCGTTGAGACATACATAAATAACAGATAGATTCGCAATCTTTGCTATCTGGTCAGACCAACCAGCTCAACAAGGCCCTCTGACGCACCTCTTCCCCCACAGTCCCAGGCACATCCCCCCCAAAGCCCCACTCCCTCCCCTCTCCCCGTCTACTCACTGTCTGATGGCCCGGGGCGTGTCGTAGGTAATGTAGCTGTCGCCGCCAAAGTTGGGCTCTGTGATGACGATATCTCGCTCGCAGCGGGCACCCGTCTTGCCGAAAGGACAGTAGCAGGTGAAGCCGCCCGGAGCGTTCACGCAGCGGCCCGAGCCGCAGGCACCTGGCGGCGGCGGTGACGGTGGAGTCAGAAGAGATATACACGACGTCAGGGCACAACCCGGATAATCGAACATGGAAAGCAGGACAGACCACGAGCAATGGAAACACACCGTTTTTCCACTTCCACACTGCAGCCCTGAAGGCACGGACCACGCCCTGACGGCAAGGGCCTCTTGGTGGTAACTGACGAGCCGGCCTCTTATCTACACGATGGGAGCTAAGTAGTTTCCCCTGCGTTTTTTTATAATCATAACGTAATCTTCTAATGTCGTGTTATGGGCGCCGATGACCACTATAGTCCGGGCGCCCCAAACCCCCAATTCATCATCATCATCATCATCATCATAATCTACACGGCATTCGTACCAGAGTACAACACGCCTGTCTTAGCTGTAGACAGCCCATCGGTCCGACCGTACTTGTGAACATCAGTAGCACACCCCCTGCCCGTCCTGTCCGTACCTGGGTAATACACCGCTCTGTGCCCATGTAGTTTCAGCACACCCTCCAGTCCTCACCTGGGTAGCACACCTGTCCGGCCTCGGAGCAGGTGGGCCCGGTGAATCCGGCGGCACAGATGCAGCGGTGGCCCCGCTCATTGAGCGCCTCCTGGCACAGGCCGCTGTTGTCGCAGGACGAGTCGGTGCGACACACCTCACACTGACGCACGTCGCGTCTGTCCAGCGCGTCCGACTGCAGGCTATACAGCACGCCAGAGACCGAGAGTCGCGCCACGCAGCCTGGGTGGCAGACACCGAGATGCGGCGGTTAGAGGGAACGGAGAAGCGTCACACAGTCTGGGTGTAACAGACAGAGGTACAGCGGTCAGAGGAGACGGAGAGGCGTGTAAGGTAGCCTGGGTGTAACAGACAGAGGTACGGCGGTCAGAGGGGACGGAGAGGCGTGTAAGGCAGCCTGGGTGGCAAACAAACGTTCTCAAAATACAGAGGCTAGAGGAGACAAAGGCGCAACCTCTCCCCCTCATACTCCATAGTACGATCGGACCGCACCACCACCGCAGTCCAGTTCACCCTATGCCACCGTGACTCACCGATGAATCCGCGGTCGAAGCCGCTCTCGGGGTGGATCTGCGCGAAGTCTGGCACGCCTCCGATGTAGAGCGGCTCGTCCAGGTCCAGGCCGACATACTCTCCGTCCGCCTCGCCATCCACCTCCGTGTTACCGTCCACCGTCATCTTTCCTGTGGAGACACACGGTGACGTTAATTTCACAGAGCGGGAGGAGACACGATCACATACATACCACGCAGGTGCGTTTGCTGGTCTTCATAGTAGGTACTGCATTGGAGACGATGCTCCCCCGTTAGTGGAGAAGGGTCACCCACTGAGATGGACCCGGCCGTCGGCTCAGGCCTTCCACTCACCTCTGTTCTTGTCGCGCTGCAGCCGGACCGTGTGCCACATGTCCATGATGACGGCACGCCGCGAGCGGAGCACTGCCGGCGCGCCGCCCAGCTTGAACCGGAACTCTGGGTAGCCCTCGCGCAGGCCGAACGAGACAAAGTCGCCGCCGCTGCCGTCTCCAGTCGACTGCTGGCCGTTGTACAGCAGCAGGCCTGTGGGAGGGGCGCCGGAAGAGGCCGGTCAGGGCGGCCAGGTACTACAGACGGCACATAGATAGTTTGGCGTGTCCCTCCGCCATACGATTCGCGAAAGGACGCACACATGGATCACTAGGATAGCGGGATCTTTTGAGCAAACGCCGTACTGACCGACGCTATTTTGCCGCCGTAACGTGAAGTGACAGCCATCAGAACCTAGCGATGGGCATAGTGACGAACCCAGCACCAACCATCAGAGATCCAAATACCAAACAGGCCTATCCCGTGACCCAGCAGTGACTTTGAAACCCCAGTTCCGACTAGATGACAAACAAGCGCCCGACCAGTGACCCGGCAGTGGCCGTAGTGACCAAGCAACGTGCAGTGACCTCAGCTGACCCGTCACTAACCATCCATAGCGGCCGGCCGGAACGACAGCTCCACGTCGAAGCTGAGATAGGCGTCTGGAATGGTCTCCAGCGCCACGAAGGAGCCGTCCGAGGCGCCGAACGAGGGCACCACCTCGGTCACCAGGAGCACGGTGGTCGTGTCCGTGGAGGTCTGCGCGTTACGAGACGTGCACACGTACATGCCGGCGTGCTCGACGCGCGCAACGTCAATTGACAGCGTCTCCTGTGGAGAATGGGTGGAGGTCACTCAACTGAGACAGGCAATGGACGGGCAGGGCAACAGTGGGCAGCTGGTGACATCGGCGTCATTTGGCAGTGACAACGCTCATCGCGCAGACCTTCAACATATATATTTGAAAGCTGATAGTCAGATGTGACCTAAAAAGAAAAAAAAACAGCGACAAAAGGAGCGAGACTAAAAATTCGGGACACAAACAAACCACAAATTATGGAGACGGTCAGTCTGTCGGTCCATCCTTCTGCCCACCCGCCTGTTCGCTCGTCTCTCCGTCCGTCCATGCATACCTGGCTGGTGACCAGACCGGCCGGCATCGGTCCGTCCGACTTGGTCCACGTGTAGCTGAGCGGCCCCGGCAGCGGGCTGCGACACCGCAGTTCGACGGGCGCCGTCAGACGGGCGCGCACCGTCTCCGGGGCCGAGCGCTCCGGTACCAGCACGTCCGGCGCCGGCGGCACTGACAGCAGAGAGCGGGGGAAGTTGATATGAGGGCCTTCTGAGTTGAATGAGTCCCCTACTGGTCATGGAGTTGAGCTTAGAGATAGAGCATCCTCTATTCGTAAACGGATGGCGTAGTGGTTCTTTGTCACACTATTCGTAAAACAAGGAAACATCACGCCATCCATGGGATTGGGGACCAAACGCCTAACACATTTGAAGTCGGCAGTCAACAGTCAAAAAGCATCACACTCGACTGCCATTAGGCCCCACTGCGCGAAGGAGCGACGCACCCACCTTGGATGGCCAGCACGTAGTCCTCTGTGTACTCGGCGCCTCCTCTTGTCATCACCGTGCAGCGGTACAGGCCACCGTCGTCGGCAGTCAGCTCGGACAGGCGCAGCTGGTTACCGCGAGCGATGGCGCCCGGCGGCAGCGGAGCGTTCACGCGCTGCCACGAGGCGCGCGTGCCCTCGGCGCCCGTCACCTGGCACGTGAGGTCGAGCGTGGCACCGACGGGCGCCGAGTCACGCGACGGCACGATTCGGATGGCCACCTCCTCGACGGAGTCCTCGGAGGCTGCGGCGGGCGGGTGTGCCGGTCAGCGGACAGCGGATTAACGACAGATAGCTAACAGCCGAAACTCGCCGAGTAGCGGACGGCAGAAAAACAGGGCCCAATCAGACAATACCCGGGTATTTACTCAGGCTTTGAGCCTTTGGTACCCGCTTTGAGCATTGCTATTTGACACAAAAAACAACCAACTTAATGAAGGAATATTAACACGTAAGAAGCAAAGTAAAGAGAAGACAGAAAGTCATGTCCACGTACCTTTATGGTTGTCGGAAGAGCTAGCTCGATGCGTATCTACGCTTTATACGGCCTCGTTCATCCCCGGCCCATGCAAAACCAAACATGCACATCTACAACACTACCAACTTTATTTCCTACAGTAAGCTAGCCTAATGTTACATTGGTCTGAAGCAGGCAGTCGTAACTGGCAACAATAGTCACACACATGGAAGACTCGAGAATTCAATATGGCAGTTATGTGTAAGCGTTGGTTTCCTCTGTTGCGTTGACCCCTAGAACCAGCTCCCGGTTCCCGGCTTGCTCTGCTGGCGGTTGTGGCTGGCCGCGGCCGCCTTCTTGCCGGCGCCGTGTCCCCTCCGGCGGCGGCGCAGTCGGCGGCGCCGCTGTCGGCGCGCGGTCCGTACGGGCGCCGCCCGCCGCTGGCAGCGCGACTCGTCCGAGCGGTCGCGGCAGTCGTAGCGGCCGTCACAGAGCGCCGAGAGCGGCACACACTGCGTGCCCGAGTCGCAGGCCGTCTGGCCGGGAACGCACCGACCGCCGCCGGACAGAGCTGAGAGAGAGAGACGGAGAGAGAAGCCGGAGCGGCCCCACGGCTCCGGTCAGCGGCTGCTGGAGTGGCCGCCGCCGCCGCCCGCCGTCCCACCTCGCCGCTGGTGTGTATCTGTATTCCGTGTGCTGCGTCAGCTAGCCGTCAGTGTGCGGCCGGCGGACGGCTGGGCGGCGGCGGCCCAAACTTCACCTCTCCTGTTAGAGCATAACACATCTAGCTACAACCTTCTACAAGCATAGCATTAATCTGTCTTTCATGAGCAACACTCCCCAAAGGAAACAGTGCAATACAATATCGAAATAGATGCCATAGATACCGAAGATAAAAGTAGCCAGCGCCACGCCAAATCACCCGACCGAAATACCGTATAATTTTACAACTCCAGCAACTAGCCAAAGGGATGCACTCCGCCTTTTCATCAGACGATTGGCACCCTGGTTCGTTCCGTATTTGTTCGGTCGGTGATATGACGGGGGCGCTCAGACCGGGCGGGGAACAGGGTGCAGGGAAGGAGCCGGCTGCCAGGTCGGGTCAGGCAAGTCAGAGGCGCGGCCGGCTGACAACCGCTGCCTCTCCAACGCCAGGGTGGATTTTGCTATTTTCAAAAGTATTCGTTGGAAAGTAGTTAAGCAGTCATACATTCAAAGTTGACTTGAACAGCCAATTGTTAGATTCAGTAAAAAAAAAAAAATGGAAAAGGAGCTTGGGGAGCCAACTGGCGTAAAGATTTACATCATGAGCCTCGATTCGGCCGTCTGATTAATTCATTTATGAAAAACTCATAAGCATCGAAAAGGTGGCAGTATGACATTTAGGACGGTACCACATTAACTTGATAGCGTCCTGTGTCGCTGGCGCTGCGACACCCGGCGGGGCGAAGAGGAGAGGAATAGAGAAGAGGACAGGAGAAAAGAGGAGCAGGAGCAGATCACACAATCCGCACGACAGCCGGCATGCTGAACTACAATACCAGTCACGGAGAGCCACGAAGAGGGCCGAGCATGCCGGGCACAGTAGGTACAGGAGGGGGTGGCTACTCACGCTGCACCACGAGTCGCACTGTATCGCGGCCCGACCGGCCGGCCCGGTCCCGCACCTCGCAGATGTATGTGCCTGACGCCGACTCGTCGACGTTCTCCAGTCTGTGACGGCGACGGTAGAGCGGGGTCAGAGCGGGTTGTCAGAGCTGGGGTTACAGCGGTGTCAGAGTGAGGGTTACAGCCGGTCAGAGCGAGTCGGCAGTGGTGCACTAGCGCCGACATAGCCACGGCAATCGGCGTCCACCGCTCCCCCTCATCCTCCTCTCCCAGGCAGTCAACTCTTGGAGCACCGCCATCCATCCTTCCCCAGTGGTCACCGTGCCCTCCTCCCTCCCTTCCCCGGCAGCCGCCACTCAGATCAGCGGCAGCTCGTACCTGAGCGTGTTGTCCTCGTAGTAGGCGCCGGCCGGCAGCGGTCCACGCTCCCGGCGCCACACCAGTCGGCCGCCCTCGAAGCCGGTCGTGTCGCACTGCATGTTGACCGTGGAGCCAGCGAAGGCGGTGACGTCGCGGTCCAGCGCCGTCACAGACGGGCCCGCTGGTGGAGGGATGGGGAGTCAACCGAGCGGCGTCTCTGGCACTCCCAGCAGCCAATATCACCACTGCGAGGCCCCCGCCGGGGAGTTGATTTGCCAGAACCTCGCCCCACTGGCCACACCCACACAGCTTTAACCCGTCTGGACGAGTATCGAACAGTCTGATAAGAACCTTTGTCCCTTCACTCCCCGCTGACAATGACCTCAGCCACTTTACTCACCACTGACAATGACCTCAGCCACTTCACTCACCGCTAACAATGACCTCAGCCACTCCCTCAGCTCGTCCGGCCGAGTTTTCGGCGGTGCACACGTATCGGCCGGCGTCGGTGACAGCAATACCTCGGAACTGTGGGGACACGGTAAGGGATAGTGTCAGTAAACTGGGAAGCGCGACACGGAACTGTTGGGACACACGGTCAGAGACAGCGGTCAGTTGACAGGGACGACTGACACGGGCAGACACCGTCTCTTGTGACAGTGTTCATCTCATCGAACTCTGCACTTCCTACTTAAGAATAAATCAACTACACAATGCGTGAGACAGGTTCATGAGTATTCGACTACAGCTTTTCGGTTGCTTGTGCAGCCAGTCCAAACAAAGGTGTGTACCAGGGACGGGTCTGGGAGACTAGGAGGGCCAGGTTAGCACTCACGTTCAGTTCTCCGTCCCGGACGGCCACCGATCTGGGCAGCTGTCCGTCCTGTTTGGCCCAGCGCAGTGTGATGGGCTGGTCGCCGGTGGCTGAGCAGTAGATGAGCACGTTGTCGCCGGGCTGCACCACCTGGCGCACCGGGTCCAGCTGGATCTTCGGCGGCGCTGTGCCACCGAGAGGGGGGATGTTAGTCCTCAGGTATCCGTCAAATCACCGCCCCAACTCGGTCCGGACGGCAGTACGACACGGCACGGAACTATCCGTAACACAAGGCTAACTGTGGATGAAAATGAGCATAATACTGCCCATAGCCTCGCTATGAACAGCACTACAACATTATGCAGTACGCGTCTTACGAGTATGCTCGCTAAGACGCGAGAGCTGAGGGCACGAATTGGCAAAAAAGTCACACTCAGTGCATAGACCTATCGTTGTCTTCTCACCTCTGGCTCTAGTGACACATGGTCGTCCTACACAGACGAGGTAGCGTGAAAAACACAGAAAGAACACTTAAACACCCTGCCAGGCAATGCCTAGTCAATTCTGGACTCGGCCTTTGAACAATGGAACGTATTACATTGATAGTGCAAATCCCAATTACACGCCACAGCAGAGGCTGAATGACACCTAACATCAATATAACTGTCGTCTCCCGGGCGTTGCAGAATGGACTGCTCAATGACAGACCCTGTGCTCCATATGAGCCGAACTCTGTGCTCTGCGCTGCACTCACCAATCACCCGCAGCGTGGCGTTGGCCTCGAACAGCACGGTGCCCGAGGCGCCCAGTCCGATACAGGTGTAGCGGCCCTCGGCCTCCTTCTGTACGTTGTTGATGTAGAGGGTGCCGTCACGCACCAGGTACTGCTCGGGCATCTCGCGGCCGTCCGACCGGATCCAGTTGATTAGGATGTCGCGCTTCGAATCTGAGGGCGCACCGGAGGGGCGGTGTGTTGGGACAATATAGAAAAACTTGATAACGCTCCACTAGTAATCAAAGACGGCAAAATCTGGATAAGATCATGGCTATAGCGAAGGTCGCAAAATGACCATCGCAGTAGGCATGCCCTTCAGCCTTTATAAACAAATGGCTAACAAGCAGCCTCTGACCTGTTCTGGGCCACATAGCAGGTAACATTCCCCGACGATAGGCCGGACTAAACACATAACCCCATGACGGTGTGAGGCGCAGCACCACGTACCGACCACGTAGCAGGTGAGTTCAGCGCGGCCGTTGAGCGGCACGCGGTACACGTCCTCGGAGGGTCGGAGCGGGCCCTCCGGCTCGGGTCGGATGGGCCCCGGCCGGGTGGGCTCGGGCCGGGTCGGCTCGGCGTCCACCAGCAGCTGCAGCCGCTGCTCGGTCTGGCCGGCCGAGTTGGTCGCGCGGCACGTGTACACGCCCGAGTCGCGCCGGCTGGCGGCGCCGATCCGCAGCAGCGCCTGGCCCGTCTGACGGGACGGGGGCGCCGGCGGGCCCGGCAGCGCGGCCGCCGGCGACTCCCATGACACGGACGGCAGAGGGTCGCCGGTGGCGCGGCACTCCAGGCTCACCTGCTGGCCCTCGCGCACCCTGCCGAAAAACAGGTCAGCAGAGGGTCAGCTCAGGTCAGCAGGGACTCAGCATAAGGTCAGAGAAGACTATTACAGATCAGCCCATTTTATGCATTTACGCGCAGCACAACACCCTATAAAGCATTGTTTCGTTACGTAAATACTGCTGTAAAATAAAGCTACCGGGAAACTACGGGAAACTGCAACTACCTTCATTAACAAGTGACGATTTAGGCCACAACAAGACTGTTTTAAGTGTGTAAAGTAGCTGCGTCACCTGTACTGAGTGGGCTGTGAAAGTGTGATGACCGGCGGAGACTCGATGTTCAGGGTGGCCGTGGCCGTGGTCGTGCCGGCCAGGTTGGTCGCCGTGCAGATGTACTCGCCCTCTTCGTCACCGGTCACTCGGATGAACCTGGCGTACGGAACAGAGTGAGATCAGAAAATATTGGACACTGGCGCATAGATACTAGTGCGCTCAGAATAAGCTATAATTTGGCGCAGAGACAGGAGCACAGTTGAGGCACATCCCTAACTTACCAACACTCCAACTAACTCAACTAATGACGCCGTCCCACCACGACGACGTGCCCTGTCCCGCCCACTGACCTGATGACGCCGCCGTCCAGCGTTTCGGCGGTGGTCGGCAGCGGGCGGCGGTCGGCGCGCGTCCACACCAGTTCCGGAGCCGGCGCACCGGCGTTGACACGGCACTGGAAGAGCGCCGAGCCTCCGCGGGTGACGGTCACAGAGCTCTCCGGGTAGATCTCCACACTGGGCACCTCGCGACCTGCGGCCGGCGGCAGGGACGCGGTCAGCGGCGGGCCTGGCGCTCGGAGGCAGCATCAGTCCCTTTTATCACTTTGCCGCCAGTTAGACAACTACTGACATTACTTATCAGTACTACTAGAGCGACAGTAAAATCGTAGCAAAGTAGTCCTTGCCAGTTATTTGATGCTTTCACATGGCTCGTCTAAAAACGATACTATATGGAAACATACTCGTGATCTTCAACAATCTAGCTCAAAAAGGCACAGGCATACACCCTGTATACGGCCTTGGCATACACCATAACTGTGCGGTACCGCTCGCCCCGATCACCGGTCTGCCGTTCACCGGCGCTCGGCTAATGGACGGTAGACGCCAGAGGTGGGATCACCTGGCCGGTCGGGGCCGCAGCCCTCCTCATCCGAGCTATCCGTGCAGTCGAACACGCCGTCGCAGAGGTAGCGGCGCAGCACACACTGCCGCCCAGAGCGGCAGGCCACCTCGCCCGGCCGGCAGGCTGCGGGGAGGGCGCACAGACCGGGGTGGGTGGGAGGCCACCGGGCGTGCGCGGCAGGCGGGGAAGGGGTGGGGCTCGGAGCGGCTGACCGGCCACCACCAGCAGTGGCAGGACGGTCAGCCGCTCCGCAGAACCCGGCATACCATTAGTGGGATCACATGCTTAACTCATTCATAACTACGAAGTATGTACATTACGTGGAACATGCTTCCATGCGCATCAACTCGCCAAACTATTTGGCTAGCTTGAATCAAAACTTCATGCTAGGTTAGTCTAGGTAAAACAAATCCTTGCCATTTCGCTGATGGCTACGACAAACCTTTGAGGAGAGTCACAGGCAATGCGTCAGCGCCAAGCCGAGAGCGGCCTCCACGAGACGTTACCTGACGGGGGCGCCGGGGCGGGGGCTGGCGCCGGGGCGGGGGCGGGGGCCGGGGCCGGCTGGCCGCCACAGTACAGCTCGTCTGAGTTGTCCAGGCAGCTCACGATGCCGTTGCAGCGTTCACCCAGCGGCACACACTGGCCCGAGAGGCACTCGAACTCGGCGGGTCGACAGATGCCAGCCGGCGCGCCGCCTGATTGATCAGGGGCGGCCGGGCAGCGGTCATACACGGCGCCGGGACGGAGCCCTCGCGAGCAGGGGTGCCGAGCGGTGTTAGCGAGCGGTAGCGATGCAGAGCTCAGGCACAGCGGGTAAGTGATCAAAGCCAGGCATGTTAACGAGGCTACTGGCGGTGTTGTTTGGTACCAAAGTCTGAACATATAGCCCGTAAAGTGTTGAGAGTGACGAGTTCAACACGACGAACGGACAGGCACAGCTCAACCAGTTATTAATTCGACGATTGTCAATTTCAGTCCGTGTCGGATTATACGATTCCGTTAGCCCGGACGGAATGACATGAAGGCACCATACTGGTGAACAGTGCTGTTCGTTCGCCGCAGACTGAGCTCACTCTCTGGGTATGGCATATAATACTCGTACAGTCAGCCCATGCACCGTGTTGGTGTTGTAAGCCGCAGCGGCTGCGCGGTAGGAGAGGGGGCAGATAACAGGCGGTACTCACGCTCCACCTCGACGATGGCCGACGTCTGAGCGGTGCCGACCGAGTTGGTGGCGCGGCACACGTACAGGCCGCGGTCGGACACGTCGGCTGCCGGGATGGTCAGCACTCCTCCGCGCTGGTCGGCGCGCGCCGGTAGCGGCTCACCCGCCTTGGACCACGTCACCTCGGGCGGCGGAGAGCCTGGCGCGGCGGGCATCAAACAGGTCATACACCACAACATGGCATGGCGGCCGGGACAGCGCATCAAACCACCTCGTCGGCGGTACACACACCGGACGGCGTAACGCAAGTCATTACTCCACGACAGCAGAAAAGGCAGGCAAACACTATCACTAAATACGTTAAAATAAGCGCCTCCGTGCCTGAGTTCGATACATTTCCTCCCCACACGGATCGCAGAGCGGGTCCTATCGGTTCTTCCCTAGCTTCAGCCGAGGCCGCACGGAGTGGGGGACGGACTCAGAGGATCCTATGTTATAGATCTGCCGACACTGACCCTCAGTCAGGCAGCGCAGTGTGATGGTCGTGCCCTGGGCCACCGTCTGTCGGTTGGGCTCCACGCGCGCCGTGGGCAGCACTCCGGTCGGCGTCGTCGTCACGGGGCCGCCCACCACCTCCACCCGCACCCGCTGCTCCTCGCTGGCCACACACAGAACCGGGAGACACGTCAGAACATGAAAAGATATCACAAAGGTACGTACACCGCCAGACTGTCTACAGCAAGACAACACCTGATGATGGTATGAGGTTCGGGTACAATCGTTAACAGGCGGCGTCTTGAGTGGCGATATGACCGAGTATTGTCACCTCTTCTTCAATAACGGCTATTGCCTCTGCACAAGCAGAGACTCTAGCCACCAGTGGCCCAATGACAACTAGTGTACCACATCAGAGTAGCGGTCCTCACCAGTTGTGTATGTTGTAGTAGGTATATCACCAGCAGCGGCTCTCACCTCCTGCCCGATGAGATGGTAATGGTACAGATGTAGATACCCGAGTCGGCCGGCACCGGGTTCGGGATGTTCAGCTCTCCCTGTGCAGTAGTGGCCCTCTGGAAACGGAGACCGGCCACTCAGCGCGTGGTCTTCTGCATTCCAGACCAGACCTGAGAGTCTAGCAATTAGGATATGAAATGAGAAACCTAAGAGAAGAGTCGGACCAGGCTCACGCGGCACCTTCGGTCATCCCTGTACCCCCGTCCCTCTGCCTCCCATTCGTCTCACCAGCGGCAGGCGGCCGGACTCTCGGCGCCACGACACAGAGGCGCCGGGGTCGCGCGCGCGGCAGGTGACCCGCACCGGCTGGCCGGGCCGCACCGACACCTGCTCGGGCCGAACGTCACCGAATGGCTCCGTCGGCGGCACCACGTCTCCGGACACGTAGATGGCCGTGGTGACCGAGTCGGTTCCGGCCGCGCTGGTGGCGGTGCACACGTACTGAGCCTCGTGCTCCTTCCGCACGGCGCCGATCACCAGCATGCCGTCCACGATCGAAACCTGCAGCGGGAACGAGAGACAACGTCAAGACAACGTCAGCGGCCACTGGCTGTCAGCCGACGTCACGGCACACGCACAAGTAGACACTTGAAGACCGCACCTTCTTTTAGCCGTTTGTGTGCCTGGCCGAGGTTCGGCTGCTTGGCTGAAGCTCGGGTTTGGATCTGAAGTTAAATTGCATGAGTGAGGTTTGTGAGTCTGATGCCGATGTTGCAAAGTCCGGCTGAGGTTCATTTAGCCAGTCCGGATTAAGCTAAGAGACTCAGCGGCTGCGCGGCCGTCCGTGCCGTCTCTCAGTCCCACTCACGTCTGGCTCCAGGCGGCCCTGTCGGCCGCCGGTCCACTCGATGGTGGGCTGCGGGCTGCCGTCGGCCGAGCACTCGAGCTGCGCCGGCTCACCAGCGGTCAGCTGCAGGAAGCGTGGAGAGATGGTGACCCGCGGCGGGCGAGTGCCGCCTCCTGCGGGGCAGCGGCAGCGGCTGCGTCAGACTCGGCGCCCTCACCAGCACACACAGACACCGGCTCACTCGGCCGCGTACTGCCACCAAAATTATGCGTTATTCTAGCCATCAAAAACTAAAAGCGCAATTTTAGAAAAATCCGGATCCGGTTAGATGTGACGTTAATTTACGTTGTCAGACTGCGTGTCTCGTTCGGCTTAATTTCCTGAACATTTATATCTATCACCCCAACCTAGTACTGCCTAAAATGAGAAAGTTCAGTGGCTGCAAAATATTTCTAATGACATATAGGTAGACCTCATGACAATCAACGAGTGTGCATCCACGCACATACATATATGCATTATGAACATAAAAGAAATACATAAACATGTAAAAATATGGCGATCGGAAACATGCTGCCTACGGGCTACGGGAGACGAACACCAAGGGCTGGTGGAAAACAAATAAATTATTCCCTCATTGCTAAATGACGATATTATCCTAGCCTCAAGCATGTAAATAACTAAAAAAGTAACAAAACGACGCTATGAAGTATGAATAGACATCGACGTTAAAAACAAAAAGGAGAATATAAGAAGTACGAAGAAGACGACGAAAAAGGTAAAGACGAAAAGAGATTGTGGCGGCTCCAACCGACCCGACACATTGAGTCGTCCGCCGCCGACTCGCCGAGGTCACCGCCCACTGCGCTATAAAACTGCTGCTAATGCTCAGCACATGCAGAATCAGGGCGTCTCTGAATGCCCACTAGGTTGACCAGTGAGTAGCGGTGACCCCAGCGCCGGCGGATCAGACAGACACCAACGCACGGACGCGGTCGGTCGGCCGCCGCCCGCTGCCGCCATTTACCCTTTCTATCGGGATGAGGCTGGGCAGAGCGAGACACAACGAGAGCCAGGAGCACACTGAGCAACATGACCGTCCTGCTGGACAGAGACACGCCTCTACCTTCCGCGCCGTTGCCCGCTTGGAAAACGATACCAGTGTCATTGAAATGTACGCTGTTAGTCTGCCCGTGCGGCGCACAACAAAAACGGGGGGGGGGGGGCGGTCAGGGGGAGTCGGTAACGTCTATGGACAGGGACAAGTCAGTGCCGCGGATCAGCAACTTCGGGAAGAAAATAGAGTAAAGCCGTTTCCGAGACTGTGCCTGAAACAAGTCACCAGAACGCCCTGCTCTACATCACTGTTCACAGTTCATATCGTTTACAAACCAGAAAACTGTGACATAATCTGGAGCTAAAAAACTTCTACGGTCCCTAACCATAAGTCCCAGATGAGATTGTAGGCACGTCTAATTCGTGTCGTCTCTTCGACAGCGGCCTCAAACCTGCCATATACTTGGAGTGGCGGGCGGGACGGGCACGGTCCCTGTCGGGGGCACCTACCTCCCAGCCCGGTCCCAGAGACCAGCTACCTCTACCTCCCGGAGTTCGGTCCCTCGGGCAACTACCTCCCATCCGGAGTTTGGTCCCTCGGGCAACTACCTCCCATCCGTAGTTTGGTCCCGCGGGCGACTACCTCCCACTCGGAGTTTGGTCCCGGAGACCACCTACCTCCCACTCGGAGTTTGGTCCCGGAGACCACCTACCTCCCACCCGGAGCTCGGTCTGCTCCGTGACGGTGGAGACGGAGTCGCGCGCCTCACACACGTAGATGCCCGAGTCGGACGAGATGACCGCGCGGATGACCAGCAGGCCGGCGCGGTCATCGGTGGCCCGGTCGGGCAGCTCGCCAGACTCTTTGTACCAGCGCACTGACACCTGCACAGCACACACGCACGCGGTCAGTGGACGGAGCGGCAGCGGGCACAGAGGGTGCGGCATTCCAGCAGCCAGGGCCGGTCCTAACGGTCGACGATCGACGGTATGTAGGTAACTGCTCGCCATCACAGACATCGTAGTACACTTCGGGAGTTGCATACGCAATGAATCAGTCAGTATTCAGCCGAACACAAGGAGCTGCACAGCTGAAATATTTTCAAGCCTTGGAGCATTAGTTAGCGCATTCGATGGGTGTTAATTTTTACACATTAATTTTGTTTATTTTGTTCACTCTTACCCGCTCTCCGTTGAGGGAGCGCGCCGAGCAGAAGAGCGTGGCTCTCTCGCCGACCTGGGCCACCACGATTGGCTCGCTGACTGAGACAGAGATGGTGGGCGTCGGCGGCGTGCCGCCCGGACCTGACGACACACGGACGCGAAACCGGTCAGAGGTGGTACGGAGTACCGGCCCAGGGCAGCCAATGCGGGCGACGGAGACGGGTCAGACATGAGATGAGTAATTACCGAGAGGTGGGTATTGGAGGAAAACAGAAAGACAGTCACAACTTGACCGCGAAAACGGGAACTCCCTCATATCCTAATTCTGCCCCCCCCCCCTCCCCCACAACAACTAGAGTCCGCGCCCCCGTAATCCTTGGTTTTCTCTCCCAGACCTATGTAGTATGCAGATTTTAGCACATACCCTCGCAGTACTGTCCCGAGAAGCCGGGCCGGCAGCGGCACTGGACGCCTTCCGGTCCGAGGAAGCAGCTCTCGTCGTTACCGTTGCAAGGACATTGGCGGCACGGCCCGTTGGGGCTCGTGGTCACCCGGTAGTGGTGCGGCGCGCACTCCTGTGCGGTACACACTCGCCGTCAGATGGTCCGATCAGATTTAACAACGCAGGCTCATCACTTACACATTTTACGATATTATTTACGACGCGGTATGTTAGGGTAACATTTGATGCTACGGGCGCGATGAAAACACACTTGATAGTGACATTCCCTCTCAAGATCCTCTAAAATATCAGCATGTTAGGTAGCAGGTGATGGCAGAATAAACTATCCTATGATCGCCCTCGGTAGTATTAGAGGATACGGTTACAGACGACGCACCTGGCACGAGAGACCAGTATACTCCGGAGGACAGCGACACTGCTCGATGCCACGAGCGATGCCCTGCTGGGTGTCCTGAGAAGGCGAGCACAGTCCGGCGTCAGAACATATAGCAGCACAGAGCAAACGACACGTCAACAAAGCACATAATAAGAAATCAGACAATTGCAGACCGGTGCTGTGCTTTCTGGCAGTGCCGGTATCCTCATCGAATTTCTATGTCGAAAAATTCCACAAAAAGGCTTACAAGTGAGCATTTATATTAACAGCGGTTAAAACTATGTTTCAAGGCTCCTATCGACTATCGTTACTGAGCTATTAGGATATCAGCATTCAGTCATTTATGCGCACTGGCATGCTATAGATGAGAAAATACACCACCCCTCCAGTCCCGGTTTACGTCAGCTGCCCCAGCCCGTTCCGCCTGTCGCCGGTGCCGCCGCCGGGCGCACTCTCACCGCTCGGATGGCCGTGTCCAGCACCACGTTACTGATGAACGTGCTCTGCATGCCACTGGAGAACGTGGCGCGCACCAGGATGGCGTCCACAGCGGCCAGCGCGGTCATCACGTCCTGGCGGTCGGCCGGCGCCGACGGACGGCCGTCCTCGAGACGCGTCCAGCCGGCCTCCTCTGACAGCTCCACCTCGAACGAGCTCGACCTGGTGGGAGGAGGGAGTTAGCGGTACAGCACAGCGGGGTGAGATGCGGTGACGCCGGGCAGTGGGGACGGGGTCCTGAGCCAGGCAGGTATGTACCGTGTTCGGTCAGCAGTGCGAAGGTCAGATACCTAGCTACCACTCGAGGAGCGGAAAAACATGGATGGCTACTAGCTGGTTGCTACCCTTCCCCTGTGATAGCCTTCGCTCCCCCTCTCTCTGACCTGCCGGGCAGCGGGCTGCCGCGCGGGTTGACCCAGCTCAGTTGAACGCCGTTTCCTCTGATGATGACGTCCGCGTCACTGTAGGCGTTGGCGCCGGGCTGCACCTCGTAACGCTGCAGCGCCGTCAGCTTTCCGCCGTACGAGGTGAGCTGGTACGACAGAGGTGGGAGAGGCGTCACACGAGCGGAAGACGACGGTCGGAACGGTGGGGAATACGGGCTAAAGGCGTCCGGCACAGCAACCAGAGGGGACAAATAAACTAATCTCTGGAGCCAGCGCGAATGGGTAGCTCCCAGGTTCACCTGAGTCCACACCAGGGCAGACAGGGGAGGACAATGCACTACAGTGAGAAGCCACTGAACTGACCCGATTGCCCAGGAAGTTCCGGTCGGGCAGCGACCAGTAGAGGCTCTCGCCGCTCTCCGAACCCCTGGGCGAAAACTGCTGGTAGCCGAGCTCGTTCTCAGCAGTGTTGATACTGAGAGTCTCTCCGCCCAGCACCGTGGTACGGAGCCTGACGGACACAGGAGAATGGGACGTCACATCGAGGAACAAATAGTCCAAACATACATATTACCTATACAGAAAGAAGCAGCTGTGAGCTGATATCATGCAGTAATCAAAACAACATATCGGCGTGGTATAATTATGTAAAGACAGATAACTTATGTTGCTGAGTTTTTACGAATGCAACAAGAAATAAATCACGTTGCTTTTAGAACAGACCACTAAGGTGCTCTAATACGTCCAGCAAGCCACAACGCTTGCTGGACGTATTAGAGCACCTTAGTGGTGGACGTATTTCTTTTTGTCTTTTTATCTATGCCCGAGATGTGAGATGATTTTCATGTATACTGACACTACAACGTAAAAGCCACTACGTGGATGTTGTAACGAGCCTAAATAAATAAATAAATAACGGAAAGTCAGGGGTCCTCCACGGGTCCCCATTCACCCAGAGTCCGGCTGACTCACCTGTTGACGAGGGAGAAGCCGTGCTGGTCGTCCACCACCTGCATGGGAATCTGGGTGCGGTAGTATGTGGCCTCCGAGCACTGCTGGCTGACGCCCGAGCAGAAGCAGCGCAGACAGCCCTCCGGGTTGTCGGCCATCAGCGCGAAGAAGTTGGGACGGCACCGGTCGCAGCTGAGACCCTCGACGGCCCTCTGTGGCGGCAAAGCGGACGGACGGGCGGGCGTCAGTGAGGTGTCCAGAATGTAGGTGGTGAGATGAAGGGCCCGGAGACGGGGTGGGTGCGGCGTTCGGAGAGTAATTGGTGAGAGTGGGATGTGAACAGTGTGAGTGAGGCACTCAGAGGTAGGTGGTGAGACGTGGGGCGGGGAAGATGTGAGCGCGGCACTCGGAGTGTCGGATGTTGGTGGCACGGCGCGGTAGAAGCATCTCCTCACCTTGCACTGGCACTGCCGGTTGGCGTCGCAGTCACTGTAGCCGGGCAGCGTTCCGCGCGGGTCGCAGTCACACGGTCGGCTGGTGTCGGGCCGGCACGGCTGGCCGCTCATCGGGTCGCCGCGGTATCCGGGAGCGCACACCTCGCACCGCTCGCCGGCAGTGTTCTCCCGGCAGTTCTGCACGGAGAGAGGGCGTCAGAGAGCATGAAGATACATACACTTACCAGGATAGACAGGCAGTGCCACGACAAGTCTGAGCAGAGAGTAGTCGGTCAAGATAGAGACAAAACCATAAGAATGGGCAGAAAGTGTCACACTGCATTGACCGGTGGACCAGCCAGAACAATCAGGACAAAATTTAACATGAAAAGGGGAACTATAATAGAGCGATAAATGGACAAACGGTCTGAGCCGGGCAGCTCTGAGGTCACTCACCAGACAGAAGCCGTCCTCCGGGTCACACTCGTCGCTGCGGCCGTTGCAGTTGCAGCGAACACAGGTGCTCAGGTAGAGGCCGTCACTGCTGCGCGTATAGCCAAAGTCGCAGTCCTCGCAGGAGAGACCCTGCAGCGAGCAGACGACGACCGGCGGGGTCAGACGACAGTGGGCGGCCGCTGACAGTGAAACAGCTACTGAAGATCATCTCTTCACTGGGGATCATATGCTCCCTCCTCTCGCTTTCATACCTACTTCTCTCACCTATTTCTCTTTCCAGGATTTCTTTTTATCATGCCGATACAGGACCTATGGTGTGCGCATTTAAAAATCGTCGTTACAGGGACATCAGCCTAATCTAGCGTGCAGCATCACCCGCGATCTGGGGCCTCCCTCGGGCAGTTACCTTATATCCGCGCGGGCAGGAGCACTGCTCGACAGCGTCGGCCCGCTCCAGACCGGTGTTCTGCGGCACGGCGATATCCATGGAGACCTCAGACAGTCTGAGGGACACGAGATCGGTTAGGTAGGTCCATCCCTTCGAACAGTCACTGTGCTTTAGGCAATTGGTCAGTAGGGTCCACTGTCATCGCGTATTCCATTATACAACGGCTGGATAGCGAAATGCACGATGACATGCTGTACGAAATATTATATTCCTTTGGACACCGGCATGTTCTATTTCAAATAACACAATCAGCTGAAAAGTTGGCACATTTTGGTTCGATTGTCACATCATTTCTTAGCCGCCTTCGACAATGTATGTAAATGATAAATTTGTCCCACAGTCGAAAAAACGCCTCCAGTCGTTTGCCACTCACGCCGACTGTTGGGCGGCGTCGGTGGGCGCCGCCTTGATCAGGATGTACTCCAGGTCCGCCAGCGCCATCATCAGGTGCTCGCGGTCCACAGAGCTGGCGCGGCGCGCGTCCGCGTGCGTCCAGTACTGTTCCAGGAACGGCACGCTGATCTCGACCGGCCGGCCCGGCTCCGGCTCCGATTGGTACGTGTGCTTCAGACGGATGTCGTTACCCTGACGGAAAACGACCGGACACAGGGTCAAACTCGGACGTTTGTTGGGGTCATCCGCTGTGCTTGTGGCAGTTGTCAAAAATCGTGAAGCTCACCAGATGAAAGTCGCAGGATGAGCAGTAGCGGTGAGATGCGCGATCATCCAAAGCGACTACAGTTAAAGGGTGAATGTTTGAGCGCTAAATCAAGAATAACCCAGTGCGTAATTAGTAAGTTAGGATGGATACCTACCAGCATTACTAGGCCGGTACTCAAGTAGGTATGCTTAAAGGGACCCTCCCACCTTAACATTAGTTTTGAGTTGAGATAGCCAAGTTTGCGGCCAGGCTCAGAAACCACCATTTATCCTGGTCGCAACCCCCGCAGCTTTATGGTATTCAAGAAATTTCTTCCCTTTACTTGCAGGGTGGGACCAGCTTGGTCCCTATCTCTTAACCATTACGGGAATCTGATGACGTCATCAGGCTTTCGAACGTCCGTCATTAAGTTTGACTAAAACGTTTTGTAGCACGCGGTGGTATATGCTATTTGCGCGCAACATCTGCCGCAAACGCCGCACTTCTAAAATAAAGTCGCTAGAAACAGCGGAGATCCCAAAAAGTAAACAAAAGTAAAAGTCTAATATCTTGAAAACCGGTGAATATTTTTCGGTGAAATTTGGTAGATATTCGTTTTCGCTCTTTCTGAACCGAGCGACATCACTTTCATGCCAATTCATAAACTTTTTTGAAGGTGGGAGGGTCCCTTTAAGCTGGAAGATATGAACGGGAGCTCCTAAATGGTACTGTTCCCAAAGTCAGTCCCACTGCCTCGTAACTTACGAAGATTTCGACGTCCCCGAAGTCGCGGAAGGGCCGTCCGCCGGGTCCGCCCGAGAAGCGCAGTCGGTACGAGAGGTCTCCGCCATACGAGACGCACTTGTCGCCCAGGAAGCGGGCGGGCAGGCGCCAGTAGAGCGGCTGGGGAGCACACAGACATACAGGTTACACACTGGGTAAGGGGAGTGGGCAGGTGCCAGTGGGGCGGCTCTGGTTGACATTAACAACCATCATGAGTCATGTCGCACACAGCTGAGTAACCCGTGTGGCAAAAGCGAATACCATAGGAAGCGGGCTACATTCACTCAAAAGTCAAAACCATGTACTACTCAGTCACAGCACATCACACAGCCTACTCCATATTTCCACAGACTCACAGTACACACCAAAGCGCTGCCTGCTCCGCTCACTCACAGTACACCCACAGCCGGCGCCACAGCCCCCCGCCGACTCACCCCTCGTCCGACCCGTCCCAGTCCGTTGTTGACGAGCTCCTGCGCCGGCGAGTTGACAGAGGTTCCCTCGTACACCGCCTCAGCCAGCTCGTCAGTCAGCTCGAAGCCCTGAGTGCTGTCCGTGAAAATGGCCGTCTCCTGCGAACGGACAGGCAGAGCAGTCAGAGTCAGTGGTATGCCTTCACGGGTTCATCATTAGACAGCGGAGGTACGATACTTAGCTACTGAAAGCTCCATCAGTAATTACTGGTAAGGGAGTAAGGTCACTAATTTTGTCACGGTATCAGTTGAAGGGTCAATGACCTTTTGCCGGCACCAGTTGGAGGAGCTACTGACCCTTTGCCGATACCAGTCGGAGGGTCACTGACCTGGCAGCACCGCCACTGACCTTTTGCCGGTACCAGTTGGACGAGGTACACCGGTCGGTGACGCCCATGCAGAAGCAGTTGATGCAGCCGTGCTGGTTGGTGGTGCCTAGGAAGAACGCGCTGCTCTTGCACTGGTCACAGCGGGCGCCGGTGACAAACTCCTGTGACAGAAACACGTGGCACGGTCAGCCTCTCAGCCACCGGGGACCATACACCAGCCAAGGGCCTTTGCTCAGCCAATGATGGCCATAATCACTCATGCATGACGCTGCGGTGCGCGCATTTCAGACGTTGGCTAAATTAGCTTAGTGTTGATTTAAAAGTATATAATCAGGATATCTAGGTGATAACTAACACCGACTGTACTCCATTAAATGCAGTTGCACGGTAAGCTTTCAGGTGGCGAAGTCCTGTCCTCAACCTGAAGCTGACATCCGCTCACAAAAAGTACGTAAGCGAGACACCGTTATAATGAATTCCTCCTAGCGTCGGAGCGCTGTGTATTTTGCTTCGCCCTCTCTCAACTTAGGCGCGCCGGTAAGAGGAGAGTGAGAGAAAGAGCAGACATGCTGCAGGATTGGCGGCGGGCCTCGGGGAGTCCGGCGGGCCGTCTTGGGCTCCGTGCGGGCGGGCGGGCGGGCGGCTCTAGTGCAGGGTCTACAGGGTAGGTATGTGCCGCGCCGGGGCGGTGCCGACCGCTCCGACGGTCACTTACCTCATCCTCCCCGCCGGCCAGCTATGGAGCCGGCGCGGCGAGAGACAAGGGAGACAGAGAGAAAGAGACAGCCACAGTGAGACACGTGCTCCGTCACACACGCGCCGGCACATGGGACGGGCCGCGGGCGGTGCCAGGGGCGGTACGTGAAGCACAAGTGGATAGGGTGAGGCGGTAGGGTACACCACGCTATACAGAACATTAAGGCAACATGTATACCTAGTCGAAACATGCCAGACAGTTGTTCATTCTTGCTTTACTTTTCAGTTCAATGTAAGAGCTCGGTTTAGATATCGCTTGGGGACATGGATGAACGATCTTGATCTTTATCGGTGCAAAAGTATTCAAGAATATTGTATTCGAAGCATTACATAAGTCTTTTAAGGAAACCACGCCAGGGGTAATTCCTGATTGGGAATCGGGCCAGCAGCTTCGCGGGCCTGGAGCCCTCTGAAAGGAGGGAGCGGGCGGCGGCTGACCCGTCTCGGCGCAGAGCCGTGCTAAACGCCACCAGTCTCGAAAGGGGTTTGTGATCAGCGGTCAAATGACGGGCCTGTGCGCCGGTAGGGGCTGGCTCTACAGGCTGTGGTCACACGGAGAAGCGCCGTACCGGGTGTATGAGTATATACACACTGCCAGTGTCATGGGCCGGGTGGGGACATGGGCGAGGGTAGGTGCAGGCTGCACGCGGGTAGGGTGAGTGCCGAGAACAGTGCGGAACAATAGTAGCAGTCTGACGTACCTTACAGCGGCAGAGGCCGGTTTGCGGGTCCGGAGTGGGGTCGTAAGAGCCGGCAGGGTCACACTGGGCCTCTGGGAATAGAACAGGGCGGGTCTGGTCACACAGGGTGTCTGAAAACAGACTGTAAAACAACGTCAGGAACAAACAAAAGACAGTTCAGGACAGAAATGAGCCTGCAGCAGAGAAAAAAGGCGCGGTTACCACTTAACTACCTGTGGTGCAGGGTACGCTCCAAGTAGGGTTGCTCCTTACCTGTGGTTCAGGGGACGCCCGCCGTGGGGTTGCCCCCTACCTGTGGTGCAGGGGAGGCTCGCCGTAGGGTTGCCCCTCACCTGTCTGGTGCACGGGACGCGGGTCGCCGTACTGTCCGTGGCGTTGCCCCTCACCTGTGGTGCACGGGACGCCCGCCGTGGGGTTGCCCTGGTATCCGGGCGCGCACCGCTCACACTGACGGCCCACGTAGCCCGGCGGGCAGTCGCACGTCACTCGGTCGTCCGAGCCCAGCCGACACGTCTGGCCGAACCTGGCGGTGCACACGACGAAGGGAAAGGTTAGTCGGATCGACAACAGCCTCATACACGCCACTTGGGGCTCTTAATTGACCGCGAAACTGTCCTCAGTCGTTCAGAGGGTTGATACAATAATAAGCAGATCACTAGCGTTACCATCTGTAGAAAGTAAGCGGAAGGTCTTCATATAGTAATTGATATTGAATATCATACATCATCCAAACTCGACATGAACTTAAATGGGATAAACGCTGAAATTAGCGGAATTCAATGCCCTGGATGACTAGCGTTGCTGCGCGCGGTAATACTGACTGTCCAGGTCCACCGGGACACTCGCACGGCCGGCAGGGGATGCGCCGGCGCGGGTCGCCGTACTGGCCCGGCGGACAGTCGCGCGGCCGCTCCTCACATCGGCCCAGGTACTGGCCCGCCGTACGCTCGTAGCCGGGGGCGCACTCCTGCGGGAGAGGGACAGTGGTTATAAACGGGACATCACGTCCGCTCGTAGCCGGGAGCGCACTCCTGCGGGGCAGGGACAGTGGTTATAAGCGGGACATCAGGTGCTGGTCCGCCGTCCGCTCGTAGCCGGGGGCGCACTCCTGCGGGAGAGGGGCAGTGGTTATAAGCGGGACAGCGAGAGAGGTGCAATGGTCATACGAACCGTGCTATCACCAACAACACAATTAAAACGAGTGTAATGGTCTTACAACATTGTCAGCTTGGAGCGGCAGTTGGGTGCATTACTGGCGTCACTATTGGGCGCAACTGGCGTTCGTCTGAACTCTGAAGGCTAAGCTCATCCGGCCCACACAGCACCAAGAGCAGGATTGTAGGCTACTCTGAGTACCATGCTCCTCGTAAGAATCGTCCAACGATTGGAAGGCGCCAGCTCTGGCAGCCGGTCCTCTGCACACAAATAGACCCTGCCGATGGGTCGGACTCGGCCCGTGTATGCCTCCGAGAGGCCGAGCTGTACTGCCCCCTATTTATCCTGCGGCTGGTTCGATGTGTAAGGATCAGCTCTACTGTCATTTCTGTACCCAGTCGCTGTATCGGACTGTTTGTTAGTGTGTTAGAGTGAATAGGAGACACACTCACCTCACAGGAAAGTCCGCTGTAGCCGGGCGGGCAGCGACACTGCTCCACCAGCACGGCCGAGCCACGGCCGCCGCCGGCACCCGCCGTGGCCGTCTCCAGACGCACGTTACTCAGTACGCCCTGGTACCGGCCGTCCGCGCTGAGAGGCACGCTGTCGGAGAAGCACGGATGTCGGAGTCAGTCTCCGCACAGGCAGGGACAGCGGGGTGTCTTCATAGAGAACCACTCCAGGCAGAATCGTCTGAGATCCAGAACTCTTATACTAAGTCAGCGTTACTGACAATCTACTGTGATCAGAAGGTGAGGCAGTGTGGCAACTAGGAAATCCAGAAGGACCCGGAGCCCCGGGCCTGGGTCGGGACCCGGCCGGTCCCACAACCTACCCGATGAGGAATTGGTCGATGTTCGCCAGCACCATCATGATATCCTCTCGCGAGGCGGGCACGTCGGCGCCCCCGCGCGGGTCGGACCGATAGAAGACGCCCTCCCTGATCTGCACCGTACTATTGGCGTAGCCGGCCAGATCCGGAGTGTACTTCAGCACCATACCGTTACCCTGAGAGAGCGACCAGAACACAGCGTCAGAGGTTTGTACGGCGAGTTTGGACACGTCACTTGCAAAGCATTGGAGAGAGGAGCGCCGCAGATCTTTCGCTGCGCCAGTACCGTGAACATTACGCCAGAAAAACGAAATAATGTATATATCACTCGCTTATCTGGTTCAGGAAAGCCGCGACAGTCGGCTTCACTCCTTCCAGAGTTATAACAACGTTATATAAAGGCAGCGGGCGATCGCAGTTCTATCCGCGGAGCGATAGTAACACCCGCAGCTCATTTCTATGGGCGACAGCGCCGATCGCGTTCGTCCGCGCGCACCCACCGTGATAACGACGCTGGGATCGCGGCGTCCGGCTGCGGTGGGCGGCTGCAGGTTGTACCGCAGGTAGCCCCCGTAGCTGTTCAGCTGACGGCCTGTGTGGCTCGCCGGCAGGGCAAAGTACGGCGTACCGGCCACGCCCGGCAGCGACTGTACCTGAGGACGGCCGAGGGTAGGGGTTCAGCGCGGGAACATCGTGCAGCGGTACCACTACAAGCCACTACTAAAAACAGCAACAGCGCCAGCGCATGAAACACAGAAGAACACAGTGTGAGAGGCCATAATGCTTTTCACAGTGGGAGGTCATAATGTTTTTTATTGGTGAGCGGAGAGTAAATGTTGAAGATTGAACATCGTTATAAGGAGTCTGAGGGGACCATCTTGTCGATGGAGTAGTAATGAAGTACTGTAAGTGTATGGTGACTGTTGGTGACTAAAGATACCAGCTTCGCCCGGGTGACGGTTACCACGACTGACCACGTCAGTCATCTCACCTGCACCGCGTTACCGGGCGCGACGGTCAGGTAGCGGCTCAGCTCCCCGCGTCCCGGCCCGCTGGCCACAAAGTCGGGCGCCATGGCCACCAGCGATATGTCGCCCGGGTTGGGAGGCGGCAGCTGAAACAGAGCAGGGACAAGACGCCGGTCAGAATCGCTGGTGCCGACGGAGCGAGCAGACCAATACAGCTGTCATTCGAATATCGTCGTATATTGCCTAAATCGAAAACGGGAGTAAGCAGCATGGTTTTATGAAAACACGCTGAAATATATGGTGTAAAAACCAAAAGTAAGGTGCGTGAAACATATAACCAACCACAATATCACATCCCGCCCTGATGTCATCTAAAGAGACATCTGACCTTTTAGAGGGCCAGTCCGGAGCTGTAAGGGAGGGGGCAATAAGGAAGGCTGAGCTCTGACATGGCCAATCCCGAACTGCAGCAAAAAATGGTGTATGTGTGGAGGGAGGAGGGTCAAACGCTAACCTCTGAGAGGGCCAGTCCGGAGCTGAAGCAGTCGGTGGAAGTGGAATTTGTTGTGGGGAGGGGGTCTAACCTCTGAGAGCGCCAGTCCAGAGCTGAAACAGTCGGTGGACCGTGGAAGTGGTGTTTGTTGTGGGGAGGGGGTCTAACCTCTGAGAGGGCCAGTCCAGAGCTGAAACAGTCGGTGGACCGTGGAAGTGGTATTTGTTGTGGGGAGGGGGTCTAACCTCTGAGAGCGCCAGTCCGGAGCTGAAGCAGTCTGTGGAAGTGGTATTTGTTGTGGGGAGGGGTCTAACCTCTGAGAGGGCCAGTCCAGAGCTGAAACAGTCGGTGGACCGTGGAAGTGGTGTTTGTTGTGGGGAGGGGGTCTAACCTCTGAGAGGGCCAGTCCAGAGCTGAAACAGTCGGTGGACCGTGGAAGTGGTGTTTGTTGTGGGGAGGGGGTCTAACCTCTGAGAGCGCCAGTCCGGAGCTGAAACAGTCGGTGGACCGTGGAAGTGGTATTTGTTGTGGGGAGGGGGTCTAACCTCTGAGAGGGCCAGTCCAGAGCTGAAACAGTCGGTGGACCGTGGAAGTGGTGTTTGTTGTGGGGAGGGGGTCTAACCTCTGAGAGGGCCAGTCCAGAGCTGAAACAGTCGGTGGACCGTGGAAGTGGTGTTTGTTGTGGGGAGGGGGTCTAACCTCTGAGAGCGCCAGTCCGGAGCTGAAACAGTCGGTGGACCGTGGAAGTGGTATTTGTTGTGGGGAGGAGGTCTAACCTCTGAGAGCGCCAGTCCGGAGCTGAAGCAGTCGGTGGAAGTGGTGGTGGTACTGGGGAAAAGGTCTAACCTCTGAGAGCGCCAGCCCGGAGCTGAAGCAGTCAGTGGTGGCGCCGAAGCAGAAGCAGCGCTGGCAGTCGGCGTTGGTGAGCGCGGCGCTGTTGAAGTCGGGTGGCTGACAGATGCCGCCGGCGCCCGACACCACCACCACAGTGTCCGGGATGGCGAACACGGAGCCCTTGATGTTGATGGCCTCGCACGAGTAGGCGCCCTGGTCGGACACCTGGGCGTCCGGACAGGTGAGCGTGCCCTGGCCGTCCTCACTGCAGACGGAGGGTCGAGTTCAGTATGGTATGGGTCATCAGGTTCAAGGAGCAGGTCAGGTCAGCTTGGGTCAGAAGGGTACAGAGGGAGAGTGAGTCAACTCAGCCAGGAACAAGAAGGCATTCGTCAGACCAGAAAAACCGTGGAATTTAATTACGGTTACTAACATAGCAATCAGTAAAAATTGGCAGATGACCCGCACTGGAATAAATGCCACCAAGACCAGCTCAGCATGTCGGAACGACAAAAAGAAAAACACACATCCACATCATTGCCGGAGACCCACCTTTCCTGGCTACACTTGGGCGGCACGTGGCCCCAGTTGAGGCGCCACGAGATCTCCGGCTCGGGCGTACCGTAGGCCAGACACCGGATCACGAACACGGAGCCGATGTCGACCGACAGCATCGGCGGCGGCGGCTCGACGATCACCGGCGTAGCTACCGGCACAGGGCAGGGTTCAGATATACGGACAGAGCCGGCCGACACCCAGACACAGAATACCGTCAGAGCGGGCTCACAGTAACCAGCCACATACAGCCACAGACATCAAACGGGAGCAGCAGACGGCAGTTTCTGACATGAGGATAGGACTGGCTGCATAGCAGATGGGACACTGCATTTTGCTTATCCCGACAGCTGGTGGTCCACAGTTAAACCTTATAAGCTAAATATCGGACACAATCTACGACACATTGATCTGGATATAGGTATTAGTGAGAAAATCGATTCAAGACACATTGCTCTGTGTGCTAGTGAGATCATTGAAGGTCGTCCTGCGTGCCCATCACTCACAGCATCCGACCTCGTCGGTTCGGTCCTGGCAGTCCACCTGTCCGTCACAATGGAACGCGCGCGGGATGCACTGGCCGGCGCCGGCCGCCGTGTCCCGGCACTGGAACTCGTTGTAGCTGCACGGCGAGCCTGGGGACGCAGAGGGGGTAGAGAGCAGGTCAGTGGGGGACAGGTCAGTGGACAGCGGGGCTGCGTGGGGCGATAGGTCACCGCATATGCATGTCTGTCTGTCAGCGGCAGCGCCAGAAGGGGAGGGGGTGACTTCCTCACAACAATGCACTGCACGGGAGGCCCAGGGAAGACAGGTACGCAGTGCAGCAAGGGTTACCGGAGAGCGACGAGCTGCTTCTGGAAGCACAAATGGAAACAGGAAAAAGCGGCAAGGTCACGAGGTCAGGGCCCAGGTAGTAGGTTTTCCGAAAGAAAACGATTATATAAGTCGCTGTTCTTCTATAAGTCACAATGAAGCGGCGTAGAAGGGGAAAAAAGAAAGAAAGGGCGATGGAGGACAGGGAGAGGGACAAGGGCGGACAGTAAGCGAGGGAGAGGCCGCACGGCCGCGCACGTATACCTGGCGGCGGCGGCGTGCATCCCTCCTCGTCCGAGTTGTCCCCACAGTCGTTATCGCCGTCGCAGCGCCATGTTTTCAGCACACATTTCCGGTTGGCGCACTGGTACTCGTTGGGCTGACATCCACTCAGATCTGAAAGGAAGCAGACGGTCAGAGAGCTGGCAAACGATCAGATCTGCCCGGGGTCAGAGCTGACAAGCGGCGCAGTCTGCATTCGGGCAAGTCATTTCACTTCCATGGAAGTCCTTCCGAGACAATATCTGACGTCCCTAGCGAGTACCTACTGCTTATAGCACTTACATACTATCGAGTGCGACCTTTTCCACATCACGCGTGACGTTCGTTCAGAAGGCTGTACATATTAAAAAAGGAATTTTAGCTACATCTACTCCCTCAGTATCACTCGGTGTAGCACTATGACATTTAGCCCTCGATGTCTATCCTGACATGATCCCATACATACATCCTCTGTGGTTCCAGGCTCAGGCACGTACTGGCCAACTCATTATCAACAGCTGGGAGCAAAAACATCGCGATGATCTAATCAGACGCTGCCTCAAATGCCATCGTATGACTGTATTCATTCCACCCTGCGGCTTAGAGCCAGGCGCCAGACCCGGCCCGGTCTAGCCGCGCCGCCAACGACCCGTCACCCCAGGGACCCGCCCGAGTTATGGGTCAGTGCGGGGGCGGGGGCCGTGCAGCTGCAGCCGTAACTGCAGACACCTCCGTGCCGCGGCCGCCGCCGAGTCGGCAGTGCTCCTGCTAGCGTCTGCTCTCGTCAGCGCGGCTGCCAGTGAATCATCTCTCCAGCCCAGCGGTCGGCCGTTCAGAGGACGGCACAGAACTCCCTCCCACACGCTGGACCGACAAATGGACGAATGGACGGCATATACCTCCTTTCTACGCTGGGCCGACCGAAGGGCTGGCGGACTGACGGACGAACGTTCTCGTACGTCTCAGAGAACACCACAATAACCCGCGAGCCGTCCTTCACCAAAAGGTGTCATGTGAATGAGATGGACGAGTGTGGTATGGTGTTCTTGGCCGTCTTAGGCTCCTGTTGTGTTTTATATTATCCAGTGCTGCTGATATCTCATTCTCTTAGAATATCGGTTTGCTGGTGTCTTCGGCACTTGGCACGCTATCTAGAGCTTCTTCTTCAGTGTCTTAGTTTGCCAGAATCTGCGGCTGCTGGCATCTCGAACTGCTGATACTCCAAGGCAGTCCATCAGACTGGGCCGATGACTGCAGACTGTCCACCGTCGCCGGACACTGTTGGCGGCACATAGAGCTTTGCTGCCGGCCAGCATCTGGATAAACAGGGCGGCTGCTCGCTGAGGACAGCCAGCCCCGCCCCCGACGGAGGGCTGGGCAGCTCGGGTTACATCCGGAACGGTCACGGCACGGCACCACCGGAGTCGTGGCACGGCACGTTAGTTCCTAGTAAGTTACGGGAGACCGCCAGTTCACAGGAACAGTCCACAGCAGAAGTAATGTGGGGTTTCAGTCATGGGTATGTTCTGCTTCTGAAGCTTAGGAACGATTAACCAGACTACAATGAAACTTTGAATGTAGCTTATATGTATCGTCACCCTTGCAGCTGCAACTTTAGCTATTGACATCTTCTTTTCGATCACTCCACATTAAACAATCGCCATTCAAAGCCAACCGTTGAGATTGGTAAAACCCTACATTACCTTAGCGGTGGGCTGTACCGACTATAGGGACAGACGGGATGTCACCCTAGATGTTGAGCCCACCGGGCGTGTTTCGTTCTCAGCGCCTGGGAGAAACAGTGCCCCCAAAATGAGCGGCTAAAATCCATTGCATTTGACACGAAGGCAATAAATTTTCGCGCCCTTCCGAGAGAAAATGCTGTAAAAATGGAACACGTCCGGTCAATTCTCTAGAGGAAACGGGCCAGTCTAGACTAGTGCCGCCCACAGGAGCCGGCCGGGGGCGCGCTGCCGTGTTCCGGCTCCTGGCAGAACGTCCGCCGGCGGTCCGTCCGCCAGACTGTCCGTCTGTTTAGATGTCGGCAACAGGCCTGTCCCATTTCTCCGATTCCTTCAGAGTCAGCCCGTGCCGTCGCTGGACGGCGCGGGCGGACGATAATAATCAAAAACCGCAGTCAGGGCGGTGGAACGCTGCGCTGGGGCGCTGCTGGAACCGCGTCCGCTCTGCCGAGCGCCACCATCGCGTAACTGCTAACTTGATGCACAAAGACAGGATTTCTGTATAAATATGTTTTGGGTACCCAGCTAGGTTAATATCAATCAACATTTGCAAACACTGCTTTTGGGAATTTAACATAAATTTAAATTGTCAACTAAACTTTGTGTCTAATTATAAAAGCATAGGCAGTTAGTTATAAGAATTTTTTAAAGCCTTTTAATTGCGTACAGCTTCCTGCCACAGCATGGAACCGAAGAATTCAGCATAAACATCTGGCCATTTGTGAGTGACAGAGTGTTCCCGCGCGCTGAATTCTACTGTTATGGGCGGCTGCCGGGGCCAGGAGGCATCAATATTTAGGTTACATGCTGAACTTTTGGGCAGGCCTGGCCGTAATACCGTTAGGCGAGTGGTTCACAACTTTATAGGTCATTTATCAGCCTGGCTCTAGTCGAAACATGGATTCCTCAACAAGTGAGCATTAGGTGAAACAGACAAGTCCCTTAGTGCCGACGGTATGCCGTTCCCCTTTCCAGCCCGTTTATTTACGCCCGTTTATTGGGCGCCTTGCATCAGAGGGAAAACACCCTATAAAATAAGCTCGTTTTCATTTTTATCTAGTAGGACCAAGACATACATTATAAACCATAAATCTGATCAAAACCCTTTAACTAGCTGGGTGTCGACGAGACAACGCATCGGTCTTGTGAAATGTAGCATCTGACTATAATTGTGATGCGCCCATTCACCTTACGCTATCTTGATTGCTGTTCTGTCTCTGTGTGATGCAGGATACATTGTATCTACTGCGATGTCCTGACCACTGTTCTAGCTCTGTGTGTGTGATGTGCAGACTGCGCTGCCGTCTCGGCCACTCGGTACTCACTGCAGCGCGACTCGTCCGAGCCGTCCGGGCAGTCTCGCTCGCCGTCACAGACGCGGGCCCGCGGGATACACGAGCCGTCGCGACAGGTGGCCTCCACGCGACTACAGGCTGTCGCCGGCGGCGGGTCGGGACGGTCATCTGCCGGGACAGGAGTCACCGTCAGACGAGGAACACGGTAACGGCGTCAGCAAACGGTGTACCGTACAGCGGTCACCAACAGACAAAGGTACGTACGCGGTTACCGTCAGACAGAGGTAGGCGGTACAACGATCATCGTCAGCCAATGGTACGTGGTACAACGATCACTGTCGGACAATGGAACACAGTAACATCACTAACAAACGGTACACCGTACAACGATCACTGTCAGACAGTGGTACACGATAACATTGTCAGTAAACGGTACAGCGTACACCAGCCGTCATCAGTCAATGATGCACATCACCACCAGTCATTGGTACACCATACACGGTACAACTGTCCGTTACAACCGTTTGTCGACTGTACAACGACCACCGTCAGTCAATGGTATTGTATTGTATTGTATTGTATTGTATTGAACAATCATGAGCGATCCACATTCTGAAAGTGCGTGGCGATTACTGCTCACCAGTGCAAGAACCGCTGTCAACCAATTAGTTGTACGCACACGGAACACAGTCGCAATTAGCCAATGACAAAACGGTTCGTGGCTATCGTGAGCAAATGACATTCATCAATAGTCAGGAAGACTGTACTAAAATTATCGTCGACCAAAGGCTCAACGCTGCCGTTATACATTGAAGGTAGAACCCGCAGACATTCGTTTCGGCTAAAAAAAAAGTCTGGACGAGACAGCCGAAGACGCATTCACCGTCTTCAAAATTGTTGGCTTTCATTCAATCCCATTTCGTCGCAGCAAAACCGAATCTATAGCTTCGCATTCTTCCGTCTAGATAAAACGAAGTTTGATAGCGATAGCCAACTGGTATACAATGTAACCGAGGTTTCTTGAAATTTGAAAAGCCTTTATATATTTTACCTGATAAAACACAACGCCAGAGAGTCTGACGGCCTGATCGAAAGGAATGTTGACATCTTCAAATCAGAAGTTTCTTTCCATTTCCGTTCCCAATCCCGACACACAACGCCAAAAGAGTTATGAAACGTAACAAGCGCCAAAACGGGGGCACGCGGTCGTTGATATTCCTTGTTAAAAAAAACCTAGGGACGGGCATTTAGCCGCACCAGTACCAGTACAACACAGATTACAAGCCTAAACATAGTCCTAAGAAAACATACAAAATGCACAGAACATTTATGTCATGCAGTTGGGTTGCAATAAGGCAAAGCAGATTCTGAAACACACTGAAATTGATCTCTGTTGTGGAGGAATGCATGTAAAACAGGGATGTACTCAGAGGACGTATTACGAGCGGACGAGCGTCATCCCAAGAAGGGATAGCCTATTTATATACACTGTGGGATAGCCGACTGCTATCAATCCGCACCCGCGAGTCGCACACTACGATAGCCGCAACCGCTAGTTAATTGAACAGGTCATTAGCTGCTCAACAGGGTCAGCCAGGGCAGTAACCGCCCCAGGAAGCCAAACAGCAGGACTTGGTATCTCGGTTCAGGCGGAACAGAACAGAGAAGAGGTCGGGTCCACAGAGGGGCACGCTTAGCTTCCATGCACGATCCCGGCCGGCGTCGTGACCACCAAAGAATTGAGTCAAATCTCCCCTCGAAGAGTCGCCCTTCGAGGAGTCTCACCCGCCGAAGAGTCTCGCCGGAGAGTCTCACCCACCAAACGGTCTCGCTCGCCGAAGAATCACCGGAGACTCTCTCCCACCGAATTCGTCCCGCCCAGTACTCACCGAGCTGCGCCAGTACCGTGCCGACGGCGAGGAGCGCCAGCGGCAGCAGCCAGCGGCAGGGGACCATGGTGCGCGGCACTCGCCGGCCACGCCAGCTCTGAGGGCGCCGGCGGCGCGGTCCCCTGCGGCGGCCCGCCGTACACCCTCCGGCACAGCGCCGGACAGCGCTCAGACCGCACAGACACAGCACCTCTGACAGACACCGTACGTGCAGCACAGATGAAAATAAACACGCCATCATGTGAGCGGAGTGGATGACCGTTTTGCGGAAAGCGTCTCGGGGAGATGGGAGACTCACCAGTTCAGTGTCCACAGTGAAGGTGCAGCGGTGGAGATAAAAAAGACAAACGGTTAGCGCTCGAAAAAAAGAGGACATGTAATACCAACAAGGCAGACACCGAGCAACGCAAGATAGAGAATCGACAGTAAAATGTAAGGCAAAAAAGTGAGTGAACACAACCTGTAACACTTATAACACTGCAGAAGACGTCTGCATATATCTGCGTCGAGCAAGGCCAAGAAAAACACACACTACGGACCCCACGTGCCGGCTGAGGCTGGCCAATATACCAGCGACGCAGGACATAGGTGAAACTGGGTCTAGGGTTAACGCCACGTCTGACTAGACACCCCTCTCACATGTTATCTGTGTGGGAGCCTGACCTGGTTCCTATCACCCATATTCACTGTGTGTTTGACCTGACCCATGTCACTTTTATTCTGTGAGTCTGCCCCAGTCTGACCTGACCCATGCCACTTCAAACCTCTGTGCAGTTGTATGACCTTAGCATTGACCTAATCCCTTATACCCTGTGCGTGGGTATCTTAACTTCTGACAGAGCCCCAGTCACCCCCTATCTGTATGAGTGTTTGACCCGACCTCTGTCAGCTTTTATCCCTGTGTGGGTGTTTGACTTCACCCGGTCACCTGTGCTCTCTCTGTATTGTGCTTGGCCTGACCCGTTTACCTGCGCTCCTGGTGTGGTTGTGCACGACCAGGAACTCTCCACCATTGTAGCGTACAGAGATAAGGCCGCTGATTTTGGGCCGATAGGAGGACACCTTGCCCTCTCGGACCTGATCCAGGACCCGGAGGTTCCGCGACCTCCAGGGCGCCAGCTGGGAGAGCGACTGGAACGCTCTCTGGCGCTCCAGGACTCCGGGAATCGCTCTCTGACGCCCCAGGAATCTGGCCCACCGACTCCGAGCAGCTTGTAAAGAGACACACACCGGTACAGAGGGGGAAAGGGTGGAAGAGCAGGCCTGACGAGCGGACCCTGCCACGGAGACAGCCACTCACACCTGCTGTCAGCGGAGCGGAGAACCGACACCGCCTGGGAGCGGGCCGCTACCCCATTCCGACCTGCACCGACAGAACACACCGAAACGGAACTCAAACTCGAAAAGAGTCTCATAAAAGAACGAACCAAAAAGGAACGGAACCTCGAGTGGAAACTCAGAACAAAAGCACCTCAAAAACGGGAACGGAATCGAAGGGCAACACGAACGGAAAAAAAGTATGAAACTAAGTACGACATGGCATGACATGACGAATCATGACGAATAAATATAAAGTAGCAAAACAAACCAGTATCTTCGCCCACTGTTCATAGGGGTGGCAAGGAGATCAGAAGAAAAACAAAAACAAAACAAAACAAGCACACCATCCAAAGCATCATAGTACTTTCGGTGTGGGAACGTATGTTGAAAAGCCGTGAATATAATTCTTACAAAAACGAGGAAGGAAAAAGAGCACAGATACCACACAGGTCTGGGTCGACACAAGTCGTTGATTTTCGCGTCACAACAGATTCTCGATACTTGAATCGGTCAACAAGAAACATATTTTGCCATTACACAAGTAACGACAGTTAAAAATAACGATCATGTCATCGCAAAGGCACGAACAGAAAAAAATATTTCTCGAGGTCAACAAACAGTGCATTGAGTTTCAATCTCGGATAAGCGTCAAACTTTCGAAATAAACTTCAATGGCCGCTCTGCCGGCGGCTCGGCTACGTCCGGCTCCCGCTGGCCGGTCTGCAGCCCCCCCCCCCCCCCCTCTGGACGGCGGCACACGGCCGCACTGTCCTGCCCCCATTCCTGAGTCCGGGGTGCCGCTCCAGCGCGCACCCTGACCGGTGGCCACTGCCGGCGACCGCCCGCCGACGGCTCTCACATAAACAGAGACGATTGTGAAACGGAAAAGGACCCGTCTGGAGCGACACGCGCTCCTCAGCACCCGAGTAAACAGCCGGCACAAAAACGCCGGCGGCGACGGCCGGGGGACCGGGCGCAGGCAGCGGGGCGGCGACCGCGGCGGCCCGGCCCGCAGAGCAGCCGCCAGCGGCGCAAACACTGAGATCATTCAGCGGAAACGCCGGCGGCCGCTGCATGCTCGGTGCTCAGCGCGGCACTGTTTGGTGACCAAACAGGCTGGTCATCACTGCAGCGTGGGCCACGGGGGTCGCCGCGTCCGGAGGCGGCGTCAGCAAAACCCGGGCACACCCCGCACCCCATCCGCCACCCCACTCACGGACATACATTCTCAGCAGACCGACCTAGCCCGTCATACATACAACAAAAGGGCCGTCAGGTGCCACAGCACGACATTTTGAGACGAGCATAATCGACTTTGCTTTCTGAAATAGATTCTGCACCCAACAAGCGCTAGTATACTGTTGTATGGGGACCACAACCCGTCTCCTGTATTAGATAAGAACACGGCGTTTGTCAGCAGACACTGTACGGCGGCAGGCGCAGCAGTTGGTACTCACAGGGCTCCACCTGAAGTGCAACGGTGACCGAGGCTCCTGGTGTGCTCAGCGGCACCCCCTCGGCCTCACACTGGTACGTGCCGCCGTCAGCCACCTGAGGACAGGAGGGTGTCAGCGGTGGCAGATATCTGTAGTTGTTACGGGCTATGCTCAGGACTCAGCGGCAGCCCCTCGGCCTCACACTGGTACGTGCCGCCGTCAGCCACCTCAGGACGAGACGAGCGGGTGTCAGCGGTCGCGGAAACATGAATCTTTTTGTAGAAAGGTGTGCACATTGCACGGGACTGGGCAGTGAACAGTGCCGAAATCTGAGCTGCAGCCGGACAGAAAATGTATCTGGCGGATAGATAAAAAAAACACTACACTTATTGAGGTGTTGCTGGAGTTTTTTATGGCCGCTTCAGTCCATATCGGCTACCAGGCACCAAGCCTCTACACTGTACCGTCATATTCCTGCGCATAAGTACCTTACACGAATCATCTCTGACAAAGTTCTGCCTCAACTCACCTGCACATCGGGGATGGTGAGGCGGCCCTGCCTCTGGAGGGCGCGCGGGGGCAGCGGTCGGCCGGCTCCCCGGGTCCATCGCACCGGCAGTCGGCGCGGCCCCTCGTCTCGGCACTGGAATACCACCTCGTTCCCTGCAGCAGCGGTGGACCGTTAGCGCTCCACCGCTATACGGGGCACGGCAGAAGGGCTCCACCGAGACAAAAGGGCGCAAAAGGGCACCTACAGAATGGTTTGGGATGTCAGCGAATCCAACAGCGCTGTGACAAGCTTTTTTAATTCTTTTTGAAGATACATTGCGCGTCATACGTTTACAGGCGATGCTGCACCAAATGTGCATACAATCAAAAAATAAGCTGATGATGGACTTACCGGCGGCAACCGCTAGACATGAAAACAGCACACTGATTCAGCAAAAGAAAGCATTGTTACATTTGTTCTTTTCTTTTTTGTTCTTGCACGGGAACAACAGACAATAAAAGGAGAGGAAGATGTTCAAAGAGTACCTTGCTAAAAATGACATACTAACTCGTTCTTAATTTGTATCATTTGTTTTGCATCACAATGCCAAAATACGGATTCGTACCAGCCCACGTCCTACATGGAGTGTTCATGGCCCGATACACATAAAAAACACTAATTCATAAGTTTGCAAACAATGTTATAGAGAACGTCGAAGAGTCACACAGTCAGACATGTGCATTGATTAAAGCGTCATGAAAAGGGTCATTACCCCTAACGGCCTCGTTCAACACCCCGTCACCGCTGCCAACCTCGAGTCGAGCCAGTCTTTCCACTGTGACGGGGAGAGCAGTGGAATATCATTTTGTCAGTGTCACCTCCCGCGGTAGTCAGCAGAGCGGGGGAGTGGGGAGGGGGACATTTGACACCGGGACGGTCCTTCTGATGACAGCCGTAGCGCTCCAGACGCCGGCGGCAGTGCAGTTGTGACGACACAGCTGGTCACCAGAGCAGTGGGCCGCGCCCGCAGCGCCGGCGACACGGCCCCTGCCGAGCGCCGCCGGCCGCACCTAGCGAGAGAGCGCGGACTGCCCCGAGCGAGAGAGACGCCCAGCGCCGACCGGGAGCCTTTGCATTGGCAAGCGCAGAGGCCCACATCGCGGCGGATAGGACGGGAACATGAGTGGAAACCGCTTTGGAACTGTTCGTGCCATTAGTGAGATCTACACAGCTAAAAATAACGAACCTGTCATCGCAAAGGCACGAACAGAGAAATATTTCTCGATATCAACAAACAGTGCATTGAGTTTCAATCTCGGATAAGCGCCAAACTTTCGAAATAAACTTAGGTGCGTTATGAATCTCGCTTTTCGTGGTTAAACAGATGTTTTGCATCATCTTTCTCATATGAGCTTTATGGGCATGGTTATCGCACCGTCAGGTATCGTACATCTCATGCGACCATTCATTTAAGGCTAAGAGTTTGAGCCTTCCTTTAAAGCTGATTTCGCATTCTCTGATGCACGAATTAACCCGCGCGGGGCTGGGGGGGTAAATTTTACCCCCCCCCTCGCGAATTTTTGCGATATCTCAAAAACGGCGGCGCGCAGCGCCGCCAAACTTTCAGTACCTTTTCTTACATCAATTTGACACGTTCCCTGAAAATTTGAGCGAAATCCGTCGGAAAATTTTTGAGAAATTGACGTTTTAGTGACGTCATGTTCGTCATTTTCGCCTCAAAAACGGCAAAAGTTCAAACGCCGCTAACATCTTCATTTTTAAAGGAATCAAGACGTAACAAAAAGGTTATACGTAATTTTACTTTGTCTATCAATTGGCTATCTCGGTTTTTTGAAAATTTTGGATTTTGGCCTAAATTTTTTCAAAAAACTGACTTTTTTGGGAAAATCATTATAAAATCCAAAATTTTGAGTCTATCAAAAAAACCGGAATATATGTTAGAGAAGTGGTCTATGTGCACCTACATACCAAATTTTAGAAGAATCGGTTCAAAAATGTGGGAGTTATTCAAAATTTTATGACGTCACGACACACAATTTTTTTGAAAAATGACTTTTTTGGAAGTTCTAGACCTCGTACGGAAACAAAAATAGCACCATTCGATTCGCCGTGAAAAACTGCATCAGATAGACACCTTTTTAGGCCTTAACAATCAACTTCAAAATTTGACCTCACTTGACCTGACCTTGACCTGACCTCGACCTGAAATTCATCCAGAGGTGGTCCATATCACTTATTGAGTGTGCCTATTGAATTCTATGAGTAAAATGACCCATAAAACATGTGTCGCACATACCCTTTTCTATATTTTGTTTTTTGGTGACCTGACCTGACCTGACCTGACCTTGACCTTGACCTCTGAATGATATTGTATGCAACGAATATTGTCTTGGTAGCCTAAGAACACGTTTTGGGCGATCAGTCTCAGTCCATGACTCCATTCTTCGGCAACTACGGTGCAAGGCCGATACTGTAGAAACTTGCAATTTGTACCCTTGACCTGACCTTGACCTTGACCTCAAACTTTAAATTAAGTACATGTTTTTAGTAGTTCGTGATGAGAGCTTTCGATTGGCGTTTGAATTTTCCAAATCGGACCGTTAGTTCGGGAGATAACAGGGGGGGGTAAAATTTACCCCCCCCCCCAGCCCCGCGCGTTCGGCTGGAGACCCCAGCCCCGCGCGGGTTAAGTTTAACTCACCTGTTGGGTTTCCTCAGCCTTGCTCTTAGGAGAGGAGTGAGAAGGAGGGAAACCCAAGTCGTTCAGAGACGCGCCAATTCCAAAGAATATAGTTGGACACAAGCTGGGGCCAGTGGGTGGGCCTTGAGTCAGGGAACTGGTGTTGTGCGTCTGCGTGTGAATTGTTGTGGAAACTCGACAACAAGTCGACAAACTCGACTCGTAGTTGGTGCAAGTCGACACAAGTCGACAAAACTCGACTCGTAGTTGGTGCTAATGCTCCACAAAGAAAGAAAGAAAGAGAGAGAAACGGCTGTGAAGTGTAATGCAAATGCTGTCTCACCCGCAAACCAAATGGGTGAATGACATGTGAAGGAAGGCCAGGCATGGTGGGAATGCAGAAATCAGGAGGCAAGTGGTGAATGACCGATTGGAGCTCCATGGCGCATCTGACCCTGTCCTTGCTTGTTAAGAACGGGGCGCATACCATGGAGGGGGGGGGGATCCAATGGTTTGACATTATACCGATCGTAATCTGTCATATAACGTAGCAACATTAGACTGCTACGTTAGTGTGCTGTGTGTGCTGACAGACATCAAGCCAGCCTGACCATAGAGGTCCGCGCACCATCAGAGCTGTGGTGCCATCTAGCGCTGCAACGCTGTACTATCATTCCGAGTCCCCGGTCGTGAGTCGGGCGCAGACGACTTTAACCCGGCAGTTGCTGGGGTATTTCGCCACCCACCGTTTGCTGGGGGGGGGGGGGCGTTAAACGCCCCCAGCCGATAACTCGAGAACGGAGAACCAATAGGCGCAGCGAAACGCACGAGGCGGCAAACGAAAGAACGCGACGAGACTCTTCAGATGAGTACTTTAAAGTTGAATTTTGAGGTCACAGGTCAGGTCAAGGTCAGGTCAAACACCTGAAATCGGGCTTTCAGTAGCATGGAATTCAGGACTTCGCAATGGGCGCCTATCGTCATAAACTCTGTCAAAACGGTGCACAATCCATCATATAAGGCCTACAAGTGTCAGCTCCATGCAGGGGTCAGTCAAGCATAGGTCAGGGTCAAGGTCAGGTCAACTGGGCAGGCACATATCCCCGAAAATAAAAACTGATATTCGCAGCCTGTGACACATGTTTTATGGGTAATTTGGGGCGTAGAACACGATGGTGACATTCATTTTATCATATGTGTACGTGTTTGGCTAAAAAAGTTCAATTTAAGTAATGCATGCATCATGGTCGTGAAGTAGTCACGAGAAATTGCAAAGATTCAGTGCAAGATTTTGGAAAATGCGGAACGATAATCAATAATCGAAGATAGCCATTTGATTGTTCATGGTATTGGCAGTCTAATAGCGTTTACGGCATGTCTGTATGTCTATTCTGTGATTTTATATGATTTTTTGAACATATGCCGTTTTTGGTCGAAAACTCAGAAATCATGACGTCACTAAAACCTCGATCTCAAAAATTTTCCGACCGATTTTTTAAAACTTTGTCACAATACACTTCAATCAATTCCCTACAGGTACCCAAAATTTGGCGCGCCTGCGGCGCGCCGTTTTTATGCTATGGCCCGGCGAAAAAAGTGGGGGCGTTTAACGCCCCCCCCCCCCCAGCAACTCGCGGGTTAAAACGGTTCCACAATGTCAGTCATGTTGTCACCGCCGGACGCACCTTGCGTTTGTCGGTCAATTTGAACAAATGCGAGGACAGGTCGGTCTAGCCGTCTAGTGGCCTTGGCGTTTATTCAACAGGAGACAAAAATTGTGACTTTTCGGTGCACGACTATAATTTCGACGAGCATGCTTTAATCCTATTCCTGGCGGGCTCCGCCGGGACAAGAAACTGGCGGGGGGGGCCGATTCGGCCCCCCCTTCAGATCTCAAAAACTACACATCGCAGCAACAAACGGTAAACGGCATCGGATACGCACGGTCAAGATCTACAATTTTTACTAAGGTCATTTTCAGGTCAGGTCAAAGATGACGTCACAGGGGTCGAAAAAGTCAAAATGGCGGCGCTAGATATGAAGAGAGTGTTTCTCGAATAACTTTCGAATTAGTCAAGATAGGAACAAGCTAAGGGCATCATCGTGATCCTCTCGTCAATCCGCATCGAATGATATATATGTTGACCTCGAAAGGTCAAGGTCAAAGGTTGACCTCAGGTCACGTGACCTCGAGGTCATCATGTATATCATTCGATGCGTCTTGACGAGCTGAACACAATGAGACCATCCACGCGTCTGTATCTTGTTCCTGTACGGAGTTATTGGCCAAAAACCTTTGGTGACCTTTGATGACGTCACATGACCTCACAGCTGCCCAACAGCAAAACAGACCTCAAGGTAGTGAAGGTTGATCGTATATGAAGTCATGTATGGTATATGGGGCCATTCCGACCCGTTTTAGTGGTAAAAACAGGGAGTTGATTTTTCCCCCATTGACTTATAATGGGGAGGTCGCGAAACTGACCTGACCTTAGGTCACCGATATCAAAATTCCGAGATATACAAATTGCGCATACTGGTACCCTAACTAAAGCCTGAAGAGAAGAAATTGATCGGTCAAAAACTCTAGCTCTGGCGTGATTGCAAACTTTTCTGAGGTAGGGTCACCAAACCGCCTCTGGTGACCTGACCTGAGGTCAGATCAACTCAAAATTTTCAGACATGTTGCGTAGAAGCCTTTTAGGAAAAGTCAAAAAATTTGAGCTTCCTAGCTCAACGCGTTTGCGAGAAATAACCAAAAAACCTCAGGGGGGGGGGCTCCTGAGGCCCCCCCGCCAGGAATAGGGTTAACATAGTGGTTTACAAGGCATTCCCTAGACCACTTACAACCCGGAGGCATACGAGCAGGCTGGAAGGGTGAGATAATCTGGAAAACTTACTCTCTCGCGTGGTCTGTTGGCTGGGGTAGGTCGCCAGTTGAATGGCCCCCACCGGCCTCGGGGGCACGGTAGGGCGAGTCGGCCGCACACCTGGCGGTAGGCAGCAGGTCAGGTCACCGCGGCATAGGGGTCAGCACAAGTCAGATCAGTGTTTCGGCAAAGGTCAGACGCCAACTAGCACCAGTCGATAATTATACGTTATCAAATATATGCCAAAAAGTACGATAGTAAATGGCTGGCAGATGTCACAGTAGAAATAATTATACTTTTTTATAATCTATCAAAATACTTTGGGACAAAATATACCCTCCGCGGGCCACTACTCACCGCAGTCTCGCTCATCACTGGAGTCTGCGCACTCCGGGTAGCCGTTGCAGACCCGCGAGGAGGGAATGCAGCGACTGCCGTCGGCACAGGCAAACTCATCCGGGCCGCATCGCGCTCCTGCAATAGACCGCGGCGGTCAACCCTCGCCAAAATCACGCCGCCTAGGCTCACAGACAGACCAGTGCTCCGGCGGATGGCAGGAGTCGACCGGCGTTCGGCGCTGGTGATATACTGTGCCGCCGTACACCGCTGTATTGCGGCACAGCATATCCTACAGGCAGCGCGGCGGCCAGGTGAGACCAGTACCGGGAGGGCGGGACACACGTAGTAACACAACACTGTGTGCGCTGAACACATTGTCGGAGACACTCCTGATAAGCATCGAAGTACTCCTGAAACAATAACACTATCAAGGCAATCATGCATAGATACAAACACTCTTGAAATCCTGATACATCACTGGGACACTCGGTACTCCAAACACGGCACCCGGGTTCGTTGCCAACTCCTGACAGTACCGGGAACACTACACCTGACACAAACAGGCGCTCCTAGTTGACCATCCAGCTTCCTACACAGAGAACCCGTGAGGCAGGTACTCTTACGCCGTCTCGCGTACAGTGCCCTCATTCGGCCCTCTCGATGGCATAGGCAGAGAGTCTGTCACTCACCACAGTCCGTCTCGTCACTTCCATCGGCACACTCGGGGTGTCAAGTCACTCACCACAGTCGGTCTCGTCGCTTCCATCGGCACAGTCGGCGCGGCCGTTACACTTCAGGTAGTCGGGCAGACAGCGGCGGCCGTCGGCGCAACGGAACTCACCGGGGGAGCACACCAGCTCTGGCGGCGCTGTGGACGGGAGGGGAGGCGGTTAGGCGTCATCACACAACACACCGACTCCACAGACCATTACACCAGCTCTGGCGACGCTGTGGACGGGAGTGGCGGCGGTTAGGCGTCATCACACAACACATTACAGTCACAGAGCTTTACACCAGCTCTGGCGGCGCTGTGGACGGGAGGGGAGGCGGTCAGGCGTCATCACACAACGCACCAATGTCACAGAGCGTCATACAGCTCCGGCGGTGCTGCCGGCCGGCAGATGTTTCCACATGGATAGTTCGGTATACTAAGACGCTAAGAAAATACAGGAGCTCGGGCTAAAGAGCGCTGCGCTTATGAATCAGGAAAAACAATGGGTCTAAGCGTTAACAAAAAACATTATGTTGGGCCAGCAAATATGATGCTCCAGTGGGCAATCAAAGCCCGGTGAAGGCTTAGCGGGACTAGCAGATTGGACCTGCTCATCACCCAAATGTACGAGTACATACATCCCACTAAGGCAACCAGGTTATCCTATCAAGGTCACTATCCAAAGTTATGACAAATATAACTCTTGAAATATGGAGACGAAGGGTCTTTAGTGTCCCTCCTTTAACGAGTGACTTGCCGGAATTGGAATGAGGAAACGTGAAGATTCCATAAGAAAGGACACAAAACTAATAGGCATTCGTGAATAGCATATAACCAGCACCATTTCCGCTCAGGTCAATATGCAGATGCCACACATATCCCACTGTCGGCTTGTGCATAAAACGCCTTCGACGGTGACTCACGGCAGTTTTGTTCGTCGGATCCGTCGCGACACTCGTACCGCCGGTTACAGCGGTCGGCCAGATCCACACACTGACCACTCTGACACTGCCACTGGTCGGGGCGGCACGCTGCCGGTCAGAGGAGACAGGTCAGTGGCCAGTGGTCAGGGCTTTGGGGTCAGAGGTTAACTACCATACGCAAAGGCCGCCTACGGTTCATACACCAAAGACCAACATCGTGACATGTCAGGAACAGCGCTCCTTTATCAGCGCGTCCAAAACAAAGCAAAACAAACACGCATTCACGGGGTGCCTGAATATACAACAAGATACGACACTAGAGCACTCCCGCATGCTTTACACGGCTTTTGACAGGCACACTTTACTGTAACGGTTTTCATAATTGGCAGAGGTCAGTCGGGAAGACAGACAGACAGGACTAAGAACGGCGCGATGGCCTGGTGGAACGGGTCCCTGGCCAGGACAGTATTGTCAGCCCTCGGACTTTGAAATGAAGGGGTGACCGTGGGTGTACCACACGGGGAGATGCCCCTCACTTACGGCACCCCTGTTCGTCGGAGCCGTCACGACAGTCGCTGCGCTGGTCACAGCGCGCCGCCAAATCGATGCACTCTTGTGATCCGCACCGCCACTGGTCCCAGCGACACTCTGCCAGCGACGGCAACGCCGTGAGCTCAGTAGCACCAGTGGTCAGCCCAGTGACACCTCTGCTCCGGTCGGTCCGCCAATACCGCTGGTCAATCCGGGAACAATGCTCATCTGTGCTTACATACACAGCTGGTTTGTAGGCAGTTTGGATAGTAATTCTTTTTACTTAGGCGGTGTGTGTATCGACTACGCATTACACCGGCCTTTACTTAATAGCCTATGGAGGCCGATTCCCACTTAGCACTCACGGCAGTCGGTGGGACAGGTTCGACCCTGCACACTGCTCTGCTAAGTGATATTGAGTTTCACTCACGGCAGACGGTGGGGTCCTCGTCGGAGAAGTCGGCACAGTCGGGCCGGCCGTCACATTTACGGGAGGCCGGGATACAGCGGCCGTCGCCGCACTGATGCTCCTCGGCCCGGCACTCGGCTGGCGGTCAGAAAAGACACACGGTCAGAACGGGTATCACACGCGGTCAGCACGATCAGATCTGACAACATGTGTAGTAGGTCGACGGGTCCCGAAATGGTCATTTCTCATATCACAGGCCTGAGAGCCAGGGAGGCATGGGCCACTATAGTGAACGATAGAGTCGATAAATTTAGTATCAGCTCCAGCCAGGGTATTCAAATGAAAACGGTAAAAAGTGCCCTGTCATACCAACAAATACAGTATCAATAATGGCCGGAGACGAGGCTCCTCATACTCACGAACGCAGTTCAATTCGTCGGTGTAGTCGCGGCAGTCGTACTGCTGGTCACACACCCGTGACTGGGCGATACAGGTGCCGTCCCCACAGCGGAACTCGGCATCCGTGCACGCTGTGCGGAGGGAAGACGGGGAGGGGGGGGGGGGGTCAGAGGTCAACGGGAGATCGTGGAGAACGGGTACGGGTATCCACGTGCCCGAGCACGGCACGGAGCCACTACCAAATCATATACAGTTGGCAGCAAGGGTAATAACGAATGCAGCGCACCAATGGAGTGGTGAATTTTTAAGTTTCTTTAATTAATCAGTGCAATTTTCGAGGAAATTACATCAGAAACTTGCCCATCGCCTCTGGTGCAATTGTTTTCTCATGGTTTCTTTAGGGGGTGGCAATCATTCCCAGCAAGCGCGTCCTCCTGCACCAGTTGTGGCATCCATAAGGTGGTGCCGCCCCACTCACGGCATCCCTGCTCGTCGGAGCTGTCGGCGCAGTCCACCACGCGGTCACAGCGGCGCGAGCTGGACAGGCAGGTGCCGTCCCCACAGCGGTGCTCGTCGGCTCGGCACGGGACAGCTGCGTGCAGAACAGCGTACGGTCAGCGGCGACAAGACACACGGGGGCAGATCAAAGGTCATGACCAGTCACCAGTACACAGGGGGGGGGGGGAGCATCAGCAGAGCAGGCAGGCGTCTCGGTATTTATCACCCTATTCAGCCGCAAAGCAACAAGCATATAACATTGGGTTGGAGAGAGATGGAGAGAGGTAAGAGTGAGTTTCGTCAGCCGTACGCGATGGCGGAGTGGGAGCAGATTTCGTCCGCGGTCGGCGGGAGCGCGGTTGGAGCGATGCTGGAGCGGAGTTGGAGTGGAGTTGAAGCGGAGTTGGAGAGGAGTTGGAGCGAGGTTGGAGCTGGGTTGGAATTGGGTTGGAGCCGAGTTCGATTGTGTCCTTCCGCGGTCGGAGAGTTGCGCTACTCACGGCCACACTCGAGCTCGTCGTCTCCCTGGGAGCAGTCGACGGCGCCGTCGCAGCGACGATTTCCGGCGATACAGGAGCCGTCCCTGCAGCGGAACTGGTCCGGGCGGCACGCTGCAACACCGAGACCCACACGGTTACCGCGAGTACACGGCTCTTCGAAACATTTTGAGAACTTGTTTCGTGTTATTACAAGGCATTCCCCATCCACAAAACGCTAGACGACCGCTGTGAACTCTTTACTTCACGGTTATTGATGAAATTTGAAAGAAAGTATAAACTATATATAGGAAAGGTTCTGGACTTCTGGCCTCCCAATTTACAAAATGACCGGCAAACGAATAAGAGATACTATTTGCAGGTTAAAAAAGAGGAAACTTGAAACTTTTAATTCAACACGCTACGGTTCAATGATTGCTCTTGAACGAAGAAAACACCACAGCTTCAACGCAACATTTCCCGACAACAAACACCATCCCAAGCACATTCCTGAAAAAAACTAAAAAGCAATGTGTGCATATGCACTGCATATGTAAGTGCATCATTGACCGCGTGATATGCTTCGAGTAGGTACATCAGTGAGTGCATCTGGCCGTGTGTGCGTAAGATACCGTAGGACAGGTGCTCATATGCACTTGTGTGCGACACTGAACAGTGTGTCTCCGCTCTGTGGGGTCCGTACCGCAGCCGATCTCGTCGGCGCCGTCCACGCAGTCGCTGACTCCATCGCAGCGCGCCGAGGCGGAGACACAGGCGCCGTCCGAGCAGGTCACGTCCCCCGGCTCACAGCCGGGCCGCGCTGTCGGGGCAGGGCGCTCAGCGGACTCACTCACGGGGACGGACACAGGCTGGCACGGATACAGACACCGCACCCCGCCCCGGACACATAGAGACATTCCCGCTGCAGCTCGAGACATACATATAACGACTACCCCGCTTCCCACCCTGACATGAACAGACATATACTGAACTGCCCTCGAATATGGGCGAGCCATAGCAGCATAGGCATAAGGAAAGAGGCCCTAACGTTAAAGTCTAATAAGGAGTCTAGCGTTCGCCTGTTAAAACATCCCAGTTGAGAGGAAATGAATTAGAGAGTTCATAAAATGAGTTGTTGAATTAAAAATATAACAAAAGAAGTGATGAAAGCCAATCCAGGTGGCAATACTTAAATACTGGTCGACAGTGTTTTAAAAGTAGGTATGTTTAAACGAGCTACCGATAAAAATAGCCCAGTGGTCGGAAAATACTGAGGATAAAATCACCCGCAGGGCCCTCTGTCTGACAGAGTCCCATAACTTCCTCCACCTGTCTGCGGAGGTCTGTATGATTTGGCCCGGCACCACCGCTCTCCCCGGTATACGTACTGCAGTTGGCCTCGTCACTGCTGTCCGAACAGTCGGGAAAGCCGTTACAGACGCGCCGCGCCGCTAAACACTGGCCCGACGAGACGCACGTGAAGTCCTCTCCGCACGACGGCACTGGACGCACGGCCGGACCGCACAGAGTCAGACAGAGAGAGCCGGGCGCACCGCCAGTGGCAGCCGCACAGTACCACCGTCAGCCGGTGTAGCAGAGCCCAGACACAATGCAATTGCACAATCCACACGGTGTAAGCCACAAGCCAAATACAAATAACCCCTCGGAATATCAGGGTGGGGATAAGTGACAGTTGTCTTGTTTGACGGTGCAACACGAGCAGTAAGCGTCGGCGGAACGTGGCTGGTGGCGGGAGTCACTTACCTACAAACCGACCCGCGTATTACACCCACTGCAGCCCCGTATAACAACTGAGAGGAATCCTGCTACTGTATCCGACCCATATTGTACCTACTGAAGCCCCCCCCCCCCCCGTATTACATCTACTACCTGTGTTATAACAATGTGTTATAAGTTATAACTGAGTTACACCTGCAGAGTTACACCCCGTGTGACACCTACTGCAGCCCTGTTCGTCGGAGCCGTCCGGACAGTCGACCGTCGAGTCGCAGCGACGTGTTCCGGGCACACAGCTGCCGTCCGTACAGCGGAAGTCGTCGGCCTCACAGAGGGTCGGCATCGGATCTGTACAGCGCACGGGCCCGCGTCAGCACCGGACAGCGGCCCTCAGCGCCCCGGACAGCGGCCCGCAGCGCCCCGCCAGACAGTGCCCGGACAACAGCGGCCCAGACAGCCCCAGACACGCCCAAACAGCACCACAGTTACACCGTCCAGACGGTCGGACAACACCAGAGTATTCCGCGCAGCCCCAGGTCCAGTGCCCACCCAGCCGCCCAGGAACAGACAGACGGCTTGACAGCCCCTACTTTCTGATCCAGGAGCTGAGTGGTGTTCCAGCGTTCCCTGAAGTCGGTAGTTGAGGCGGCGTCTTACCCGGGTCCGGACAGCGGCTGGGCTCCTCGTCGGAGCCATCCCGGCAGTCGCGGAGCCCGTCACAGGCGCGCAGGAAGGGGATGCACAGGCCGTCCCCGCAGCGGAACTCCTCCGGGCCGCAGCCGGCTATAGAGCGACCAACAGGACACTCAGTCATAGGGCCGCCACACAGGGACGCCACACACCAGCGCACGTAAAAACAATGAAATACGGGCACTCAGGGAAGACAAAAATCCACCCAGGATACCTATATATACACACGGTGTATAAATGTACATCTAAAAATAACAGCAAGTGACTTGCTGTTATTTTTGTTTTTCGCCATTCACTACACACTTGCTCGATGAAGTGTGCAGTGAATAGCTTACTCGGGCTATTCAGCAAGTGGATAATACCTGTCATCCATCACTGTCTTTTCTAGTTAAATTGACGCCCACAAAACAAGGATCAAGCAAGCAACAATCATCCCATGTCTGGCCTCTAGATGAGGTTGATGGGATGTGATCCCCCGCGGAATAGATGGGGGCTAAAGGTGGTGAAACAACGGTGGCGAACTTTAGATGAAAACGAGTTTTATATTTGCTGCCAATATTCATTGGCAAAAACAGCTCCTGATTAAATCCTCAACAAGGTCACACATATGTGATAAGTCATTATCAGGAACATAATTTCTGTTTCTTTACCAACTGGCAAAACATCATAGCGTAAACAGACTGAAACATGCAATTCACCCACGGCCCCGGCAATACAAATATCAAAATGCTTATTTGAATATAACTGTAACGAGATATATTTTGCTAGCTGAATAATGAGCATCCATGCTAGGCACTCAAGCGATTAATCTGACAAAAGATCCTATCCCTTACCGTGACATAAACTTTTTACATGGTGGAAATGTGATGTGCCAACACAAAACCGCAAACCCAAATCATCAAGTGAATGGAAGCACCATCACCAAATAACTGACTATTCGTAGATGACGTTGGTATATAGATCTACTGTCAAAATCACAAATCAACTCAAATAGCAATCCCTGCAATCAGTTACACCCCCGGCGGCGATACAGTCGTCTCGTTGTTCAACGACATCGCGGCCTAGACACGGATCTAATAACTACAGGTTACTATTTCTACCGATAGATGGCAATGTTATCAAACGCCTGATTCATGCTGTGCCGCACGACAATTTTGCCTCCGCCGACAGACGTCGAATTACGGCCCTGTAGAGGCTGGAACCGGAGGATAGGCTAACAAAACCTGGCTTTTAATTCAAGCATGCTCCCACTAGGAGGGCGTGGGTAAGTGTTGATCACTCACCGCAGCCCGTCTCGTCCTCGGCGCCCGGACACTCGGGCACACCGTTACACTTCTGGGCCACGCTGAGACAGCGGCCGTCGGCGCAGGCGAACTGATCCGGACGGCAGCGCGGCGCTGCGGTCGGCACGGAGGTCACACGGGGTCACAAGGTCACAGGGGGTCACACAGGGTCACACGGGAGTTTGGCGGTCACGAGAAGTGAAGTCACATATATGGCAACAAGGTCACATGGGTCGCGCAGAGACGCACAGGCACATGGAGTCATCTGATCACATGGGGTCACACACGGTCATAAGAAGTAAGCGGTCGCGACGCATAGAGCCACACAGGTTCAAGTTGCGCACAAGGTCAAACGGTCACACGGAACACAGCCACATAAGTTAACGGGTTAACAATGGAATCAAATGTTTCCTCTTAGAATCGACGGCTATAATGCATTGGGATCCCACAAATCACGGTCATACATCATCGGGATGACCTCACACGCTACCTATTACATCCGGGCTATTGAACAGGTCGAAATGGGCACACAAAATGGTCACAAGACGAATCACAGCCAACGAGTCACACGACCTTCTTAATAACTTTCGGACAGTACACACACACACACACACACACACACACACACACACACACACACACACACACAAAAAAACATTCGAATTATAAAATGGGTTCTGGCACAGATAAAAGTAGTAGAGTAGTAACAAAAACATCTGTGGTTCTGGTTATGCTATGCCGCGCAATGTATTTACAAATATTTTGACATAATTATTAGTCCCATAACAATGCTGATATTATACAAAATTATTAATCTGTGCGCCTTAGAATTAGTAGGAGGTAAGGAAGGCATCACAATGTGTTAGATTGGGAGTTTTATATACATTATACATACATCCCATGCTAAAAACCAAATGAAAAATAATAAACCATTATTGCTCTTCCACATTTAATATCAAGGAAGATAACACGCTACGTCGTTGCAAAACATTTTGTGTTAACTATTCTCAATACAAAAACCGTCTAAAAAATTGGGCTTAAAAACAAACTTAATCACGGCCACAGATGCACGTTAAAACATTAACAATCCCGCTAGAAAATATAAAATCCTGATGTAGCATTTCATTATGATTCAAAGAATAATTTACTTTTTCTGTGAATGCTGGAATACGTTTCGCAAATAATTCTCCAACTACATATTAATATAGAGGCATCGGACCCAATTGTTTAGGCCAGGGGCTAGACCCGAAGTGTTATATCGCCCCCCGATGTTAAATGGCCTCGATTCATGCCGAAATGAGCGAGCATATTTTCACAGAGTTAATGACATTTTCATACCAATAAGAACCTCCGTGCACATATCAGCTGGTGGACATAACGTAAAGAGGACACCGTAGAGAGGAGGACATAATGACCCCAGCGGCAAACCCTCCCGAAATCGGTCACAAGTGTAGGTGCGAACCGACGACCGGAGGTGGGGGAAGAAAACACGATGAGAGATCAGTGCCTCGTCAAGAGACGACCTGCACCATTCCCCAGCATGCTGACGAGAGACCGGACGTTTACCACAGGAGACATGATGCCAAGAGAAGGCACACGGAGGCCCGGCCGGCGTCGCTCGTGCTGGCGCCGGGCGGTGTCAGTGCCGCAGTCAGTCGAGCTCCCTCCACCGGCGGACAGGCCGCCCATGCCCGCCCAGCGCGCCACTTACGGCAGCCGGCCTCGTCCGAGCCGTCCGGACAGTGGATGACGCGGTCGCAGCGCAGCTCGCCGCGGATACACGTGCCGTTGGTGCAGGTGAACTCATTATTGGCGCAGACGGGAGCTACACGGCGCGGGCGGCGGGTCAGAGAGTCCCACAGGGCACGGAGGGCGGTACACTGCACAGGCCACAGGCACGGGGCTCTGACATGGCAGAAAGCACCCGTCAGGGACACAGGGGGATACACTGCAGGGGACGCACGTCACATGGTTTGGAAAGCAGACAGAATAATTACGAATATTACGTCCCAGTCCTACCATTTTGACGTTTACTCTTAGAGTTGTCTACGAGCTTGGATCACGTAGGTTTACCGAGTCACAAAATTAACTCGAACTAAAAATGATCATTGAAACTATTGATCATTGAAAATGGCGATCGAAATTATCTTCAAAACAGACACCCGACCAATATCGAACAGGAAGTGATGACCTGAGAGACATACACAAAATACATTCTATGACTGTAGACAGACACACCGGTGACAAACAGCCAAGCAGTATTTACAGAGCCGCGATCACAGTTGAGGAGAACGGAGACAGACGGGCCAGCTGGCGAGGCGTGACTGGCCGACCGGACGGACACTGAACATCGGCGTCAGCGGACAGCGATAGAGCCAGCACCGGAGGACCGTATCAGCGCCAAACCGAGTCCGCTCCACACCGGCGCAGCGCGGACCGGCCGGCCACAGGGGATGCTGCACTGGCCTGAGAGCGGCCGAAGCCTGCGACCACCGACACCTGTAGCCTCGCTGACGGTACCGAGAGCCTCTCCGACACCAGTAGCTTATACGCCGACACCAGTCCTCAGCTGTCTCTACCAAAACCAGCAGACGCGCTTCCAAAGCCAGCGGACTCGCTACCGACACCAGTAGCCTTGACACCGACATCAGCAGGTTTGCCGCCGATACCAGCAGTCTCGCCACCAGCACCAGCCACAGGATTGGTCGACCAGCAGCGCCGGCGAGCGGACACGGCTGGTACCAGCATGCAGGCATGCCCAGCACTGCGTCCAGAGCACGAGGAGCGCGCGCTTCTACACGCTACGGCCAGCCGACCTGGCCGGTGGCAGCGACACACCGCGTCCAACCGGCCAGGTGTTAGTTGTTGGCGGACTGGCACAGGGAGCGTTAGGGTACACAGAAGGCCTTACGGCAGTTTTGTTCGTCTGTGCCGTCCTGGCAATTGCGAATGCCGTCACATTTGTTCTTGATTGTGATACAGTAGCCGTTGCCACATTGGAACTCGTCCTCAGAGCACTCTATGGAGAGGAGGCAGCCATGAGGCGCTCGGCACGGTTTTAAAATCATCGGGGTAACAAAAAACTCAGCTGGCAGCCCTTGTCACAGCTAGTCCTTGGCTAGTCCAAACAACAGCAGTATGTTGCAACGGAGGCAGCAATGTTGCAATGCAGGCAAAATGGACAAAAGGGTAGTACCTATACAAACTAACACTTTGATAAAATGAATTAGAATAAAAATTCCGGAATTATGACGACACATTATTCTGTGTTAATGGAAAAAATGTTAAACAGCTGCAATTCAGACCAAAGAAGTTATACCGTTTCGTCTAAATTAGTGTCTTTAGCTGATACTTTTCTATCTACAAAATTAGCAATCGTAAAAATATTATATCGTTAACCCTCGCCCCGTTGGGGGGGGGGCCATTTTGGCCCCCCCCTGTGGTTTTTCCTGAATAGCAAGAAAACGGCGGCGCGCAGCGCCGCCAAATTTTCAGTACCTTCCCGGGCATCAATTTGACACCTTCACACCAAATTTCAAGTCTTAGGTCACCTTAGGTCAGGAGTTATTGAGGTCAAACTGAGGTCATGTTCGAGCAAAAATGAGCAAAAAACATGTAATCTTGAAACGCTCACCAAATCTACAGTTATCAAGCAATTTCAAAGTTCTTTATATGGTCTAGTAGACAAAAGGCGGCGCTACAAAACTGCTATCTCGGATTTTCAAAATTTTTGGTTTTTGACCCAAAAAAAATCAAAAAATTGATTTTTTTAGAAAAACTTTGAAAAAATCCAAAAATTTTCCGAATTTCGAAAAAAACCGGAATATATGTGATAGTCCCAGCGCTCTTCTATATACATACCAAATTTCAGATCGATATCTCGTTTTTTGGCCAAGTTATAGCGAAAAAACTGTTCAAAAATGATGACGTCAAATTTTTGAACTCAATTTTTAGCAATTCTAGACCTCGTACGGCAAAACAAAGACCACCATTGAACTCCCCGTGACGAGCTGCATCGATTCGATACCCATTTTATGCAAAAATATTAATTTTGAAATTTGACCTAATTTGACCTGACCTTGACCTGACCTTGACCTGACCTTGACCAAAACGTGATCTAAGCTGGCCCCAAAGGCTGCCTGACCCATATAATCGCATTTGTCATGTAAAATGGACCATAAAACATGTATCACACGACACTTTCATATTGTGACCCCCCCGTGACCTGACCTCTGTGACCTGACCTGGTATCAGTGACCTCAAATAGCAAAATATGTGTTTGAAGAACATTTCACCATCGATGATTTTCAATGAAATGCATTTTACTCGATTTTACAACGCATTTCTTGAAGTGCCTGTAAACGGTGAAAATTGGACCTTTGACCTGACCTGTGACGTCATCGGTTTGACCTAGGTCAATAAAATTGGGTCACAAGGTAGTTCCCCGTTGGGGCTATCCAACGCCGTTTACCGCTTGTCGCTATGTTGCGTGGTTCTCGAGATCTTAGGGGGGGGCCAAAATGGCCCCCCCCCCAACCGGGCGCGTTGCTCGGCAGAGCCCAACGGGGCGCGGGTTAAGTTAAACTACAAGTCAGGAAGGCTGAAGTGTAGAAGGGTGAGTGATGAGTATGTAGATATGCAAAAACAAGACGACTGATGTTTTTGCAGCACCGGATGCTGGTGCATAAAACATCTATCAATACCTGTCAAGCAACAATACACAGACAGATGCATGACAGGGAACACGGCACAAAGCAGCCCCGATGGACCGGTCGGCGCCCGGCCGGGCTCGGCGGCAGACACGTACCGCAGTTGAGCTCATCGGAGCCGTCTCGGCACTGGCTCGCTCCGTCGCACCAGCGCGACTCGGGCAGACACTCGCCGCTGTTACAGCGCCGCTCGCCGGACCGGCACTCTGCCGACAGGGGGAGTAGCGTGAGCCACCAGGAGGTACAACAGCGTCAGTGACAGCGTCCCCGTTTCGAAAGTTGAAGATAATGTAATTATTAATTAGCCAAGTTTCTCTTGTAACCGTAACGACCATGTCTATTTAAAAGCACGAAAAAAAAGAGAACATCGCTTCGAGCGCCGAAACGCTTGAAAGGCCTCTTAAGCTGGTGGTTGATCAAGCTTACTATTGTGTCTGCTGGATATTTCTAAAGGACGTCTGAATCTATGCTGTACCGCACCAGCGCGGTAAAAGCACTCTCTCGGCATTTCCCGCTAGATATATCTAGCGTACGCGCCTGAAGGTAGACTGTACCGCACTACCCTTGCCAACGAATGCCCGCACTCCCGCTAGATGTCTCTAGCGTTTGCGCCTGAAGGTAGACTGTACCGCACTACCTTTGCTATCGAACGCCCGCGCTCCCGCTAGATGTCTATAGCGTACGCGCCTGAAGGTAGACTGTACCGCACTACCCTCGCCAACGAATGCCCGCACTCCCGCTAGATGTGTCTAGCGTTTGCGCCTGAAGGTAGACTGTACCGCACTACTCTCGCCAACGAACGCACGCTCTCCCGCTAGATGTCTCTAGCGTTTGCGCCTGAAGGTAGACTGTACTGCACTACCCTTGCTATCGAACGCACGCTCTCCCGTTAGATGTCTCCAGCGTAGGCGCCTGAAGGTAGACTGTACCGCACCACTTCGTTCAAGGTTATACTGCACCGCAGCCCGCAATGCTTTGAGGATGCTATTAGACCTGTGCACGGACAACTGCCACACGGAGAGATACAATGCCACTCCAAAGAGATGCAATGTTAAAAGTCACCATCAATATAGCTTGCTGCAGCTTTGGGCTGCAATAACTTGAAATAATAAAACATTGAACTCAGATGTGACGATAACAACGAAAGAAAAGCAAATAAATTCATGTCAAGTGCCAGTTGATTCTCTATCATTTTCTCTTCCATGGTTTAACCCTATTACTGGCGGGGGGGGGGGGGCCTCAGGAGCCCCCCCCCCTGAGGTTTTTTGGTTATATCTCCCAAACGCGTTGAGCTAGGAAGCTCAAATTTTCTGACTTTTCCTAAAAGGCTTCTACGCAACATGTCTGAAAATTTTGAGTTGATCTGACCTCAGGTCAGGTCACCAGAGGCGGTTTGGTGACGCTACCTCAGAAAAGTTTGCAATCACGCCAGAGCTAGAGTTTTTGACCGATCAATTTCTTCTCTTCAGGGTTTAGTTAGGGTACCAGTATGTGCAATTTGTATATCTCGGAATTTTGATATCGGTGACCTAAGGTCAGGTCAATTTCGCGACCTCCCCATTATAAGTCAATGGGGGAAAAATCAACTCCCTGTTTTTACCACTAAAACGGGTCGGAATGGCCCCATATACCATACATGACTTCATATACGATCAACCTTCACTACCTTGAGGTCTGTTTTGCTGTTGGGCAGCTGTGAGGTCATGTGACGTCATCAAAGGTCACCAAAGGTTTTTGGCCAATAACTCCGTACAGGAACAAGATACAGACGCGTGGATGGTCTCATTGTGTTCAGCTCGTCAAGACGCATCGAATGATATACATGATGACCTCGAGGTCACGTGACCTGAGGTCAACCTTTGACCTTGACCTTTCGAGGTCAACATATATATCATTCGATGCGGATTGACGAGAGGATCACGATGATGCCCTTAGTTTGTTCCTATCTTGACTAATTCGAAAGTTATTCGAGAAAAACTCTCTCCATATCTAGTGCCGCCATTTTGACTTTTTCGACCCCTGTGACGTCATCTTTGACCTGACCTGAAAATGACCTTAGTAAAAATTGTAGATCTTGGCCGTGCGTATCTGATGCCGCTTACCGCTTGTCGCTATCTTGCTTCGTTCTCGAGATCTCAGGGGGGGGGCCGAATCGGCCCCCCCCCGCCAGTTTCTTGTCCCGGCGGAGCCCGCCAGGAATAGGGTTAAATCGTACTTGGAAAAAATACAATGATTTAGGTGCATTTAGTGCGTGCTTTCACATTCCGACAGCATGACTTAACGATGCATCCTCTGGATAGTCGCTCGGATCAATCTCAACAGGCGTCGTAGACATACAAATAAAACAGAATCTCTCTATAAAGGGCATGGTTTGACTTCCTATATTTTTCAAGTACATTTCTGGTAAAATCATGCATGCCGTAGTAACAATGAGCCCAGCACCAGCTATAGGAAAATAAAGAAAAAAATGGGAGTTGGCAATTGTGAGGGCTACTCATTTTCACAAAAACACCAGTGGCTAGTTAAACATGCAGCGTTAGTTATAAAGAAGGTCAAAAGTTCAAGAATACGTTTTTTTCAAATGCCCACACACGTAGCTTCAGTTGTTATTCTAACATGCAAGAATGGCAACATTATATTACAAACATGCCGTTAGTTGAAATCACAATTATACTACGTGCAAAGAACAGTAAAAATAAAATGATTTAACTGACCTAACGGACCAAAGGATGAGACGGCATTTCAAGATTCAATGAAAAAATATGAAAACGAAAAACATACAATTCAACTACTTAACCCGCGCACCGACGGGGGGGGGGCGGATATCCGCCCCCCCCTGAGGTTTTTCGCGAATAGCGGGAAAACCGCGGCGCGTAGCGCCGCGAAATTTGGTATGACTATATCTTCATCAATTTTACACATGGTGTGCAAGTTTGAACCTCCTACCTTTTAAGGTCAGGTCACCAGGTCACTTTGAATGACCCAACCTCAAGTCACTTTTTTGCAACTTTGTCACCGTGCCAGAGCTACAGTAGATGTCGGAGGCCTTTGAAAGTCGCAGGATATTATTAGGTCATTAGTAGCTACAATTTGTATATCTCGGAATTTTGATATCGGTGACCTAAGGTCAGGTCAATTTCGCGACCTCCCCATTATAAGTCAATGGGGGAAAAATCAACTCCCTGTTTTTACCACTAAAACGGGTCGGAATGGCCCCATATACCATAAATGACTTCATATACGATCAACCTTCACTACATTGAGGTCCGTTTTGCTGTTGGGCAGCTGTGAGGTCATGTGACGTCATAAAAGGTCACCAGCGGTTTTTTGCCAATAACTCCGTACAGGAACAAGATACAGCCGCGCGGATGGTCTCATTGTGTTCAGCTCGTCAAGACGCGTCAAATGATATACATGATGACCTCGAGGTCACGTGACCTGAGGTCAACCTTTGACCTTGACCTTTCAAGGTCAACATATATATCATTCGATGCGGATTGACGAGAGGATCACGATGATGCCCTTAGTTTGTTCCTATCTTGACTAATTCGAAAGTTATTCGAGAAAAACTCTCCATATCTAGCGCCGCCATTTTGACTTTTTCGACCCCTGTGATGTCATCTTTGACCTGACCTGAAAATGACCTTAGTAAAAATTGTAGATCTTGACCGTGCGTATCCGATGCCGTTTACCGCTTGTCGCTATCTTGCTTCGTTCTCGAGATCTCAGGGGGGGCGGTCATCCGCCCCCCCCGTCGGTGCGAAGTTGGCGCAGACCCCCGTCGGTGCGCGGGTTAAGTTAAAAAAACACAGACTGCAAATTATTGAAACAGATCGAAACATTAAGCAGCTAGGCGCAAATCAACAAATTTCAAATTCAAATCAGCTAGGCGCAAATCAACAAATTTCAAATTCAAATCAGCTAGGCGCAAATCAACAAATTTCAAATTCAAATAACAGTCGAACTATATCGATTGACGACAATCAATACAGCACTTTAGCAAATGGCGTCTGTCTACACTTTTGCTTTATTTTGTCGAAAGGAAGGTTGAATACCGTGGCCTCATCGTGCTTTTATCCATTGCTGCCACTTGCCAGCTAGCATCCAGTCAACGAATACTGCCATCAGCAGGTAGCAATACCAGTAAAAAGTTGCCGCTGTTTCGTGATACGATCGATTCGTTTCTTTTTGTTCGCTCTCACAACCTAATATGTCGTAGCCTTTGCTGTTCTGTGTGTCCCCATTACCCCAATCATTTAAAGGGACCCTCCCACCTTCAAAAAAGTTAATGAATTGGCATGAAAGTGATGTCGCTCGGTTCAGAAAGAGCAAAAACGAATATCTACCAAATTTCATCGAAAAATATTCACCGGTTTTCAAGATATTAGACTTTTACTTTTGTTTACTTTTTGGGATCTCCGCTGTTCCTAGCGACTTTATTTGAAAGTGCGGCATTTGTTGCGCGCAAAGAAGCATATAGGGTAACTGTGGGGAAAACGCATCCCTGGGTTAAACGCCTCCCCTAAAAAAATCGTATTTCTTATCGACGGATAGGTGTTTTATCCTGTCTTACAGAACAGTCAGCTGCTTGTTTACGTAGGTCTCTATTTCCGGTTCTGAGTCTTGAGGAGCAGCGTGGGTAGGTGCTGATGTTGGTTTTGGATGTTGTTTTTGTTGTTTTTGCAGAAGATTCCTAATATTTTGATGCCCTCTTTATATCACAAACCTTGCTATTGTGCACATCACTCAAAACTGCGTTTTATTGTCATTCTGTTGAATATATTATGCTGCGGCGTTAGTGGCGCGTTTTTTGTCATTATTTGGTTGACCGGAAATGGAGTGGATGGGGCAAGACGCCTACTCGATGCATGGGGCAAGACGCCCCCAGTTTTCTGAAAGGGGGGCGTTTTGCACGGTGGTGAGAGTGCAGGGTAGCGCCCTGTAGGTCGGGGCCGAAAAGGCCTCTCCCTGTCCTTTTTTGCTGATATATCCTAAACGACTGCAGATATCGTCACCAAACTTTCAGGACTCCTCCGGGCATCCATTTTACACATTGCAACAAAATTTTATTCCAAAGGCTATGATAGGTTGACCACAAATGACGTCAGAATGACGTCAAGTTCTGCCATGTTCATCATTTTCTGTTGATAGATGGGGTGGGGGCGCTTTGCACATGGGTGTGGGCGTATTACCCAGGGTATGGGGT